TCAGATAGAAGCTGTTCAATCCTTGACTCACAACCGGGTTTCCCCCATTTTACAGCCTCCCGTCTCGTGCATTCCCAATCTTTGATCCCGAAATTTCCCGTAAAACTTGTGTCCAATCATTCCTCTCGAATTTTCGAGATAAGCTTGATCTCTCGTAGCCTGTACTTCGATTTAAACCAGAAAATTAGCCACATTCTTGAAGTTATCTTTCGGGAATTCTCTTACTTTCGGAAAAATGGGGTGATCACTGGTTATCTCATTCATTGAGGGTGGATCGAGGGGGAAAGAGAAAGAGGGACACGTGGAGGACACGGGAAAACAGTTTTTGTGATCAGCGATTTTTTGCAGCCAGCAATGGATTTATCTGACCTTTTTGGGGAATGATTGCCTGAATGATTGCCGCATTGCTTCATTACTTTGTATACAGGATGGCCCACAGTTATAGCTCCACACTTCAGAGGGCCTAATTGAGTCAAAATTGAGTCAATCTTTCTGATTTTTGTGGAGATAAGTCTTAAGTATATCTCCTGGAATGGTGCCCATTATCTAATCGATTCAAGCTTTCAACTTTTTTATTTAGCCTTCCAAAGTTGGCCTTCGCTCACACGTTACTCGTTTTGGAATTTTGAAAGTTTCATTTTTTGATAAAAAGTCTTGAGATTTTAATGATTTTCAATTAATCATCTCTATTTATAAAATTTAAAAGCAATAGACTTTTTAAAAAATAGGATTTTCTTGTTCTTTGGCTTCTCTAACTGCCCCACAAATCATTCAAGTGAAAACAGACCATATTAAGTGAGTTTTGGTGATATTTCTCAAGAATTTAAACTGTGTAGAGGATGTGAAAATTTTGTTCATTAACATATTAAATTCAATCTGAACAAGTTCGCTCTCAAAAATCCCATAAATGAGTAGCGTCCGCTCTCAACTTTGGGCGCTCTCAAGTTGCTCAGCTTCAACACTCGGCTCTCAAATTTGGAAGGCCCTATAAAGAAGTTGAAAGCTTTAATTGATTAAATAATGAGTACCGTTCTAGGAGACATACCTAAGATTTACCTCCAGAGAAATCAGAACGATTGGCTCAATTTTGACCAATTTAGGCCCTCTAAAGTGCGGCGTGGGGGCCACCCTGTAGAATATTATCCGTAAAGTATGTTCCTCTTGATTCTTCTTCTTCTTTTCCTCTTCTTTTTCTAAATTTCAATTAAAAACCCTTCAAAGAAAACCTTTCAAAGCTTTTATCGTAATTAAGCGAACTTCTTACACTTTCTTCAAGAAATTCACATCTGCTTTCCATCAGAATTTCCATCAGCTTCATGCAATGCCTATAATTCCCGAGATTCTTCAATTTTTTCTTGAGCTGTAGCTTATTTTCAGTTGATTAACAAAATTGTGAAACTTTTTAATTGCTAAAAGCCTCCGTTCTTTTCACTCCCGAACACGTGGTTGGCTTTTCGTTCATTTCCCCGATTCGCTTCCCCTTTTGCCTCCCTTATCTTGTCCCTTCAATGATCTCTATCGATTCTCATGAAAATCAAAACCCATCAAAAATTTCTCTTTTTTATGATTTTCTGTTCTTAGAAACACTGATATAAAATTGAAGCCTAGACCAGTTTCCCAGAATGTTTTTGAATCAAAAGTTTACCTGAAATTCGCTAATCCTTTCCAATCATTCTTCACTTTGCCTTATAAGTACAAAAATAGTTTCCAAATTGGTTTTTGATTGCTATTTTTGTGAAAATTCTTAGAAATTCTGGTTCCGTCAATAGTAAAATCAGTAAAAAACATTTGGAAATCTAATTTCAAGTTGTTCCATGATGCCAAGTATTTAAATTATCCAAAATGTACTCAAAAAAGTCAATCAAAACCTTTCTTCCAACAATCCCAATGATCTTTTGGAGATTATTGTAAAGAAAAACTAGATTCTATTTCGAAAAATTCCCGATCTCCTATTAGTTTTACACCTTTTGCCCTTTTCCCGTTTGTTCTTTTTTTTGAGTTGATTTTTCCGATTTTTTTCACTCAATTTGTTCATGCTGACAATTCAGTTCACCTTTCCCCTTTTCCACGATAATCAGAGATCAAAATTTTCCCCTTCGAGTACTTCCTCTTTTTTTTCTTTTCTTTTCTCTTGGGAATCAATTACTAATATCAGTCCCAATTTTGGCCATCTCAAGGAAAAGAGGGGGATTAATGCTGAATTGAGTGTCGGAAATTCATTTGGCAGCCATCTATCTAGCGTCAGAATTTCCCTTTTTGATAGCTACATTGTAGTCACATGCTAGTGGTTTTTAAGACATTAAAGGTCATGGTCATCAACAGAACTATCAAAATGGACGAGCAAGCTTCGGAGTTGTACGTGCTTATTGAGATCTTTAGGATCGTGACATGTCAGGTGACATGACATGTCACTAAATGAAGGATGTCATTACATCCTTCATTTACCACAGTTTAGAGGCTTTGTCATAAAGTCCTTACTATTAGGAATTTTGAGAAGAAGTTTTGCGTTGGCTTTGATAGTTTAGTTTTACTTTGCCTTGTAGACCTTGACTCCTTCATTTCTCTGTGATGAAATCTTTGACTTAACTTGCACTCATTCAAGTCTTGCATTAAGACTTCAGTTCTTTTGGAAAGTTTATTCTTGTTTCTTCTTTGTAAGAAGAAACAAGAATAAGCTTCCGATTCTGATGTATCAAACTGATAATAATCCCTTTCTTCTTTCTTTCTTTGTAAAGCTTATTCTTGTTTCTTTACCAGATCGTCATCTCTTCCGATTCGGATATATCAAACTGATAATAATCCCTTTGAGAGTTCGAGTTCAACTTTAAGTTTTCTTTTTATTCACTCAACTGAAGAAGTTCAAGAGTTCAAGAGAGCTGCTGAAATGAATCAGTCAGATGAAATATCAAGTTCAGTACTTAGATCGTTAAAACTTTCACTATGCACATAAATTCTATTAGTTGAACAAGTCTCATTACTTCTTTGAACTCTTATCCTTAGCCATTAAAACATTTTGTACCAAAAAAATCGGCTCTTGCGTAGTTTTCGGATATTTTGAAAGAATTTGGGTATTTTAGAAAAATCCGGGTATTTTGAACGAGTCGTCACAATTTGAAGGCCTTTAACTTTGTTCAGAGATAGTATTTTTGCTAACTTTTTATATCATTTTACAGAAGACATTTCAGGCTTTCAAATTATACCAACTAGAGCTTGAATGGATTTTTAATTCCCATGCAAACAAGGCGACACAAAACCCGGGTCGGATAGGCCTCATTTGACTCAGAGTTGGCCCTGATTTTCTTGGACTTGATTATCCAATGAAGCTCTATGTAGTACCATTTGAAGGCCTGAAATGCCCTCTATACAATGATATAAAAGGTTAGCAAAAATATGATTTCTGGGTAAAGTTATAGGCCTTCAAATTGTGACGATCCTTTCAAAATACCAGGATCCTTTGAAAATACCAGGAAACTACGCAAACGGAAACTCGCAAAAGCCGAAAAAAGCCTTTGTTTTCCAAAGATCACTCCAACAGTTTGTGACTTTGAACACCGAAATGCATTCATTCCTCACTTATTCACCCACCCTTCACACCGTTCCCGTCATTTTTCTTCATTCACAAAGATTTCGGAGGAAACAAAACCGATAAATTAGTATGTGTGTTCAGAAAGGGAGAACGGTGTGAAAAGGATAAAGAAAAAAGAAAGAGAGAGCGGCTGAATGTCAGAATTTTTTATCACTTTCTATTGATTTCCAAGAGGGAAAAAGGCGGCAAAAATGTGAACTCTTTTGCCGGGCTTGCTGAGTTCATTTAGCATTCACACAAAGCCACAAAAGGTGTGGTTTTCGGTTTCCAAAGATGATATAAAGAAATATTTTTGTTCTTGGGTAAAGATTAATGGGCTTTGTATGGGAATTTTTGCTAACTCATCCCTTTTAATACCGATGGGAGATACTTTTTGACTCTTTTGATCTGTGATTTGTGATTTGTGCCATTAAACTCCAACTCCGAGTGCTCACAAAATCCTCAAGACTGTGTGCAAAGCTTTATAGCTAAGATTTGCGCTAAAAGTTACCATATATCGAGATAATTTCGTAGTCTAAACCTTCTACCACCCACCTATTACATAGGAAAACTGCCGAATTAAGAAAAAGTACGAAAAATCTACTGTACTATATAAGTGAACAATTTTTTTGCCCCCTGGGGCTCTTGATTGATTTTATATCTGGGCATATTAGTAAGTATCATCTTGTAGTCTTTGAACACAGTCAAACTTATTGTGCTTTTGAAATTCCCAGCCTTTTAGTTGAAGTTTGTAGTTGAATTCTCATCGGAAATTTCATCAAACTTCTTCAACTTTTTTTTTCTACATTTCTGTGTTTATTTAAAAACTGTATCAAGCAAAAATTACATTGTTTTATATCTAATTTCAACTTTTCAAATACCTTGACTACTTTGATGTTTCATTGATCGCCTCGTTCCAATTCTTTTCATCTTTGCAGTCTCCATTTATAGCAAAGTTTTCCCGATCTTCTTGAGAACTTTTCAAAGTGAAACCACTTCAAAAACCCACAAAGTCAGAAAGAAATGGCGCGATTTTTGGACGATTCTTTTATTTGTGCACCGCGCCATCCCCATTCCCCATTCGAATCCCCGTTCTATGATCTAACTCCTCTGTCTCCCTGTCCACCTCTTCCCCTTCGATTCCCCTTCCGTTCCCCACCCCTCCATGAGCTGGGATCTCTTTTCCGTCAAAATGGATACCTTCTGAAAGTCCTTCCCCTCTTTTTCACAAAAAAATTCCCACAGTGTTGAAAAATGAACTCTGAAAGCTCCCCGACATCAAAGAAATCGCAACTCTCCTCCTTTCTGAATCAGGGAATTGATCATCTATTTCCTATAGCTTCTGATTTTACTTCTAATCCAATGAAACTTCAAAATCCTATTGATTTGAAAGGTTTTCAAAATTAGCTTTTTTGAAGAATAGGGATTTACAGTTATGCTCTCGATTTTCGATCTTGATGCTCAAGGGCCGAGTCAGTCACCGGATGATGGTTTGTTCTTGAATTCTATTTTTAAATACTAATTCAAATTGAAAAAATTGCAATCAGAGACTCAAAATCACTCAAACTGCATACTAATTCAAATTGAATTACCCCAGCAAGGTTTATGAGGGTTTGTTTTTTCAGATGATGATGTTATTGAGGAAAAACCTGTTCCCGGAGTGTTGTGTGCCGTTTGTGGAGATCTCGCAACGGGGAGACATTATGGAGCGATTGCGTGTAATGGGTGTAAAGGTGAGTAACAATATTCTGATAAATTTCGAGAACTAGGCTAATTTCCAAGGTCCATCTCACATCTTTTTTTCATTGTTCAACACTTTTTGATCAAATTTGTCAAAACAAGAGCTCTTTCCGATAAAATCTTCCCCATTTAACAGTGCTTTGTTAGCCTTTCAATGTATCACGTTGCACAGCATGTCTTTACCGGTTTTTTAAAGGTTACTTTTTAAAGCAAATAATGAACCAATCGATTTATAGCTTGTTTGATCAGAAAGTTCTATTATTTATTTACAAATTGGTCTTTAAGCAATTCTGAAAAGCTTGCGTTTGTTAATTTTCGGCTTGATTCACTAATTATTCATTTATAAACGAAAATTTCAGCGGACAAGACTTTCCGGCTAAACCAATACTAGTACAATGACAGAATACAAGCTATTAGAGATCCCAATTCCAAGGATCACCATTAAACCCCCACGCAAAGCGCCTTTTGATTCACTAAATTTTGCAGCATATTGTGTCTCATTGTTCACCCTCAAAATAGACAGGCGTTTTTCGGTAGCAAAATCTCATAACATCATTTCACCCACGCGATCATTTTTTGGCTGCAATCATCCATTCCTTTTTGATCAATCTTACATTTTCAATAAATTCCCACGTTCATTGAAACACTTTTTAAGTAAAAAAAAAAAGAAGGAATCGCAGGGAAAGGTTTCGGAAAAAGAAACCGGAACCTTTCCCTGCGATTCCTTCTCTTTTGAGTCATGGGTTAAGTTCAAATTAACTTTATTCTTAGATTGTAAAACTGAAAATCTGGAATAAGCAAGTTCTTGGGCTCCGGGAATTCACTGATTCAGTAGAAAACCACTTGAAGTCACTATTTTTTTTGTCCAAATTCTTAACCTTTCCCTTCCTTTAAAAGTCTCGAAGTTCCGTTGAAAAGAAACTTCTTTTTTCGACACGCGTTTGAGTTGTGGGAAAATTTCCTTTCCCACACTTTTCCTCTTTGTTTTTTTCCGAAAATAGAAAAGTAACTATTATTCTCAGTAGAGATCAAAGAAAAGTTACAACAAATTGAAAAAGTTATAGCAAAAGTTGAGATCGAAAAGTTTGACATCTAAAACTCTTGAGTAGTTTCATTGTTAGCAACCTTCGAAATCACAAATTTTCCTATTTACTTATAGAGTGCTCTTTGAGTTCTTTAGCGATGAATAAACAATTCTTTCCCAGCTCAAATTTCCATTCTTCGACTTTTTTTTGGGCACCACTGATCTCTGAATAAAAAGTGCAAGACTGAAGAGACTAGAGCTGACTTTTGAGGCTCTAGTCTCTGAGCTGAGAAATTTGACAGATTTCAGAGACAATTCATCAATGATTTAACAAACAGATCAAATAAGAAAAGAAAAGTTTAAAGTTTGCTCGATCTGATGAGAATTTCATCAGCAATAGAGGAAGACAAATCAAAAATAACTTGAAACTCTATTTAAAACAACAAACAACATACAGTCGGCAAAAAAATCTTGGCCGGCCAATGTTTTCTCATTTTTTTCCGTTAGATCGCATTCAAATAAATCGATCCCAATTAGCTTTTTGTAGTATTTTGTGAGCGCTTTAAGATGATATTCTTAGATCTTTGATGTCGCCCTAAATAGAAAGCTTTTTCAAGCGATTCGGTTGGTGAATTGAAAACTACGGACTATTGTCATATGTGACAGTTTGAGCACTCTCTTCAAAAGAAACCCATTTTGGTGTCAATGGAAAAGTTGTAGAGAATCAAAAATGAAGCTTATATCCAAATTTTCAGAATGATTCAAAAACTGGTTTTCAAGAAGTGTCAAATTTACGAATTTTCACAAAACTTGCATTTCAAGCGAAACTACTAAGTGGATCTTTTTGGAAATTTGGCTATAAGCCTAATTTTTGATTCTCTACAACTTTTCCATTGGCACCAAAATGGGTTTCTTTTGAAGAAAGTGCTCAAACTGGGACATCTCCAGTCTCCAACTTCAGTCCTCCATTTTTGAGTCTCACACTTGTCTCACAGACGAACCAAAATCCTACTACGAAAGAGGAATGCCTTTAAAATGTGATTTTTCTCAAATTTTGTTCAAGGCATCAAAACTGTCAGTATCGTTTCATTTTCACCAGAACAAAATTAATAAATAAGTAATAGCCGATCCAATGCCATTACAATTGAAACCGTTTTCAATGAGATCCATTCATTCTTGAAATATAGATTTTTAAAAATCATGCCCAATAAGGTTCTTCGACCACAAGACTCTTAATTCAAAGGATATGGAAAAGCTAAATGATTCATTTTAACAATCTTTGAAAATGCTACATAAAAGTATTTGTGGTCAATATATTTGGATGTGATCTATTGACGGAGTGAACACTGACTAAGACTAAGACTTTTTTTGAAGACTGTAAGTTTTCAGGTTTCTTCCGGAGAACGATCCGTCGTGGCTACAAGTATTCTTGCAGATTTCAATCAAATTGTATCATTGAAAGACGTAAGTTTCCAAGGCAGGAGATATTTGATCTTTTTCTTTTCAGATAATCGAGCTGTCTGCAGATATTGTCGATATACAAGATGCATCAAAGCTGGGATGAGAGTCGAAGGTGGGAGATTGTTCTTTGTTGCTTTAAAGTATTCTTTTAGGAGATGTAACTTGAAATTAACAATGGCAACTTTTATAATTAACTTAAAAACATTTAGCAACTCTATCTAACAACAAAGTAATTTATAAAACGAATTAAATCCTATTGTTTTAAGCGGTCCAACATGAAAGAGACTCAATTGGAAAACGACCAAAAGTCGGAGCAATCAACAAGGGATTACAACAACAAATAACGAATAAAAGACAATCAATTGAAGAGGGTGCATCGAGGCATTCATCATCGAGGAATTCTTCTCCAGAATTTGAAGTCACTGGGAAAGATTGGGATAATCCAAAGGTTTTTTTGAAAGAAAGCTCAACAAAGAGATCTGATTTCAGTTTCTTCTCGATTCTCTTCTTTCTTCCGAAAATATGATTCAATCAATGAGGGATACTGTAATCAAACAAACGGGAAATGCGAAATATTCGAATAAAAGCGAGGTTGGTTTTAGAAAAAAATGGGAAGAACACTAAAAGGGAAGGTCACAAGGCTGAGGCCTTGTGACCTATATATCATAAGACGCAGAATTTGTCGCTGATTCCGAAGCTGCTATCCGTTTTTGCAAAATGATTCGGAAACGCAAGGAAGCTGTTTGAGTTTGAGGTCAAATTAGGTCAAATTTTGAGTTTGAAATTTGAAAGGTCAAAGAACAGTTCCTAATACGGTTCCAATACGGTTCCGATACGGTTCCAATACGGTTCCTATTTTGATCTAATACGGTTCTAATACGGTTCCAATACGGTTCCAATACAGTTCCTATTTTGAACGCTTCTTTCACTGCTCTCGATATGTGTAGTGGATAAGAGTCTTGTTTCCTAAACAAGCGATCAAGGTTTTGCTCGAGTTTGATCCCTTCTTTTTGTTTTCATTTTATTTTGATGTTTAACCGCTCGAATTCGCTCTATTTTGACTTTACAATAAGTATTATAACATTGATAATAAACAAAATAACAAAACAACAAACAAAGTAACAAATTAACACACGTGGCAGCAATCTATAAAGTGCATGAAACATAATTTAGCATCTTGCACAACACATAAAAGCATACGTTCATGGCTTCTCAGAGTTTATCATCAACTTTAAAACAAACTTTGATACACTACTGGACAATGAAATATCATATTTGAAAAACGATCGTCACTTTCGCGCGTCTGTAGCTCCCTTGTCTTTACCGTATTTCTAAATATTAATATTACCATTTGTGTAGCCCTTGAAGAGAGCTTTCAGAAAATGCATAACACTAATAGTTTAAACTCAAAGACAAGGGAGCTACAGACGCGCGAAAGTGACGATCGTTTTTCAAATATGTTATTTCATTGTCCAGTAGTGTATCAAAGTTTGTTTTAAAGTTGATGATAAACTCTGAGAAGCCATGAATGTATGCTTTTATGTGTTGTGCAGTGCTATATGTTCATTCACTTTTAGTTGCTGCTGTCGTTTTCAAATATGATATTTCATTGTCCAGTACTGTAGGTGTTTTAAAATATAACATAATTATAACATCATTGTAATCAATTATCAATTTCTCAATCAGGATGTCATAATTTTTATTGTGAAGTTAAAATAGAGTGAATTCGAGCGGTTAAACATCGTAGCATATGGCTGATGTCATTTGCCCACCTCAGCCTTATAACCTTCACTTGTAAGATTGCTCAAAAGTCTAGGTCTTTAAAAGTTAAGTCCAGTTTCTAAGTTCCAGAAATGCCCAGCTACTGACGACAATACAGCCGACATCAATGACATCTTTTTATCCCTTCACACCCAACTACATCTAGTGATTGCTTGGGCGAGAACTCTGCCTCCATTCGAGACTCTTTCAAATGAGGATCAGGTGAGAAAATAAAGAATCTTAATGGTATTGCGAATTTCAGAAAGCTTTACTCAAGAATTTCGCGGCTCAACACGTTGTCCTTTGTGTCGCTTATCGATCGGTGGATGGAGGAGACTTTCTCAAACTGTTGAACGATAGCTGTATCCCGAGAAATAAAGGGTAGGTTTATAAATTTAGATTGAAAGCACAAGAACAGAGATGTTTGCCATTTTTGCTTTTTGCTAGCTTGTTCCTTGCCAATTTCCCATTTCAGAGGCCAAAAAGGCATCACTGACCTCTATTTCCGGGATTGTGAACGAGTGATGGATCAAATCGTTGCCCCGATGAGGTTCATGAAACTTGATCCAGTTGAATTCGTCGCCATGAAGGCTTGTGTGCTTTTTGATCCAGGTAACTTTGGAAAAAGGCAAACTTTACAAGAAAGCTTTAGTTGCGAAAGGGTTGTCACCGGAAAGTACACATCATATTCTGGCAACGAGAAGGAAGATCTTTTCTTCACTCGAGTTCTACATAAAGAAAAAGCATCCAGAAGACAAGACGCGTGTCGGGGATATCACTTTCTTTCTACTGTCACCGTTGCAGGTTGGGCATTCTATTGTATTAACTAACTGAAAAATCTGCCCAGCAAACGGCTTGCTGTGGCCCAGTCGGGAGCGCGCTTGTCTACGGTTCACACGATCTGGGCTCAATCCCCGTAGTGCCACTCAACTTTGACTTTTTAATTTTTATTCTTTTAAATGGCACAACTATATTATAGCAGCCACGCTGGGCGTCCGCTACGCGGCTGCACTGATAAATTGTCCATATATATTGGGTTGGGGACTATGACTCGGCGCCAAACTTTAAAAGGACTTTTTGCACACATAAAGCCTTCTTTAAATATACCTTTGGTTTCATCAAAAGGATCCACTATTTCTCTACAAAAAGACTTTTGAGAGATTCCACAAAGCTTTTCTTTCGTGGAGTTTATGGACTCCCAAACACAGCTAGTCAAAATGGCAAAGAGCCCGACTCATCATTTGAACAGTTTCTTTCACATAAACCTTCTTTGGCGTTTATATAAAAAAGATAGAGCACATTCAATTACATAAGTTGCCAAATTTGCAGGAAGATCCCACCAATGGTTTTTTCTAGATGACAGTTTGTAGTTTTTGTGAAAAAATGGCTTTTTCTTGAGCGGAGGCGCTGTTTGAATTTTCTTTTAAATGTCATTTTGTAGAGAATTAGTTAACCATTCTACTGATATCAAACGCATATTATTTGACGAAGTCGAATAGAAGTTTTAGACATTTTTTTGATTTTCGGCGCCGAGTCATAGTCCCCAACCCAATAAATTGCCCTATCCAAAAGATAGCACACATCGAAATCGACCAACTGGGGCCGAGCCCTGAATAGCGACTACGCCACACTCGGCCAGGCCAAACCCGTTTGCTAACTTGTTAAGTTGTTAACACAGGCCTCGAATTTGATTACAGATTCAGCATCAGCATAATCAAAAGTTCCCGGATATCAATTTCCAGCACGAAAAACCATTCTCTGATTTTTTTCTGGCCGAAGAACATTTCAAAATTATATGATTCATAGCAAAGACAACTTCTTTCATTGAATAACAAAAAAGCAAAACAATATCCCGTTGTCTGGATCCGATCCCGGATCTGAAGACCGGCGCGCTATCCCCTCGGTCACACCTGCTTCTCCACGCCTCGAAAAATTTTCGTGCGCACGGACGGATAGGCAGCTCTCAATTATATATAGTAGTTTTTTAAACTTTTTAAAAATTCGGTTTCTTTGGCCCAAAGACGGCTGAGAAAAAGTCCGTACAGACGGACGGACGGACAGACACTGCTCTTTTATATATGTTGTGTTCGATTTGGATTGAAACAATCTCAAGCGCTACAATAACTTTTTTTTTATTGTTATCTTGTTAAATCACGAAAAATGACAAGAGTTTGGTTAAAAACTTAGGTCAGAAGGATTCTAATGAAAATTTACAAAACTCAATCTAATTCGAACAAAAGTTCAAGTCGGACACAACTTATATAGTAGAAACTTGCCTATTAAAGCAAAACATGCTTTTAGTCAATCGCGAATGTTCTCTCCGAAGACGTGCTTGTCACCAAACTCTCCGGTGTGGCGAAGATCGATCAATTGATGGAGGAACTGATTCTCTCTGATGCTGAAGAGCAAAAATGTATGGAAGCACGCAGAGATGGTTAGCACTTTGAGTACTAACTCATCAATCTATTCATTTATTTCTGAAAAACAAGCTGACAGCACCAAGGTGGTGGATAAATGGACTAATATTATAAAAGCAAAGCCCAGTAAGCTTTGAGTCAAGATTGAAACTCCTATCCGAAAAGGAATACCATTGTAGATGTGTGTTCTTTTTGATAATGAGCTCACTCTTTTACCAATGGTTTCAGATATTCGAAATGGTCTAGCAGCAGTCTCGGGTGGAAGTCGTGGTGATTCTCCATCGAATCTCCCGGAAGTCACCGAAACTGCTCACATTCATGCAAATCCTTTTGCTAGAAATCTCCCGGATTTGTCAACAATTCCAAGGTTTGCATTGGTGTGTAAAGGCTAACGATCAAGCTTGATCTTTAAGACCAATCTGATGATTTGATAAGATCAAGCTGACGATTTGATAAGATCAAGCCAAAATCGAATCAGTACCATCAAGCTCTGATAATAAGAAGCTTCTTGTTATAGCCTAAGCCTAAGCCTAAGCCTAAGTCTGAGCCAGCTTCAAGCTTAGCCAGCCAGTTTACTTTAAAACTGACCCATTGCTCCCAAAGCTTACTCCGAAAATACTCTGAGCAAATTTTTCATCTTCTTGTCTGCTATTTCAGCGATGAAAGTGTACCTTTTCAGCTCCTCTCATCCCCATTTCGTCACTCCAAACTTCCCACCAATGCACACTCCACATTTCCTGCCCGATTCTAGTCCACAACTTCACAATCCACCGTAAGCTTAAATTACCAAATCTCATAAACAATTTTCAGAGCCAGTTCCCCATTCTTTGTCCCGAATTCTCTATGGAACGATTCTAACACGATAAACAGTCTACAGAACCCAAAAATCTATCATTTCTAATGAGAATTTCTAATGATACTTCTAATTTCGAATTTAGTGTTCTCATGCTTTAGTTGTTTCTAATGTTTTTTGTCTTGTTTGAGCAACTTTTAGCAAAAAGTACCTCGACAATTCTTTTATCTGATTCAATTGTTGATTGTTAACTTTGAATAGAACAAATGAATAAATTATTTTATCTTCAAAGTACTAGAGTGAAGAGTGCTATTAGGAAAAGTATTCCTCGAGCGAGCAAATCCCGATTCGACTTTAGACTTTGTGAAGTAAACACAAGCTGTGAAGTAAACACAGCTCCCGTCAAACAACTGACTCACTCTAGTGTGACCTCAATGATTCACAAACACCTCTTTTCCCAATCTCAAGTTCAAAATGTTTTCGTAATCGTGTTTTTCTCTTTTCTCATTCATTTCCGGCTCACGTGTCTGTGGGGTTTTTCTGAAAAGAAAAAGAAACCAAACAATGGATATCCACGTGGAATCGTGAGAAAAGAATAAAATGGGAATCACGTGAAATATAGTTTGTTTGACTCTTGTCGGCTCATGGAAAAGCTAACAAATGAAAGCTCGTTTTAGCTCTTTGAAGCAAGTGAACAAAAAAACAACAAGTGTAGCTCGTTTTAGACTTTTCACTGTCACTTGCATGTCACTCTTTAGCTAAAATTTTGAATTCAGTATCGTTTTGATTTTAGAAATGCTTCTTTCGCTTTTGCTTTTGCTTCTTTTTAATAATCAAAACGTTGATTGCTTTGAAAAACTCAGCTTCTTTTTGATAATCGTCTTGTTTTGCTCATTGTTTTGTTTATTGTTTTGAAAAATTCTATGGAAAATGATTTTGATTTCATAAGTTTTCATTTTTAGATTTTATTCGTTGTTAAAAATGCTAAAACCAAAAAGTACTAAAGCCAAAAAACGATTTGTTTTCATATGAGTATCAATTTTTTTTCAAACATCGAGCTTCGCTTTGAAAGTGAAAGTGAAAGTGAAAAGCTTTGAAAGTGTCACGATTTTCGTCTCCGATGTCGTTCAATTCACAAATTTGGCTGCAAAATGCTCTCCGTTACAAGTAAATTAGCGTTCTTTAAAATGATTGTACGATTGTAAGTAGACAATTTCGATATTTTACTTTTCGACAGTTTACTTACCGTAAATACTGTAATAGTACCGCACCCCCAATAATGACGGTGACGAGTATCGAGATTCAGAGCCGAAATTTTTGCTAGTTTTGATCATTGCACACATTTTCCCAGACCACGTTGTATTGACCTTTTTTACTCTCAGAAAAAGATTGGCTGAAAGAGATTGGCTGGTTGATATCGATGATCACACCATTTTTTTTCTCTCTTTCTCTCTTTTTTCTCTTTTCCATAAAGGTATAATTTATCTCCTGTCTCTCATCTTTTTGAGAGAATCAGTGTGCGTTCTTTTCCTTTCATTTGTGCGTAAGAAAGAAAAAAGATTGGGGGCAAAGGTTCGTTTCAGACAGAGAATGGAAAAGAATGAAAAGAAAGGAAAGAAAGACCCGCCCACTTTCTGACTGACTACGAAATCCGCCAGGAAGTGGGGGAAAGAAATGGGAAAAGGAAAGGTCCAAAATGTCTTTCATTTTTATTTCGTTGACTCAAATTTCTCATTCATTTTGAAATTCGACAATTTTTGAAACATCTAGATGTTGTAAAAAGTTCTTTTTGAAATGTTTCCTTACATGATTCTTTAAACTTTTTCTTCTTAAGGTCGGTCCTCTTTCTTCTTAAGGTTTCTTCTTATGATCGTTTGGCATTGGCATTGGCATTGGCAGAATTATTCTTTTACCAGCGGAAAACGCTCACTGACGTTTCCGTTTTCCACTGGAGAGGTTCACGTTTTCCGCGCAATCTAAGCCCCGCCAATTTTTGCCAATGCCTGCGCACGGACGGACAGACGGACAGACAGACAGACAGACAGACAGACAAACGGGCAGACAGCCAGACGGACAAACAGACAGACAGACAGACAGATAGACGTCATCTCTTCTGCTTTATATATAATAGATTCTCAAATAACACATCAGTCAGTGCTAAAGTTCTTCATTTCAAATTTCAGACTCAAAGTAAAGTCATTAGCATTGTTTGAAAGACTAATCTTTGTCTTGAATGCTTCTTTACCGTTAAATTCTATTTAATTAACATTATTGTTTTGAAAACCACGTTTTTACATCTCTTCTTTTATCTCATTTCCCATTTTCTACCGAATTCATTAAACTTTTTCATTCATTTCCACCGAATTCATTCCTTTTGACTATCAGAATGAGTCATTTTTGCGTCAATCGTTCTCTCTACCAGTTATTCCTATAAATCTATTTTTGAAGCCATGACAGTTTTAGACGTCTAAAGTTTTAACACACTTTATCACACAAAAGCATCAACTCTGAAAGTCGAAAGGTCAAAGTTACTGAATTGGAAAACTTCAAAAATTCATTCCTCAAATTCTCGAATGTTTAAGGAAAATGCTAATTTCTGATTGAAGCTCTATTAAAACTTTATTTAGTAATTGTTTTTTTTTTGTTTACAAACAGCCTTTCCCATTGTTTCTTCACCCATTCACCTCAAAATTGTTTCCTATCAGTCTCACCTCGTTCACCTTTTTTGTTTTCCTTTTTGGGAAAATTGATAAATTCGCGATTTTCACACAGGGTCTCGAGGCCTTTGAATTGAAATTTTTGCTGAGTTTAGTTTTATAGCCATTACAGACGGGTCGTTTCGATCTGTGAAGTTGTCAAACTGTCATTTGGATCGTTTCAATCTGTGAAGTTTTTGGTTTGATCGGTATTGGATGAACTGACTTGTAAAATACCAGACTTCTATAGTTATTATAGAACTTAAACTTTACAATACAAAACAATAGTTACAAAGATTCACAGTAGACTTTTGAGTAAACTAATAAATTAAGTAGTAAACTTTTGAGTAAAAAAAGCATCCATGTTGTACTGATTTTTGTATTCTGACAATAGAATTGTCCGAAAATTGATGTCCTTGATGTTTTTGTTGTTTTCAAACCCTCTCAAAACAATTCTCAGTCTCTAAATATTTATTCTGAAATACTTTCTGAATAATATATTGGAGATTTGAGCTTAAATCAAGCCTATCACTTTTCAGAATGTTCTTGTGGCTTCTCTCGATCTATTTCGGAATCCTCTTGGGGATATTTCTAGCCACAGTATTCCTCATCGTTTTTGGGCAAAATTGGGGTCGATTGCCGAGACTTTACTTGAAAATCGTCAAATCTATTCAAGTAATCAACTAGGGAAAACCTTAGCTAATCTCCGTTTAGAGCCATTTCCCCGATGTCTATCCAAAAGACGTGACTGCTTGGCCATCAATCATTGACAAGGTGAGCAATTGATTTGCCTTAACAATGAGTGAGACAATGAATGTCTTCAGAGTCCGCAGTACACTTTGACTCGTCACAAAGAGTCTTCGAAAGCCAGTTTCCAATTTCTGAATGAAGCGGAGAGTCCATTTGAGCTGTGCCAAGATGCGCTCGTTTCTGGGATTGAGTCCATCATCCAGGTGGGACTTAAATTTGAAGAAAAAGCAAGCAAACGATCTCTGATCCCATTTCCTTTTGCAACTTCACTCTTTGTCCCTTGCCTTTTCCCCCAACCAAACTAGAGTCTCATCACGTTTTTGGCCCCAATTCCACCTCCATTTTCCTCTTTCTTAATCCATCTTAAAAGATAAAAGAGATTTGACCCGAGTTCTCCAAAAAATGTTTGGGAAAGGCGCATTTCACAGTCTTTTTTCTTTCCTTTCCTTTTTTCCCGCCGGATTTTTTTGGGTGACGGTTAGACTTTAGATAAAAAGAAAAGAGCCATGTTCCCGAGCATTGGGCACATTTTTGATAAAAACGAGAATGGGAAAAGCTCAGAGAAACGAGAAAAAAAGGAAACCAGTTTAAGGCAACAGTTGATCAAGTTTTTGCGCGAAAATTCCCAGGGATTTAAAATCGTTGAAATGGGGGTAAAAAGTTGACCATCTGACCGTGTAAAATCGGGAAATTAATGAGTGTGAAAATTGCAAAAAAAGCTCGTAAAATTACGATAGTTTGCGGAAAAGGGGGTTTTGAGAACCTTCAAAGAAACCTTTTGAAAACATTACCTTCAAATAAAGTCAGCAAAAGTCTAGAAATTGTAAAGTTTCTAATTTAGGATGGAGTCTTGCAAGCCTATGATCCTTGTCCGTCGTACTCGGAAAGTCTTCTCCATTTCACTCCACTCAACACATGGAATCAAACACAGAAACTCGTCTTCTATGCAACGCTTGGCTTCAGGTAGCTTTTGGACTAATAGTAAGCCGTGAACAAGTAAAGCATAAGATTCAAACACAGCAGTAATAAAGTAAGGTAAGGAATGGTAAAGAAAGAGTTCCGGAGAGGGGATTGGTTCCAGAGAGGGTTTCCTCGACCTTTTTGTACCATCAGGAAGAGAATCGACCACAAAAGTCCGGTGAGCGCTTCCGGACAGATGCTCTAACCACTGAGCTATCCGGTATCTTCTTGCCAGAAAGAGGAAATATAAGGGGAAGAGAAAGGAAAAAGAGAAGGAATAAGCAATTCCAGATTCTTGATCCTTTTCCCTATTCGGTTGGCCCTCTTCATGACTTCTCTTGCTTGGGTTCTCATGGCGGTTGCTGTTTCTTTTGTGAGAGAGGTGAGTAACTAAATTCTTATTGATTATGGTGATCTATTAATGTGTTTAGTATTCTGATGTTGAGCGAACTTCAATCGGTATCATCTACTGCCGCTTGTACAACGCCTCAATGGGTCTCGTCGCAAAGTACCATCAGGAAGAGAATCGACCACAAAAGCCCGGTGAGAGCTTCGAAAAGTTTCTCCAATCTCTAAGCTGAAAAGAAAATCTTTTCATATTGCTATTTATTGTCTTCTTAAGGCATTGCAATCTCCAATCACATGTCTCCAAACGATGCTCAAGCTTTGTTTGCTGGAGTTGAACATGGCGCCACTTTTGGATACGTGGTGACAGGACAAAGACATACTGGACTCATTGGATTCATTCAGAGAATGGTTTGTTAGAAAAAGATAAATCTAGATTTCAGTAGAAAGTTTTATCTAATAAAGGCTAAAATTTAGGCTGAACGAGTCTCTCCTTGCATGTGGTTGGAAAGGAAAAGTGGTGATGAACGAAAGAATTTCCAAGAAGATGCCATCAAGATTGCAAAGGTACTGTAGATAGGTGCTAGATCAAGATTTAGAACTTAGTTAGCTAATATTAGTTAGCTAATTGTTAGCTAATTGTTAGCTAATTAGTTTAGTTAGCTAAATAACATAATTTCCTTCACAAGCGCACGACTACATTGTAGGGTCATTCTTCAAGGACATTTCCAATCCTTGAACTTTATATTTTTCTATCAATAAAGTGCATTCTTTTCATCCGATCACCTGATCCATACCATTCATTTTCTTTTGTCTGCTCCTTTTCTTTCTTTTATGTGCTCCTATTTTGAGCGATCTGTGAGCAAGATTTCCTGGACAGGTTTTCTTTCCCTTTTCCATCTTTTCCGATCTGTAAATCAGTATAGCAATGTTCATTGAGATCATACAGTTTCGAAAACATAACAAACAGTCAAAAATTGTGCATTTGAATCAAACGAATCACCCCAATAACCTTGAAATTTAGCAATCTGGACCGGTATTGTTGTTCCCGGAAGGCTACTGCTCGAATAACACAATGATCTTCCAATTTCGGAAAGCTCTCTTCCAGGATGATGTCAATATCTATCCAATTGCTTTCAAGTAAGTCTTTTGTATAAACAGTATAACAGATTATGCATTTTCTTTACTAATTTCTTTCACTTTAGACAAGATGGTCGATATGGAGACGGATTCTGGATTGAGGATGAGTTCTACATCCATCTCGTGAGATTGATGAGCAGCTGGGCCTTGGTTAGTTGTTAACAACAGCTTCAAAGTATTGACCTTCAAAAGTTCAATCAAAATTACAATGAAATGATCCATTCAAGGTCTACGATGTCACCTATTTGCCGAAAATGAGCAAAAGGGTGAGTGAGAGTGCTGCTGAATTCGCCGGAAGATGTCAATCGGCCATTGGAGAAACAGCCGGTATTCCAGTGAGTGGATTCGATGGAGGATTGAAATACAAGTAAGAAAAGACAAGGATTTCAAGGTAAAATCAATTTCAGACAGGAAGAGCAACAAAAGTTGAGAGTGTTGCAAGAAAAGATCTGCGCCGAGAAACTGGTTGAACTGTTCTTTGACGGAGAATCGTCGATGGATGGATCGATCTCAGAACACTCATCAGAGTTTGCCTCCAGTGGATATGGATCGTTCAATGAGGTCCGCAATAGCAAATAACATTGAAAACAATAAATTTTAGAGTGGAAAATCCTTCACTGAGTCTCTCATCGAGCCTATTGAAGATGTAAGTTTGAAAACAAAAAATTTCTGATGACAAAAGTTTCAGACTCTATCTCCATCGATCGCCTATCTCCGAGCTCGAAAATGTAGTCAAGAAGTCGAAAGTTTCTTTGATATTCAACAAAAACAAGAGCAAATTGTACAATGAAAACTTTCTACAAAAAAAGTTTTTCTTTTCTCGTTTTCAATTCCTTGAAGCTTGCCATAGTTCCGGGTCATTTGGGTTACAAATTTTCATTTTTTCTTGCACATACGATTTTTCTGTGAAATAAATGATAGAGCTTTATTGCAAAAAGAGAATATCACGAAAAGAAGACCCGTTTTTGAGAGAATGACGTCATTTCAGCCTCATCTCATAAAGCTTTCCGAATTATTGGACCTCCTCGAACGCGAACTTGTGGCTAAATTGGAAACCTTAGGCTGAGTTGGAGATGTTTGATGAGTATAGATCACTCATCTCAAATAATCTTGGGTTTGCAATAAGCTGCCTTACTGTTTAAGAAGAATCTAGAGACTTGTTACCTTCTTTTCTATTGGATTACTTTAAATTATCAAATATATAGCTAATTTTGCTAGTAATAAACCTGAAAGAATCGGATTTTTGAAAGCCTAGCGCGTTATGGCAATGGAAAGATTTGCAATCCCAATGAACTCACAATTTGTATTTCCTGTACAAGACAATTCTCGGGCGCATCACCGCTCACCAACGCCACCGTCAAACCGAGCATCATAGCGATTCTGAAACAGAAACAAGCGCTCTTTTAACTTGTGAACTTCGAGAATTACTTTATCCGATCACTAAACTCAAACTCATTGATAAACATCATTTGAAATGTTTCTTTTGTTAAAATTTACGACAGCAAGATAGCCATTAAAAATTTCTTTGATTTCTTGTGCCCATAAACTTTCTTATTGAATCTTATTCTTATTCCCATCTGGGAATAAGAATAAGATTCTTATCTTATTCTTATTCTTCTTGAATCCCCCACTCCCTGCCGGAGCAAGGTTTCATATTACGAAACTCGCGTTTTCAAGCTTTCAGAAAACAATACCCAGTTTATTGATTCAGAAAGCATTAAAGCTATGAATGATCGATATTCTATAGTCTTAGAACAACGTTTGATAAATTGCTAACATGTTTACTTACTGTTTACTGTTTACTTAAAAGTTTACTCAAAAGTTTACTTACCCGGCTAGTGCGAGAAGAAACGGTTGATTGAATCCGAGTGTCGAGATCACTGTGCCCATTCACAGAGAATTTTGAGAAAACAGAGAATTTTGAGGCAAATTGTGTGAAGTAACAAATTTCAGTGTAGATAGTTAGCAAGAACAACTAAATAGTTAGCAAGAGTTGTTGAATATCTCTTGCAAATCCTCGTATCTCTTGGTGACTGTCAAATTTTCACAGATGAATCTGAAATTGGTTGGTTTTGGAAGCATAAGCTTTGAAGTAAGCTTTGAAGCATTTCTAATAACGAGCATGAGAACACAAATTTCAAAAATGATACGGTTATGTGGTTGGAAATTATGCTAGACAGAAATTATGCTAGACAAATAAATGCAAAAACTCGTTGAGGTGGTAAATCATTGAAAGATTAACAACAACATGTGGTAGAGTTTTATGGGATTCAAGAGAAACATGACGAAAAGTCACTCGTAAAATGATCGATTGTCAGGTGTGTCCCACTTAGAGATTGCAAAAGGAGAAAAAATGAAAGAATACGGGGAGTAGAAGTGGGAAAACGATTGAAGAGAAGAAAAAAGGAGGGGAGTTGAATGCATAGAGAAGGAGGAGATGGAAAGGAAAAGAAAGAAGAAAAAGGAGTGAATGGAAAAGGGGAGATCCCATTTGGCTTCCGCTTGAAAGAGAAAGAGACCCACACGGGGAAAGGGGGCAAAAGTCCCTTCCGAGTGGAGATCCTCTCTGGGTCTCACGGGCGATTTTGCAATGAGAAAAAGAAGGGAAGTTACCGAGTAGCTGCTAAGAGGCCCATTTTTGAATTTCTAAAAGCTTTGAACTGAAATCCAGGAGAAGGGCCAGGAGAAGATGTTTTAGACCATTTCAAACAATTGGCTGGAGATCCATGAAGCTATTGTAAATCGAGGAAGCCAGGCCAAGTTGACTGACTGAAATATCCATGGCTTATCTCCGAAGTGCTGCTGAGTCCAAGGCAAAATTCCGTGTTTTTTGAGAATTCGGTGCACTGTGATTTTTGAGATTCCAATTGCAGCAGCTTTCGAATTTCGGATGAAGTTTTTCTGTGATCTCGGGTTTCTTTGGATTTTTTAAAAGATCTTTTGACGAGTAATTGAGTTGTTGGCAATCTTCTTTCGGCCGCGTCCTGATCGATCTTTTCCCCAGTCTCGTTGTGGCGCTTGATCATTTTTGGAACTGTCTGGTGCGACACGTGCAAAAGCTGCGAGATCTCCATCACCGATTGACGATCCTGTGAGAGATGAACCATGGCTGGTCGCAAATCCCATTGTGATTTCATTCTGAAAAAAAGCCAATACAAAAGAATTTTAGTCATAAGTAAGAAAAAGAACAAGATACAAGAATAAATCTGTCAAAACAGGATTTGCTTCATAATTTTGGAACATCTTGTAGGTTGAGGAAAAAAAGCGCGTTTTGAATTTCGCATTGGGTATTGAAGTATTGAATTCAGCCCAACACTCACGCCTTGCGAGCTTGCAGAAATGCTTGATGTTGATCAGAAGACAATCGACAACCATTTGCACTAACTCGGAAAAAAACTTGCTGTGGAAATTGGGTCCCGCATGAACTGACTCAAGACAACAAAACAACTCGTGTCAACGTCAGTTCTTTTTTGCTTCATAAATGCAAAGCCGGTGGTTTCTGGGATTCGATTTTGATATCTGGGCTGGGAGTTGCTTTCTCATGCGCCTTACTCTCCTGACTTACTCCCATCAGCTTACTTTTTTCCCTGAAACAGTTTATCATGGGAGAAAAGTTCGATGATTATGTCAAAAAACGGTTACAATTATTCTGGCTCCAAAAATCCCCAATTTTTTACAAATGGAATCAATGACTTACATCGAAGAAATGAAAGAGTCATTGATAAAAATAGAGAATACCTTACTGATTGATCGTTGCTATTTCTTGTAGATAGATTGTTACAACGAAAAAAACCATTATTTTTCCTCAACCTAATTAGCGACTGTAAACCAAGCCGAGCCACTAGCCAAGGCTACCAAAAGCTGAATCAACTTGCTGAATCAAACCTGATTCCTTGAATTCTCAAAGCTCAATTGCCTAAGCTTAAACAGTAAGCATACCAAAATAGCAATCATATAACAGTCTTCATGATTATGACAAAATCTCGATGCATTTGTTTCCCCCAGAAGCCTCTATATTCATCGAGCGCTTTCTTCGTTGAATGTCAACAATTCCTCTCCGTTTCTCATCCTCTTTCCACCATTCCCATATCCTTTATCCTTTTCTCACCTCATCCCCTTTTCCCCCTCCGACTAATCCAATCCCGATAAGTGGAGACCCTTCCTTTTCTCCTTTTTTCTTTAAAAAGGTTTTGCTTGGCTCTAGTCGGGCCAGGCAAGCCAAAAAAAACATAATCTGTCTCCTACTTATCCAACCCCTACGTCTGTGTGATCATGACCTGTGGTCTGCTCGTGCCTGCATGGCTTGTGGCCTAAGGTGGCTTTTAGAACAAACATGGTACTTTGGCTTTTACTGCAACGCTAAATTGAGTGGCAACTACTATTAAATTGTCAACTAAATAACCGGACCTTTTCACTAAAAATCGGTTTTACAAATGTTGGTTTTACAATGTTGATTTTACAAATACAAATGCCCCAAATAAAGTACGGTTTCCACCATTGGAAAGATCTCTATCTTCTCCGTAAAATCGTTGTTGGCAATTTAGAAAAGCCTTCGCTTTTGGGGTTTGTTGGGAACGCAAAGGCGAGAAGGCAAAATTGACGGTTGACAACTTTTTTGATAGGAACTGACACTAACTTTCGATGCTACTTTGATGGAAACTTTCGAACAATGGTACATCGAGTACCATTTTACAAATTTTTATACTATTTTGGCTTTATTTATAAATTTGAACAAGATAGAATGGTACTTTTTGCTCGAAACAATCCCGATTCGGGTCAAGAGAGAGACCGGATGCGATTCCAAATAACCAAACATAAATAAAGCAAAAATAGGATAAGAATTGGTAAAAACCAAAATTATTATTGTGAAAAACAAACAGCCAGACCTTCCGGAAGATTCGAACCCACTACAATCTGTTCTGCAGACCAGCAGAACGGATTGTAGTGGGTTCGAATAGCACACTATCCACTACACCTCGACTGTCGCTCAAGGGGGCTTCGTAACGTCGTCTTTGATGCCTTGATGAAACTTTGATGAGGAAAACTTTGCTGAGAAAAACTTTGATGCCAGAAAGCCCATTTGCGAGCCATTCCGCAGATTTTGATTACAGGTTCGGATTCTTCGTTTGATTTTCTATCAAATGGGATATGAAATCCCACGGTGACCTAGTATTCTTCCTTACTAAATGCAGACTTCTCGAGGCTGTTGAGGCCGTTGCGGTTTTGCCATTCTGTCTTCCTAAATTCTTGTTGATGCTCAAGTATTGAAAAAAAGCAATCGTTTAAAGCTTAGGTTACGGTTAAGCTGCCTAACTATCAGAACATAAACTATTATCATATTTTTCAATACTTACTGAGCAAAATTTCTTTGTCTATAGCAAAAGAAACTTGCTTTGCAAAAATCAAAGGCAGGATTTGTGAAATGAACGAGTGTGGAAAGTGGGGAAAGTGAGAAAAAAGAAAATTACTTAAAAGAGAAGAAAATCAACAAAAATGTGTCTTTGATTGCAGCAATTCGCGGTGAATGAGGTGAATATCCTTCGCTTTCATATTTCTGATTTTTCCGAGTGTTGAATAGAATGTATATGTCAAGACGTTGAAAGAAATAACGTTTTAGTCAAGGTAGTTCTTAACTAAAGACAATTAGAAGAGACGTTGTCCGAGTTGTTAATTGAAGTTGAAGAAAATTGAGGAAACGTTGATAACTGCCTAAAAGTTTTCTATCCAAGTTGGAATGAAGATTTGTTCGTTTTAAAAGACAAAACTTTGGTAAATGGTAACTTTGGTAATCTTCTCAATGGTTGCAATGAAACAAAGAGATTTTCAGAGCCAAGAGAAATGAGAGCCAAAATTTTGGCTCTCAAATCAAAAGGAGATTTTGATGATACGCATTCGGTTCTCATCATTGTATTGGGTTGGTGAATTGAAAACTGCGGGCTATTGTCATATGTGACAGTTTGAGCACTTTCTTCAACAGAAACCCATTTTGGTGTCAATGGAAAAGTTGTAGAGACTCAAAAATCAAGCTTATATCCAAATTTTCAGAACGATTCAAAAACTGGTTCTCAAGAAATGCCAAATTTACGAATTTTCACAGGACTTTCATTTTAAGCGAAACTACTAAGTGTATCTTTTTGGAAATTTGGCTATAAGCTTAATTTTTGATTCTCTACAACTTTTCCATTGGCACCAAAATGGGTTTCTTTTGAAGAAATGCTCAAACCGGGACATCTCCAGTCCTCCATTTTTGAGTCTCACATCTTGTCTCACACACAAACCAAAATCCTACCACGAAAGAGGAATCCGCAAATTGCCGGTAAAATGGGCAGAAGTCGTCAATAATAATGGAAATTATTTGGAATGAATTTATCGTTTTATTTTCAATAAATTTTAGTTCAAAGTGCCGCAGTTTTCAATTCACCAACCCAATACTTTTGCATAAGTTAATATCTGGGGACAAATCTTTGAAAGATGCAGAGGGCCGTGGAGCGATACCCCAACTGGATGGTTCCAAATTACTTGAACTCATTACCAACGACCATCGGGTATCATCGCCTGAATTGCGAGAAGAGTTAGGGGTTGATCATTCTACAGTGCTAAGGCACCTTCATACCCTTGGATTTAAATTGAAACTTGGGAACTTCAAAGTGCCGCAGTTTTCAATTCACCCACCCAATATTTCTGTATTAAATGTATTGACTTTTAGGGGATAACTTGTTCTAAAACCATGAGAAAATAAGTGAAAACTTGGAAAAGTTTCTTTTCACACCTCCCGTAAAATCACCTGTTTTGAAACCTCAAAACTAGAGCTCTAATAGAAAATGTTTCAGTATTGAAAGTCAGTACTCAGAAATTCTCTGTCTAGGTTTGTTTTTTATTGAATTCCACTTAATCAAAGTGTTAAAAATATTTGAAATATTTAATCTCTTTCGTTAAATCTCTGATTAAAGTTCACTCATCGTTTTTCTTCTGTTTTCCAAGTAAACACATCAGGGCTTTCCAAGTATTATCAACAAAATGCGTATTTCAGAAATCACTTCACCCCATATGGGTCGACTTTTTGCGTTTTATTACTCGCAAGATTTCAAGATCAAAGTCTTATCTAAGTAAAGCTTATTATAGCTAGGTTAATCCTGTATTAAATCTGTCTCAATCGAAATAATTTTTGATTAAAATGGAAAAGTTGCTGTGTTCTTTTGCTGAATCCGGATCTTTTAAAGCTTGCGAAGAAAACGAACAAGAAATTTTAAGCATTTTAACTTTGAAAGACACTAAGCTGTTCACAAGATTCTTGAAAAAGTTCTTTTTTGTTCTTTTTTTTACAGAAAGAGGACAATGATTATAGAAAAGGCGACCGTTTTGACTTTTTCTTCTCTCGAAGTCCACACTCGGTCCAATCTGAGTGATGAAAAAGAAAGTAATATTATTTACAATTTGTAGAAAACTTCAAAATCTTTAGTACTTCATATTTTATAATCTCTTTTTAACTCTTTTAAGCTTTACAAAAAGATTTTATCTTAATTCTTTTATTTTCCCCAAACTGCACTTTAAACTTTTCGGTGGTGGTTGTCAATTTGTTTACACATTCACGGCTTTCACATTTTGTTGTTGAAAAGCATTTTAATTATGAAGAATATAGAAATCCGGCTTTTGTTACTCTTTTTAGGGTGAATGGATGAACAAAATTTGATCTAGTCTTTGTATGAAATCATTCACAGCATTGCTTTTTGCGGGGTAGGCTACTTTGCGCCAAATTTTTTGCGCAACTGGGTCGTTTGCGCAACTTTTTTCTAAGTCGGTCAATCTTTATGATGTTGGTGTCATTTTGTAGATCTCAATAAGTGCAACAAAATGACACCAAAATCATAAAGATTGGTCCACTTCGAAAAAAGTTGTGGCGAGTTGCGCAAACGACCCAGTTGCTCAAATGACCCAGTTGCGCAAAAAGTTTGGCGCAAAGTAGCCTACCCCCTTTTTGCAACTAAATTTTGTTTAGCTTAGAACTAGAACTTTTGTTTAGCTTTTGTTTAGCTTAGAACAACTTCAACGTCGGATTTTCATTCTTGCAAGACTTAGATCTAGTCAAGTTTTATATATTTACTACTTTACTCACTAAAGTTACAGCCTTAAATGTTTCCAGCCTTGAGTTTTGCTCAGCCAAAGTTATTTGATCGCTTTCTTTCGTTCAAAACAAGAAACAGCACGAATTATTTCGCATTTTTTCTCATTTCTCACTTCACAATTGATTTTTAAACTTTCTTTTAACAATTTTGTTTCGAAACTCTACTTACAGTACTTTTTTACTTGATTAAATGTTTGGGATTAATGCATTAATTCAATCAATGTGTAAAAAGTGGAGGTCAATCGGAAAACGCCAATGGGAAAAATGAAAGAGAAAGAAAAGGTGAGATTCTGGGAATTGGCGGGAACAATTTTTCTTCTCTTTTTCTCCTTTTTGATCTAAAACGGGATTCCCTTGCAATCTTTAAAAAGTGCTTACGAAATTGTTTCGAAATCAGCTCAAAAGCACGTGTAAGATATTCGATTTTCATATTATATCCTGAATCAAAATTATAACATATCTTGCACTACCATTCAGTATACAAGATAGTTGATGCTAGTTCAATACAGTTGATTCTATTCTACTCTACTTTATTCTAACTTTAGTCTGAATTTAGCTCAGCTTGTTTAGAGTCACTTTGTATTATTCTGGAGATCGGGGAATCTTCGGTGCCTAACTTTTTGATAACTTTTGACACTATTTGATTTCTTTTATTCCTTGTCTTTTTGTTTTCTTTTCTTCTTTTTTCGTTTTCGTTTGCTACAATTCTTTGCAACAATCACCCTTTCAGAACTCGAGATCCATTCGATGATCAGTGAATGACCCAGCTTGGCAACCATTACTACAAGGTTTCTTTTATGATTTGTGAAACCAAATCCCAAGTGACTAGCCAGCTGAATTGATCAAAAACTAGGTCAAAATGGTGTCTATGACTCTGTGTCTGGATACAATTTCCCAGAATGACCCAGACACTCCCCATCTCTCACACCCGCATTGTTAGACTTGATCATTGCTGATAATCCTTATTTCCCATTACATTTTACAGTTAATATGGGGCTAAAAGAAGGTATACTGCTATAAAGAAGATATACTGCTAGAAATCTGTTTATCGCTTTAACATTTTAAAAAATTTCAGCCGTTGGCCGTTTGCGCAGAAAGATGTCTCGACGACGATTGGGAGAGAGGACGGAGAGTGAAGGAGAAAGTGAAGGAGAAGCAGAAGATCAACAAAGGCTATTGAGAGGGGATGAAGATGAGGAAAGACATGTGGGCACATCGAGAACCATTGCAGAGTTACAGCAACGAGAGAGACAGGTCAATTCATTCATTCATTCATTCACAATTCATTCAGATCATTCAGATCGATAGAATTAAGCTAGATAGGCATAACCAGTTCAAAATTTCAAACCAATGCACCAATTCCAAACCAGAGCAACGAATCCATACTTCAATAGTTTAGACATCGGAAAACGAGCCTGGCACAAGTCAGTCAGTGAAAAGGCGCCTGGGAACACTTGTCTCCGGCATGAAGGTTAGCTTCTCTTTTTTGCTAAATCATGAAGAAATCTCAGGGACTCTATGACGATATCTTCAGTAAAGATTCCTCTTATAAGGTGAATAGGCTAGTTTAAATGAAAAACAATCTCTTTTCTAGAAATATATCCGCAATAGAGAGTCGACTTTTGCTGTGGAGCCCCTCGTTGAATCGATGAAAGTGCCGAGGAATCGAGAATCAGCTGGGCTGAAAGTGAGTCCATTCTTTTTCATTTTATCTAAACTGGGCTTTTATGAACTTTAGAGTATAATAAATCTAAAACTTTCTAGGATTCGATGAAACCACCTCGATTGAAAGAATGGCTTCAAATAGCTTGCTTTGAACTCGATCAAAAGGTTTGTTATAGTCAATCCAAGTCTTCCAACAAACAGTAGGTCGGAAGCGCTTACAAGTTTGCTGACTCAAAAGTCGTTGTTGATGGGTACACTTCAACAAGCCATCGGGATAGGTTAGTAAAAGTTTCGTTTAAGACATTCACACATTAAAAGGGATCCAGTGCTTCCAAAAAGTGTTACATTTTAGGCTTTGTCTTGGTGCTGTCGAGAACCACAACCGAAACCCATTGGTGGTGCCAGTAAGGAGACAAATTGGTAAGCTCAACTTAAAATCATTTGAGAAGCAATAGGAAAGTTGTACTTGGTTATGAGATCAAGACTCTTTCCCTGAATCGGGGTCTTTTGAAAGTTTTGTGGTCCTTTAAAAGTTTCGTGGTCTTTTTCAATTTTTGTTTTTTACCAAAAAGTCTTTTGAAATTGTTTTAAAGTGTTTTATTGAACTCCACGTGCACCAGTTTATTTGATCAGAATTTAAAGAACAATCGTAAGAACAATAATTTTAGTATTCCAGCATAGTTTCGCCCTTTAGGACGGCTGCCATTTCAGAGCAATTAATCCACGTCCATCCAAAGTGTTGATTTGCACGTCTTTCCCTTTGGCTCGCCAAGAGGCAGCGTTTTCCTGTAAATATGGAAGATCTTTGTCAATACAACCAGCATTCGTGACCATGTAAATAAAAGCTTGATCCGTCTTTGTCCCAATCAAGTCATCTTTCCACGGGCACGCAAATGCTTGTAAAAATGCTATAAAATGCTTGTAAAGACCACGAAACTCTGAGAAGATTCAGGAAAAGAGCCGAAATAAACTTAAAGAAGTGAAGTACCGATAAATTTTAGGAGGTGGAATCGAACTAGAAAGAAAAGAACGCTCGATCACATTGAAGGTACTCTCAGCTTCTCCGATTTTTGTCCAAGCTCCACTCTATGCTTTATCGAAAAACGAGAACGCTTCCACGGTTTTTCGATTATCGAGTGGTAAACTTTTGCATAAAAATGAAATAATTGCTATTCAGGAGACTCAATCGAAATCTACAATGAAGGCATTTTCACAATCGAACTCGCATCGAGGATTCATGAAAAGTCAAGGATCTATGCAATGCAGGTAAAGCTATTTTTACCGACCTGCTCCAGTGCTACTGTACAAAATTGGCGACTGCGACCGCGTTGACCGCGAATTATAGCGAAAACCTTTTGGAAAAGTAGCTGGGAAATGTCTAATTTATTTCAAAAGTGGCAAGTGTCGTATTCTCTAATTCTGAATATCGAAAATACTCAATTTTCAACTTTTTCCCTCAAAAAAGAGCTTGACATCAACTTAAATTTTGACATCAACTGTTTTGGCTATTCCAGTTCAGTCAAAACAGTTAAGTGTGATTCTTAATGTTATTAAGTAAATGTCAAACGCTATTTCTCCATTGAAGAAATATTGAAAAGCTTTTCTTAACACTTTTTAATAGAGAAAAGCGGCTAAATGACAGACTTGCCGGCGAGATGTCGACTAGCGCTTATTCAAGCGCTTGTTAAATGATTTGTATAAGTTCAATCGGGAAGCTTTTGGTAGAGAAATGTTGTCGAGAATTAGGGCTACAATTCTCTATATAACACTTGACACTTTTGAAATCAATTAGACATTTCCCAGCTACATTTTCAAAAGGCTGTCGCGGTAATTCGCGGTCATTCTGTACATACATTTTTAAAACATTTTTTGTGCTATTATTAAAAAATTCCAATACAATAAGTCTACAATTTCAGTCAATGGTTATTTGCCGGATTTCCTTTGTGAAGGGATTCGGAGCGGCATATCGTCGACCATCGATCATGCATGTGCCTTGTTGGATTGAGATCTACTTCCAGGATCCACTCCAAGCAATTGATTGGGTGAGTAAGCTGGAGATTATGAGAATTAAATGTGTTTCTGTATTGATAATCGCCAAGTTTCCATTTTCATTCGCTATTCAGGAGCTTCGCAAGACAGACAATACCGAAGAGGAGATTTTGAGGAGTTATTCCTGATCTCAAGTCAATCACTTTCATCACGGGTTTTGTAAGATTTAATAAATTGTTGTCATTCTTCATTTCAACCTAAGAATAGTTTACTTTATTATAACTTTATTCATCAATTCACAAAAAGCACAAACGCAACAACTTTTTCTAGAATTTCTAACAAAGATATGAGCTCTAGTACCAAAAATAACAATGGAATGTCCAATCACAAAAAAGGAAATGGTTAGATAGATAGATTCAAGCTTCTCAGCTGAGCATTTACTCGTCATATTTGGGTGACTATTAAGTAGAGAAATGATAACAGAATGTGTACAATAACAAAGAAATAACGCTTAAGCTGAGAGAAGTCATTTTCTACTCAAAAACATATTGAAGAGAAGGGCTTGCATTATGGAGAAAAGAGCGGCGTAAAGAAGAAGTTGAGAGGGACGAAAACGATCCTCGAATAGACGATCCAATCTGTTAGCCATTCGATGCAAGGCTACTTCGTTCTTTTCGAGAGTTTCCTGGAAAACAACCCTTGATAAATGAGTTGGTTTTCTATCATAACTCAAAAGAGTTCTGACTAGGGAACGGTCAGATTACGCGAATCCAAACCAAAGCTATATGACTTACGCAAGTCGGACACAGGCAACACGATGGCGTTTTTAGCTTTTGCCTAAACGCTCTAGATTTCTGTAAAAGCTTGAAACTTGACCCTTCCAAAAAGCTTTTTATACCTCTATTTCTATTTCTATTGTCATTTCTATTTCTATTTGTCCTACGAAAGATCAGAAAAGCTCACTTATGTGAATAGAGCTGCAAGAGAAAGAACTTTTCTGAAAGTCGCAAATTGTTTGTGCTTTTGCTAGTTTACAAAGCCAAAAAAGAATAGAATTGAATTGAGCAATAATCAGTGTTAACTTACTGGTTTTTGAGGTAAAAATTTCTACGATTACCACGATTAACAGGAGTTCCTTTCCTTTTTCGTTTTTTTCAGAACAGTGCTTTGCAAAAGAAGGTAATCAAAGCTAAAGATACTCAAAAGTACTCAAAATACAACTTGCTTAAAACATTAAAATAAAAATGAAAATAGTTCGATTCAAGGTGGATCGAGCTCGGATGGCAAGAATGGGAAACTCCGGTACTGCCACTGCACCACCGCATCACCTATTCGGTGAGCGACGTTAGCCCTTATAAGCTCATAAGCCGCTCAGTGAGAGTCAAATTTCAAATGCGTTTTTACAGAAATCTAGAGCGTTTAAGCAAAAACAAAAAACTCCATTGTGTTGCTTCCGACTTGCTTAATAAAGAAGTAAAGGAATTGGTGCGAAAAGGTCGATTTGAGGATTGAACCTTCGACCTTTTGCTTTCCGGGAAATTGTTCTAACCACTGAGCTACCCAGTGCCTTAACTTGCCAAGAGAAAGAAGGAAGATAAGCGAGAATAAGAAAGGAAGAAAGAAAGAAATTCATATAGCTTTAGTTCGGATTCGCAAAATCTGACCGTTTCCTGGTAAGAAACCCATTTGTAGAAATAAGAATGACATTTCTGAGCTTTCTTTTTGAAGATCTCACCTGTAACCTCTGCGCAGTCTCGGAATCTATTCTCAAATGTGTACTTTTCTGTTTCTTGTTTCTCGTTTGTTCATCACTGCTCTCCGACGAATCCTCGGTTTGACCGTCTTGAGACTAAATCCGAAGTTCTCCTTAATATTTCCAATCACAAACCAATTTCTGTTTTCCCGATGAAGAGACACTACTAATCTTATTCCGTATTGTTTTCGGTTTCACTTTGGAGACTGTCCGAATCTCGTAGTCGTTCTCAATTTGCTTGATGTCATTGTGGGAGTCCCAGGGTATATAGCTAAAATAGTTTTTATAGCTTTTATACTAAAATACTAAATCTTTATATTAAAATACTAAAATATGATAAAGTTTTTCAACTTACTCAGCATAAATATAGTCGTAAACATCTTGATGAGGATTTTTCTTGAAAAACTTTGTCTTATGCGGTACTCCGGACTTGGCTCGACGCCGTTGCTCCTAGAAAAACAAGGTTACAGTGCTTTCTTTGTGTTACAAGTCAGACTTGAATTTTATAGTCATTATCTAATTGCTAACAACTTTTATAGTACTAAAGTCATTTGTACAAACCTCTTCCAGGACTGTCTTCTCATTCGTGGCCTCGTACTGATCCTCGTTTGCAATAGCTGCTGTCACTTTGTTCCAGAGTCTAAATAAAGAGTTTAAAAATGAATTTTGATTGTTTTTCAAAGTTATAGTTCAAAAACTGAATTACTTTTTGGACTCCCAAGGTCCTTGTTCTTCATACGGAATCTCGTATCGATGCAATCTTTTGCCAATAATTTCAGCTGTCGGCTGCCAGAGAACTTCTTTAGTACCCTAAAATTTTTTGACGTCAAGAAGAAAATTTTCGATTTTGAAGTACTAATTCTGTTTTCTAGAAGGATTTTTTCATAAAAACTCCTTACCTTGTCGCTGTTCTTGATCTTAATCGTTCCATCCCAATGTCCCTCAAGTTCACTGATTGTTTGACTTCCGTATTTGATCTCGCCTTTGATCTGGAAATGATTTTAGAGTTAGAATAGGCTTTGCTCTGCATCTTATGGCAAAAAAAGTCACTTTACCTTGTTCATCGAGCCACCGAAGAGAGGTTTTAGCTGAAAGTCAAGCAAAGTCGAGTAGGCTGTGCGATCACATTCGATCGTTACCTGAATCAAATTCGATCGTTATCGATCACAATCGATCGCTACATAAACAATAGTCTGACATCCTTACAAGCTTGTCAATGATTTCAGCTGCATAGCAAGTTCTTCACCTGTCCTCCCAACTCCATTGTCAGCGTGCCAATCATGATTCCCTTACAATTCGCATATGGAAGAGTGACCGTGTATGTCTCGCCCCGTTTCAACAATGTTACCCTGGAAAGCTTTTAAACTTAAAAAACATCCCAATTTCACTTACCGTAAACTTCCAAGCATCATAGCCGATAGACTGTTTCCATAATATTTACTCTTCGCCAAAATCGTCCCCGACACATTGAAGCCGGCTTTCTTGTTTGTGATGAAAAGTGAAGAGATTGGCGGGTGGTGAGAGACCTGTAAGTAAGTGATTGTGGGACATTTGATAATAGTCCCGCCCCCTTTGCCATTGACCCCTTTAAATATTCTTGGTATCATTGAATGCGCCAAGTCTTTCTCTGTCGATTGGTAAAAAACTATTTAAATTGGACAGCCCAACACCAAAATATTTGAGCTCAAAGTTGGATTGCCATTGGCAAGCCCCGCCCCCTTTACCATTGGCAATCCAACTTTGAGCTCAAATATCTTGGTGTTGGGCTGTCCAAATTAAATAGTTTTTGTACCAATCGACAGAGAAAGACTTGACGCATCTAATGATACCAAGGATATTTAAATTGAAAAGCCCAACGCTAAGGTATTTGAGCTCAAAGTTTAATTGTCCTTAGCAAAAGGTATCAAATGCTCGATAAGCTGATAACTCTACTAAACTCTGAGCAAACATAGTAACACTTTCACTTTTGAATCTCTTTGACAAAACCAACCTGCTCAGCAATGTAATAGGTGACCGATTCATCGGCGTGATGCCAACAACACCGGAAAGTCTCTCCAAGAATGGGATTGTAGGGTTTCTTCAAACCCTTTGGTTTCTTGTAAAATCCAGAGAGATAAAATTTGGTGATAGCTATCATTCTTTGAAGTGGATCCTCTTCGTTGGCGGCTCTTAAACCATGGAATTAAATCAAGTATTGCTTTGGTGATGATATTGTTTTACTCACTCCGTTAACAAATCCGCGTGGTAATAGTAGTCGGCTAGCTTTTCGAGAAAACTCCTTGGCTCGAGGATGAAAGTTGGGAGGACAACTTTGGAGAGATCCATTCCTGGCCGGACCTAGATAAGCAATTGAACTCTTTTAGATTGGATTACTGTAATATACTGCTAGTAAGAGAGCTTAGGCTTTTTTTGGATGTAGAGTAGATATTTTTAAAGACCAAGTTACCTGTTTTAGTAGCGTCCACACAAGACTTTTATTCTCCTCAGCGAGCCCCTCTGTTTGGGCTCCTTCGCCCAATTGGCCGAACTAAAGCTAAGGTTTTACAAGGCGAATAAGTTAGTTTCTATCCTAAAATATTATTCAGCTTATCCCCAACCTGTTCTTTATCCGATTGAATCCAATGACTTTCTTTTGATGGCTGATCTCCATTCTCCGATCCGTCACTTCCACCCGGTTCCTCATTTTCGTCAATCTCTGCAAAATTGTTCTCAATTCATTCTATTTTAGATGTGTAGGCATTTCAATTAACGTTTTTTGAAACTAGTTTCTTTCCCTAATGGTCAATTCTATTTTCAACATTGTTCTCCCCAGGGATTTCTCTCTCAGCAAGGCTTTTAGGTTTTTGTTCTTGTTTCTTTTAACTAATTAAATTTCAAATTTTTAGAATCTTCGATTTTTGAAAAGTTTCCATGTTTTTGGTTGATTGATTCTTTTCAAAGATTCTTTCAAAGATTCTTTTTCTTTGATTGTTTTAAATGACCAAAAATCTGTCAAAAAGAACGGCGTCTAGCGTTTTTGCTTGACGATTTTGATGAATTGGACACCCCCAGAGAGTGGGTTGTTTTTGGAAAAGAAGAAAAAGGAAAAGAAACATGTGGGCTTCTTTAACCTCAAGCACTAGAGAGGTTCAGTTAAAAGAAAACAAGTTCAAAGAAAACAAGTAAAATGGAAACAAATTCAAGTGTGTTCACGGTAGAAATGATTCCAAAATGTTATTCATATCAAGAAATTGAAGTTTCATTTAATCATCCACTATGAACTTACCGACAAAATGCTTCTCAGCCTCGGTTTCACTAATATTTTCCTCTTCTCCATCCACCGAATCCGAGTCTTTTGGTTGATCTTTTAGCTCGAGCTCTTTTTTCCCATCCAACTGGAAATTTTCAACTTACATATTATTGATTCAACTGATTCTTTTAATTGAAAGAATTCCTTTAATTCATTCTTTTTTAATTGAATTCAAACTGATTCTTACATTGTGCATCGTTCTCATCAATAGTCCCGAACATCTCAATGAGAGCTCTAGCGCATCCATCCATGTTCGACCAGCCTGAATAGTCATTCTAACTTTTCAAACTTTTCACTTTCCAATCCTGGAACCTATTTTTACAGATAAACGAGGATTGGTTTACTTCAGCAAGTTTTTCAAAGACAACTGTCACCTCTTGTTAAACAAAAACCAAAGACTCTCATAGTTTTCGTTTTCAAATAGACGAGGAAATTTGAAATGATCGGAGAGACGCTTTTTATGTCTTGGTTCAAGGTAAACGCCGATTTACCTGATCACTGGGAGCTCGACAAATCAAATGAGTTGTGGGAAGGGGATTGATTGTCACTGCGCCGTGTGATTCACCCAATGGACCTCGAGTAGCCCAGATCGATTGATCGAGTGGGTGATAGAGCTGAATTATCAATTCAGCTTGCAACCATTGATTAGAGAACTCACTTTGAAGCAAAATCCGTCTTTTTTCGATGGTCTTTCTATCAATTCGCACGAGTTCAACAGAACAGTGCCCACCCAATAACCGTGCTAAAAAAGGAAACGTCAATCAAACAATAAGATTGGTCTCATTGGAATTTCATTTGATCACCAAGCTGTCGTCAGCCCGGTTAGCTCAGTCGGTAGAGCACCAGACTCTTAATCTGGCTGTCGCGGGTTCGAGCCCCACATCGGGCTTATCTTTTTTTTCTCTACTTACCTTATGAGTTTTATTGTTTTTATAGACAAGCATTAGTCCTGGTTTTAACACGCAGAAATGCCGATTCCATTTTCGAAGAGATCCTCTCAACTTGAGCCAATCCGCCATGACCACAACCTGAAAAGAGGCACAAATTGGCTCAATCAGAGAAGTTTGGCGGTTAGGTAAGTTGTTAAATGAATTGAGTAATGTAACTCTAGTCTTTTTATCATTGAACATTTAAAAGCAATAAAAATAATCATTGAAAAACTGACAGTTGGGTCTCGGAGTGCTCCCATGAGCTCCTGGGCCACCCGTTTCTTCTCATCCTTGTACTCCCGTTTTTGTTGCTGAAAGGATCAAGTTTAAGGTAACAAAATGCTTTTGCATATCAATATATTTATATAAATTGCTAAATTTACCGTTTTTCTTGAAGCTTTAAATCTTTTCGTTAAACACCGGAACACCTTGTGACCAATCAATGAATGACAATTGTCAGGAATAGGCATTTTGAGAGAAATGGCATCAACAAACAGTCAAAAAGAGGAATGATATGGGAAGGGGTTCCCCAGAAGTACGTATGTAAATTCCCTCTTTTAGTGAAGGGGGTAATCCCGTCGGGGTCACACTATTTGGGTGCTTTCAAAGGAAATCTGTGCTGTTCTCAAATCAAGTCATGTACGCAAAGCGCAAATCAAAATCCAGACTTATTCAAAAGATTTGCAACATCTTTACAAAACTTATTCACTGAGTATTTTGAGCGTTTTTCTCTATTTACCCGCCAAAAACTATTCGTCATTGAGAAATCCCTTGCCCTTTCCCTTTTTGCTCAACAATTTTTCGAAAAATAACTCACAACATATAATTTTTCATATAAAATTGAACCCTTCTTACCTTCAAATTCTCCTTTTTCTGTGGTGTTTGAATGAATTGCTCTGAAGCGAAAGAATGAGCGGAATGTGGAGCAGAATGAAGGGATTCTGGCATTCCGATCGAGAGCTCTGTCTAAAATTCGAAAATTGAGTCTTATCGGGAATGAATTGTATAGTATTTTGTTCAATTTTGTTTATCAATCGTTCTTTTTGAAGTCATTAGAAAAAGAGCTATCGATTTGATGGTGTTTATGGAAAGATTTCATGTTTAGATTTGATAAACAACTCAAAGTTTGAACAAATATATGTTTTTCAGGTGTGAAAAGGAACTTAAAGACGTTTACAAAGATAACATAGGTAAACAAAAATTGCTGTACAATGCAAAAACTATTTCAAAAGCACAAGGAGCCTTCTTTGAATTCAAGTGACGGGAAAAGTTTGAAATTGCTTTCTGAGATAGCTGATTATCAAACAGCAAAATGCTTTCTGAGATAGCTGAGTATCTTAAAATCTAAATTTAGTACTGATAAAACAAATTTCTGAAAGCTAACATATCAAAATATCTCTCAAAACATATTTCTCACACTAGAATTCGACTTGAAAGCTTGAAAGAAGAATTCGGCTTGAAAGATTCGAATTCTAAGGCTAATCTCAAGATCTTCGCCGGCAAAAAGATAGCTGAAAAGACGAGAAAGCCAAAAAAAAATGACCTTTTTCGTGGAGTGTTCGTTTTGTGCGAGCGTCTGAGGGTCGTGTGGGGCCTCGGGGGACCCTCCAATAGTGGACAGAGAGGCCGGAGAGGTCGATGAGTGCACACCCTGCTGCATCTTCGCGAAACGATCAGGGGGTTGTCCTTCTCACTTCACTTCCCCTTTTTTTTTCTTTTCTACACTCACTTTTTTTCAATCACTCGATCTCACTCGCAAATTTTCTCTCTTTCTGAAATCACTCTGATATTTTCTCTGACAGCAACAGTAAACGGAGAATTTTTTGGGAAACGGGAAATTTGAGGCCGGACAAACGACCCACAAAAAATAGAGGGCAATTGGCTAACAAGAGAGGTCACGCTGAGAGTGAAAAAGTGAAAAAGATCACAAGGAACTCTTTTGAGAACAATTCGATAAGTGAAAAGTGAAAGGACAACTTTTGCTCTCTTCCTTTTCTTCAACTTTTTGGTCACTTAAAGTTTGATCAAAGAGAACACTGCTACATTTTTTTGAAAAGTTAAATATTTCAAAAGTTTTTCATTTAAAAGCCTTTTGTTTTTCTTGAAATTGTGATTCACATTTACATCAAGCGATGACTAAACAAGCGAATCAAGCGAATGAGGGGGGAAATGGATGTGAATGATTGAAATGATCATTTTGAATGGATCTGAGTCAATGATTGGGCCAAAACGAGCAATCAATTGCATAAAACATTTAAGAAATTGATGTAATTATCTTTTGAGAAAGGATTAATAATGTTATCATCAAAAATGAATCTATAAAATGAGCTTTTCGTTGTAATACTTTCGCAAAATGACCCATTTCTTTGTCAACAGATAAATTCCGCTTCAGAAAAGAAAATACGAAGTGCAGGTGACCTTTTTGAATGAATGATAATGATGTGAGACAAAAAAGAATTGATTAGAAGATTTAGAAGAAAAATGGGATTGCGATAGAATAAAATATACATATTACGATAAAATATACAGTATTACTATCGATAATCAAATCCACATGGTTAAACTGTGGCTAAATTATGTCTAAAATAAACAATATTACTATTAAACTATCGATAATCAAAACTACTTGGTTAAATTATGGTTAAACTATGACTGAATTATGACTAAAACATGGCTAAATTGGCTGGCTAAATTGATAAGCTTATTTACCATTCAACTTTGGTTTTTGATAGCTTTCCTTTGATGGAGAGTTGAATAAAACTGTTGGAAAAATTGTTTGAAAAATTGTTCACACCTAGAGTGTTAGAAAAGAACTAAAAGAGAAACTAAAGAACTAAAAAAGAGAACTAAAAAAAACGGGAATCAGAAGAAGGGAAGTAATCAAGTTGGGACGTCTGGAGCAGTATAGGTTTATTCCCTGAAAAGTTGTACACATACACAAAAGGGAAAGGGGTAAAAGAGAGAAGAACGGGTGAAAGGGGAAATGGCGAATGGAGAGGAGAGAGATTGGGCAAAGGGGAAATGGGAAAAGAACGGAATGGGGAGAAGGGATCGAGAATTGCAGTGAAACAGAAGCGATTGGGATGAGTGGGATTGAAGAGAGAAAAGAAAAGGGATTTGGTGTGAGAAAGGGGAAAAGCTTCAGAGGATCGGGATTTCGATTGAGAGAGGCGACGACGAATCACAGAAAGATTCGAGATTTTGAAATAGTGATGAGGATAGAGGGTAGTAATAGACTAGAGTCGAGGTAAGGAAAAGAGAAACAGAATTGAAGAATGGATTCTAGACAAGAGATTGATAGAGACACCCACTTCAGAGAGATCGATTCCCCTCCACTGCTTTCAGAGAGATTATAGAGACATTCGAGAGACATTCAGAGAGACATTCTAGTGGTTGATGGGGTCTAAACGAGCAGAAACCGCGGGAAAGCCTTCAGAGACAGAAATAGATTGGGATAGGAAAAGATTTGAGAAGATTGAGACAGAAGCTTCGTGGAAAGAGAAAATAAGCCTGATGAGATGGAAAAGCTTTAGAAGAGATGAAAAGCATGATAGAGAGACGAAAATAGACTGGTTCAGCTTTTCCATAGAGAAAACGAAAAGCAATGATAGAGTTGACCTCGTGGGGATTTCCATAGAGACCCAGACATGGTTCTCCTTTTCCCGTCTCCTCTTCACTCCCCTTCACTTCAGGGTCTCTCTAACGGATAGAGGGATGTCCCCTTTCCCCTTTTCACTCTCGAATCGATCTCCTCTTATATCCAATGCTCAAGGCAGCTCGAAAATTTCAGAATACTTCACCACAACGAAAACACACCCATTACCGCAAATTGGGTGAGAATTGGCTCCAGAATTCGTTGGGCTTTTGAATAGGAAAGCTGTTTTACTATACTGCAGAAAAATTTGAGACATTTGGATGATGAAACATTTATCTGGAATCTGTTATGGCAATCTGAAATCATTTAGTTGAACATTTATCTGAACATTTATCCAAAATCTTTGCTTAAAAGCTATTTATCAAACAGTACATTTCAATAAAATAAAATGAGATCATCAGTGACAAAAACCGTAGTCAAATCGGTCCAAACAAAAGGATATGTGAAAATCGAAAATCAAGAAGGGCGCGAAGTCATCAAGCAAAAGCTGAAAGCAACAATTTACAACTAGAGATTGGGAGGAAATGTGGGAGAAATCTCTGAAAAAAAACGAAGGAAAATTGGGGCACAGAGCGAACCGATCCCCGAAAAGAGATAACGAAAAAAGAGTTTCCGGGAAAGAAAAGCCCAAAAGGACAATATAACATGCATTTCTTTGTCGTTAAAGATTGAAAATCACTGATAGAAGCACGAATTTCTGGTTTTTCCTGCTGAATCGTAATAGAGAGTTGTGAAAGTTAAATGCCTGGCATTATCAGCAAATCCTTGCATGTTACCTTTTTTCTTGAATCCCCAAACTAAACTACAATAGACTAGAGATAAAAAGAAGACTAGAGAACCATGAAAACTAAAGCAATATACATTTCAGCATCAATTATGAGATTTGTTCATCATTTTCTCACTAGCAGCAAGCATCAATGAGGATGGCATCGCGCCACTCTTGTCACAGGGAATACATCCGAAATTGTTCTTCCATTTCATCCTTGTCGTGGATCCCGAATTTTTGCTCATCCGCCTTCATCAACTTGAAGATTGCCTCCATTTGTTGAGCTCGGATACGGGCTTCCTGGAAGGGGAAGTCTTTGTCTAAGCTTTACCCCATTTACAGTAGGCTGTGGTCAAATGAAATAAGTCATAGACCATTCGGCACAAAATTTCACGCTGATTCCGATACTGCTATCTGTTTTTGCAAAATAGCTTTCTATAAAAAGTTATACGTGTTTTAAGTTTTAGGGTGAAAATGCAAAAATTTGGAGCCGAATAGGGATGCCTTTATAAAGGTTCTCTCACGGACTTTTCACGTGAGTTGATGGTATAGTGGATAAAACGCCTACATACAAAATGTCCACATAACTGATGTTTTAGCACCTGAATTTTATCTGATCTGGGTGTACTGGGCCGGATCTGGGCCAGATTCAGATCCAGAGCCTAGATCCAGACACCCAGATCCGATAAAATTCAGTTGTTAAAACATTAAGACGCGAAACAAAAGTTTGGCCAAAAAGCAATCGAACTCGAGCAGAGAAATGCCAGGCTCGTTTCGTCTGAAAGCGTTTTATCCATTATACCATCAGCTCACGTCCGGATTCTGTGAGAGAATTCTTATAAAGACATCCCTATTCAAATTTACCCTAAAACTTAAAACACTTATAACTTTTTATAGAAAGCTATTTTGCCAAAACAGATAGCAGTATCGGAATCAGCGTGAAATTTTGCGTCGAATGGTCTAGGGCTTATTTCATTTGACCAAATCCTACTAGTGCCTTTCCCTCGTTAACGTAAACTCCAAGGTTAGAAAGAACTCAAAGGTTGGAACCTTTATGTGCAAATCAGTATTGTTATTGGACTTGAGGTTGAGTTAGCTATCTCATTCTGGATTCTATCCCACCTCATCCAATTGCTCTTGACTCATTTCCCTTTCGATCAGTCTCGATTTAGCTCGAATCTCAGCCGTTTTCAATTTCCCGTGCAATTCACCAAGTGTCCCCAGAATATTTTCATTGGCCAATGCGCTCAAATCGCCGAAATCTTTCTCATCGTTGTTGATCACTGTCTGAAATCATTACCAAATTCAGTTTAAATCCAGTTCAGTTTAATTACTTACCTTATCGAATGCGACTTTCTTCTCCGGCTTCTCATTCTTCTCGCCGTTCTCATTATTTTCTTTCTTCTCATTGTTCTTATTTTTCTTCGATTTGTCCTTTTTCTTCTTTTCTTTCTTCTCCTCTTTCAGCAGCTCTGAAATCGACTCATTCGAATTCTGCAAATCTCACCAACCTTCAGTTTCTCCTTCAAGTGAACAATGGAACTTTGTCTCAATCAAAGTATCGCCATCCTGCTGAAAATTGGATAAATAGTGAATTTCTAACGACACTAACCCTTATCAATCCTCTCGTTTTTCGAAGACTTGCTAACATTTTCGTGTCAAACCCACCACGTAATGGTAGTGGAATGTTGAAATCTGAATGCGATTTAGCTATTGCGATTGAATCAACTTCTATCTTTTTGTTTGCAATTCTATGTTGGGGAGTAACAATATCGAACAAACCTTGTTCATTCAATTCTTCTTCTTCCTCTTCATCAATCGTTGGCACCTTTTGTGTCAATTTCTTTGGTCGATTTCTTCTCACAGAGATTTGCGCTGCCAAGAACGCGAACGCTCCCATCAAGACACCTGCCTGGAAAGATAGCGGATCGATTTAAGCAGTAGAATTCTATAAAATTCTTCTAAATTTGCGTGAAAACTAACCAAAAGCGTAAATCCAATGACTGTCAATGGATTCTCGTGTGTATATTGTGTGACACCACCAGTAAATCGTCCATTCAGCGTTGAGAGATCGAATGTGATCACATATCTCTTTACGACGTCCCAATATTCTCCAAATGGAATCCTTACTGTCATATCTGAAAGTTTCATTGTGAAGACAAGCATTTGATTGATCGAAATGATCAAGAAAATACATTTTGCAGGTATTGAAGAATGTCTTCTACCTAAATTATTCTGAAAGTAAGCTACAAATATCCACCAAAGCTGTAGCCAAAAGCACCACAATCCAGGCAGCTTGTCGTGGATTGTGTTTACTTTCAGACTCCAAGAGATTCACCCCTTTTAGTAGAAGATTCTCCCCTGAAAGTCATCACCGTTTACATGGCAACGTGATGATGGGTCGGATTGGAGATTTTGGTGGGAAAAGTCGAGGAAAAGTCGGGGAAAAGATGGGAGAAGCTTCCAGGGGATTCACTCAAAGTTGAAAGTTACATGCAAAAGTTTGATGTTATGAAAAGTTACAAATAATTATTTGTCCATAGATTCAGATAGCTACATTTGAAAAGTTAAAAGTTGTTAGGTAAAGCCAGGAAAGTGCTTGCAAACACCCCCATTTCCTAATTTTTATCTTGTAATAGATCCCGTTTAGCATAATGAATAAACGGGTTAATAAACGTGAATACAAAAAACTTGAAATTTATAATAATTTCCATTAACTATGGAAAAATATAAAATGCATGCTTCAAGAAATGTTTCAAAAACCATATTTTTATCAAGAGGTGAATCAACAATAATATTTATATTTAAAATAACAAAGAAAACTTGTTTGTTCAATGCTTGAGGCAAAAAATGGACAGAGATGGGAGAGGTGTAGAATTGGAGAGATCTCTGTCATGTCTGCACTCTTTTTTCATTTCTTGTTCTTTTGCTCTTTCTCCAGATCCTTTTTCACCTCTTATTTTACCTTCATCTATCCCTTTTGGTAAAACTTTGAGAATGACTTGCAAAACTTGCAAGTGAACTTTTACTGATTTCGTTTTTGTAAATTGATAGCTGTAAGAAAGTTGCAAAGTAATTTATTGATAAATTCCTAGAAAATAAATTTAAAAAGGTGTACGATAAAATTAAAATGTTGAACGCACTTTTTATCTCCCATCTTCTCTCCCCATCTTTTCCCTCTCTTCTTTTCCCCCAATGGCGCGAATGAACGAAAAATTGAAATTTCTGTTTTGAATTTATTCAAGAAAAGCTCGCAGCTCGTTTGTTTTACATTTTTTTGTCAGCAAAAGAACTAATCACCCTTTTTTATTGATTTTGCCAAATTTCCCCTAAACTACAGGGTGACCAGAAATAACCCCTTCTTTTTTTCTAGGCTCATACTTCTGTTATTTGTAGATCAAACTATTGATTTCTTTTTTTTAAAGGAAAATTCACATCGTTTTCTGTATATGTTCAAGATTTCATGGCCATAACATCGATAGATAATTTTTTTACGAACGCTCAAAAAATAACGAGTCGCGAGCCGCAACTCAAATTTAGGGATTCCTTTATTGTCGATATTTATTTATTTTGTGAGTTTTTTTTTCAAAAATCCCAAATTTTAATTGCGGCTCGTTATTTTTTGGCCAGCCATTTTTGAGCGTTCATAAAAAATTATCTATCCATGTTATGGCCATGAAATCTTGAACATATACAGAAAACGATGTGAATTTTCATTTAATAAATTAATCGTTTTGGTCTACAAATAACAGAAATATGAGCATAGAACGGACTATTAGGACGGGTTATTTCTGGTCACCCTGTATTTATGAGCGATTCTTACCATGTTCGGACAATTACCCTTTGCTAAATTGAATGTATATGCGCTATCGGGTAACCAAGACCAATGCAATGTTTCGATGATGTTTTCTTTCATGTATGTGCCTTTCAAATGCATATCTATTCTTTTTTTAAATTAACAGTTTTAGAAATGACATCATCTCATGAACAAACGACAGTTTCGATCATTCGAGACGAGGAATTGCTCTTCTCCGATGGTTTTGCCTACATTCCAAACTTGACGCTCACAATTGAACATGGTAAGAAGTCTTAAGCAAATGTTACTTTGTAAAAATACCAGCTGCGCTAAGCGTACGCGGCCACACGGATATTCTAGCTAGAGGTACGGAGGACACGTAGCACAAGTCTGATTGCAGATTCGGATTCCTCGCCCCCGAAAACCGCCGAGTACAGATTTTCAGTTTTCTAGTTCACTTCGTTGTAATTTTACGTTAACGTAATTTTTATTGTCGCAAAGACGACAGACGATTTTTTATTGACAGACGGACGGACGTTTAATTTTTTTTGTAGATATAGATATTTTGATTGTATTTTGACTCAAAAGTTCCTTTTAGAAGCCCTTCAATCGCCCGTGCCAATGAATGTAACAGTCGACGGAGATGTGTTCACATTTCCGGATGAATCTTTATTCAATGATCGATTCATCACTTGGTAAAATTATTATTCGCTTTAAAATTGATGTATTAAATATTACGATAAATTAAAGCCAACTATCCATTCAGGCGTGGAATGGGACAAAAAATGTTTTTGGAAGAGCGATCTCTGCAATCTTCACTTCAATTCTCGATTTGCCTCTTCTTTCCACATGCACCAATTCTACCTGGAACTACGATTACTGGTGAGTGCCTTAAAAAGAAAAATATTCTTAAAACCTTTACTTTTTAGTTCTGAACGATGTTCTCTTTTTGATTGTCCCGACTCAAATCTCGATTCATCGATTCTACATCTATCTTCCAAAAAGTGTGACCATGAAAGTAAGCTTTTAGGATTGTAAAACGTTTTAAACCTTAACGCATAGAATTCCGAAGTTATTCAACTTTCAGGATCCCATCTTGAAATGCTTTGAGGGAAACGATGAAATGTGTTTCCATCATGAAGTTCATTCAATTCAATCACATGGCAATCCGATCAAGTAGGTCTTAGACTGAAGAATTTTGATTATGCAATACCAAACTGGCCTTAATCTCGAATTTAGAGCTTCGATTGCGCAAAATCTTCTCGCGACAACAGTGCTCTTGGTGACGTTTGAAGGGATGCTCACACACATCAATATGCCCACAGATAAAAGTTTGTACAATTGTTAGATCTATACAGGGTTGGGCAAAACTACGCGGACAAGAGTTCTTTGTTGTAACTTTGCAGCCAGCCAACTTAATCGTATAATATTCTCCATAGTATAAATGTCATTCCTTAACCTATTGGGATATTACTGAAAAGAAAAATCCGTTGGCCGTCTTTTCTTTCGAACCACAAAGCATCGGGTAAAATTGATCCTGGTTCGGAGCCTCATTTTCCCCTTTTCAGCGCTTTTTTGGTTTCTGAAAAACCTGAGAAAAAACGACATTAAGGCTGGAAAAGTGTGGCTACTTTTTTTTGAGGATAATTAAGAGTCGATAGAAAAAGAATTATAGGAGTCTTATGAAACGGCTGACGAATAACATTCAAACATGTTTCTTGTCCGGGTAATTTTGCCCAACCCTGTAGAGTTCTATGGTTCAGAAACTTTACTGATTAACCTGTTCCAGCCAAAGAAGTTGAAGAAACAACGTTGAAGGGCTCGGGAATGATTCGACGATTGTTGAAAAGGGCTTCGACAGGTTACAGTCGAGATAAGGACTCTCATCATGCTTTGGATATCTCCGTTCTACAAGCCAATGAACAGAGGTGACACTTAAAAGATTACTTTAAAACCCATACTTTGTAAATTTTGGTTATCAATAAATTTCAGAGAGAGTCCTCTATTTTTCGCCATCTATCGAGATTTGTGTGTTCGTGTTTGGAATGGAGAAGTTGTATGGCTAAAGTTTTCGTAAAATTCAGTGTTTCAGCACCGAAGCTTACTGAAAACGATCGAATTTGATAAAATGATAAGTAAAATTAATGCGGATGATTGTAAGTAAAGAAGTTTTTAAACAAAAGATTCAATCGTTGAGTGAACAACGTGACTGTGAAGGCAACTATCGCCCACAATGGAGAAGTGATGCTGATGGTGACGATCAATACAAAGAACAACACTTTGGTAAGTTGCAGAAAGTTTTTTTCCTTAGCAACTAGTTTTTAGTTCTTGCTGTTGAAGGAAAATGGTACACAATACGAGAAGATTGCTTACTTTTCGGCGCCTCATTTTGTTTCTGTAAGTTTCCTGACAGTACTTGGTTTAAATCTGTTAATGTAAGGTTTACAATGAGCTTTCCTTTTACAATTAATTTTATAATGAGCTTTACGTTAGCTTTACAAACCTTTTCAGAAATGCTCACTCATTGATTCCGATCTCAAACACTTGGGTGACGGATATTGGAAAGTAATGGGATTGTGGAACGATTCAAGCAGTCGATCATCATATCGACTTCTCCACATCACCATCGAAGAGATCAATCATGAAAGAGAACAAAGAAGAAATGATCTCATTCATCCATGGAGAGCTGTCATGGTTGCTTTGATCAACTAGATTATTGGAAAGCAATTTTCAGACAGCATCTTCTTCCTCAATCATTTCTCCATCTGAGACAACTCTTGAAGAGATTCACTCAATTTTGTTCAATCGGGATCAACATTCGCTTGAGGTTTTGACGAGAGCGATTCAGGTGAGAGCTTTAGATTAACTGTTTTTAACTAACAATAAACGGAAGAGAGATTTAAATTTTAGATTGTTTGCCGTGGTCAACACAACGACAGCACCACGTTAACAACTTGGGTCGAATTGGAGAAATTCGTCGAAAACTACTCGATGACCTCGGAATTTGATGAGAAATTTTGCAATGATGGCAGTTTGAAGAAAGAAGATGGATTCTTAATGTAAGATCTGATAGAAACAAGCAATTATCAAAAATTTCAGGTTATTGAGAAAAATCTACACCAAATGTACGGAATTGGAGCGATCGATGAACTCACCAATCAAAATTTTCCAGGTAAAACAAGTTTCCAGGGAATTTTTAAGCATTGTTTCAGATGTCCTCGTCTAGTTGTCACTTTTGGGGAGTGCTTCGACATGGAAGTGTGACAATTGTTGAAGAAACGGCGAAAGTTTTATTGAAAAATCTCGCTTTGAATGACTTCAAAGCATGGTCTCGATCAATGGATGATTTAGTGAAATATACAGAAATGGCATTGGCTTGTTCTTCGCAAGAGGTAGTTTTCAAAACCCAGAATTTTTCTGTGCACTTGTTGTATGTAAAAACCGAGTTGAACTTTATGTCCAACTGGTCCTTTTACGTGCTTTTATGGTTCTTTTATGTGTTGGCGCTGGGAATACGATACATGGTTGGCGCCGGGATTCGAACCCGCGATCTCTAGCTTGCCGGGCGAACGATCTACCAATGAGCTACATCGACATTTATCCTAAGCCTAAGCCTAAGCCTAAACCTAAACCTAAACCGTATTCTACTACCCAAAGAAGAAGTTTTCAGGAAGATATCGATGACGAATACCTTTCTCCTCCATTTCCTCGGCTCACTTCTCTGGAAATTGAGCGACTATTGAGCGGGGCACAAACTATTCTACAACATATCCAAAAAATGACTGCAAGTAAGGAAGAAATGGCCACTCTTGATGTGAATTCATCCAATTCTCATTTCACAAGCGGATTGATCGTTTCGATTCTACGAAGAAATGTTTGTTTTTGACCACAATTTTACTGAACGGACTAGTGAAATCATCGATTCAATTCAGGTTCGACGTGCCCAGGCTACCGCTCACAATCTCTCACTTCTCTGCTTGAGACTCCGAGAAAAACAGGTATATTCTAATATTAATATTTATTTACAAGCTGTTTCTAAAACATTTGATAATTTGGACATGTGAGCATTTTGTTCTTGCACTCCGGATTGTTGACACTCTAGAATTGAAATGAGCACCAATTAGTTTTCTCTAACTTACAAAGAAAGCGACATCTCCTCCACATTGGAAAACTCCGGCATTGTAATCACAATAAGCGGCAAAGATGGCTGATTCACATTGGATCATTTGGTTGAGGGCACTAAAAAGACGTTTCTGCTTATAGTCACTTGGATAATATTTAGGTTTTTTGCATTTTCCCACTTACACGCAAGCATCCGTCCCATTGTTGATAGCATTGTTCATATCAGTTGTGCATTGATCGATCGTGTTACTCTGGTGCTCCGCGCAAGCATGAATGCAATAGAAATCAGCCATCAAAGCTAAAGTTTTTGATTTAAATTATCCAGAAAAACTTTTCCTACTGTTGTATCCGGGTCCACATTGATAGATTGTGAGATTCAAATCCAAAGCCCATTGAAGTTTCTCCGTTTGATTGGCTCCCATTGTGACGAAAGTGTCTTGTGAAAGGCACGAGTATTGACCGGTGCATTGTCCAAGAGCATTTCCAAGGCTAAAATTATGAAAGTCAATGATTTTGTCAGTCATTTTTGCTTGTTAACTACCATATTTTCCCTAATAGTATTGTATCCTGGGCATCATCTAAATTCTTCAAAATCTGAAAAACCGCTTATCAGAACCTATCGATATAGGGTCGGAAAATGTAGCTGAAGATGAGACCTTGTGGGGGATTAGAGTGTTGAGCTTCTGTGAAAACTTGGAAACCGTAAAATAGTCATCAACTCGGCTTAGTGGGATGCACTACTATTAGAGAAAATAGGGTAAACCGTCAACTCACTTGCAAATTTTTGGTTGAACTGCTCGTCCTTGCTGATCCAGCATCGCTGTTCGGATTTGGTGGAACTCCTAAATAATCATTCTTGCGCTGTCACTCATTCTAAACCCACATCCCAATAGTGGACCAGCTTGTCCTTCATCGTAATTCCATATCCAGAAAGATAAGTTCTATAGCAAGTCAACAATCCATTCACATCATTGTTCGAGCATGTGTCAACACCAAGAACAACAGCGACAAGAGCTGAAAGCTTTGTTTTAAAGTTGAGCAAATCTTCAACTCACCAATAAAAACCAAAGTTGATTTCATTTTGGGAGTGGTTTCTGCGGAATAAAGCAATCCCTATCTACACGAGTCTCCTTTATATAACTGACATCACTGGTCGTTATCTTTGAAGGCACAGATTGCGAGCTTTTCTTCGACTTTCTAATCCCCAGATTTGCCTGGGTGAAAGTTTTCTAAAAAAATGGCAGTGCAAGAATTGGAGATTGTGACTGGATTGAGTATGTACGAGTCCAGACCAGGCTACGTGAAATCTTTACAAAATGGCCTGATGAACCTAGTAACAAACATATTGACAAGTTTTGCTTTAACACAGAAAAACAAAAACTGAACTAAACCATTTCAATATTGATGACAAAAGATAAGACTAATCCTTCAGCGAGTCAAACGATCAAAATGGTCGACTCTGACCCGGATCTATTTAGAATTTTTGTTCCTAATAAATTTAGTGGTCTTCTGAAACGTCGAAACAATGCCTGGAACTCTATGGGGAAGCACACGCATTGGGAAGAAGCCTCAAGTTGTTGAATGAACAACTTTCACTGAACATTATTAGGTAAAACAATCAGACAACTTTGATCTAAAGTTTTTACAGATTAAGTTTTAAAAGAATAAATATATTAGGATCAAAATCAAAACCATTTCTAGCAACTCCTCTTTCGTCTCTTTGGGCAGTTGGATCAATGAAGAAGAACGGCTGACAAATATCTTCTCTGATGGACTCCCCTTCACATCAACAAGCTCATCTGGCAAGGAATTGAACGATTTTGTTGCAAACTGTGCTCAGGTACATTAAATTCTTATGAGCTTTTATTGCTGTTCCAGAGTTGAGGGTACTAAAACAATTTCAGGGTTTACTCACCGCTTTCTACCCCACAAACAATCACTGTCTTCTCTTTAAACTCCTCTTCATAGAGAAACACTATTTGGGGCTCAAAGTTGGTTTCGAACCCGTTTTTTTTTTATTTTACCAGATTTCAGGACTTGATCAAGCTGACGACTCTTTACGAGCAAGAATTCCTCAAGTCAAATTGCACAGAGAGCCCGACTTTTGAGTTCTATCTGGGAGTTGCCTATGCAGCAGCTGGATTGGGAGAGAAGGTTTGCTAATTTTACAATTTTCTTAGTCTCATTCATTCATCAATTATTGAAACAATTTAGGCTCTTGAACGATTCAACTCGTGTATCTCGTCTGGTGAAAAGGGAGATCGTGGCCTTTCGATGACTCTTTCCGTTCCAGAGAATAGGATTCAAAAAGAACTCATGTCAAGGCTTTTTATGGAGGTTTTATAGTCAAATTAGCAATTAGAAATTGGTTTTCAGATCATCACGATTCTTGCCGAACACGGCCACAAAGAACAAGTGACCTCGATTTCAAAGAAAGCTCGTCAATACCTTAACGACAAAAATAGTGTTCAGAACCGGGTAAGGAGAAATTTTAATCCATTAGATCAATTTATATCACAGCCTATTTTGCACATTCAATGAAATAAATAAAAGTAGACATAGAGTTGAGATCAAATTTGGTAAAGCTCGGATCGAGTGAGAGGTGAGGATTTCAATGGTCATCTCGATCTCCTCGTTGATCGGGTCACGGACCCATAAAGCACGGAAATTCTGGTCTCTTTGATGGGATAAACTAAAAGAAATGGATATTTTTAAGATTTCGTATCTAGTTAATCTTTGGCTGTAGATATTTACTTGTCTTGATGACTTACACAATGTCATCTTCTTTGACCGGCTTGATTGTGTAACCTTTGTCCTTTAGAAGATCCAAAATGTTCTTCTCTCCAATGAAATGGCCTAAAATGGGTTAATCTAAAATAGTTTTAAGAATCTAATTAAATTAAAAATTTTATTTTCCAAGCCTGAATTAACTTCTTACAATTAGAATTATTTCATAGACCAACCCGTCCCCAAAGCAGCAAAAAAGTTTGTCTCCCCATCTTTGCTAATCACTTTATCCAGCCGATCAGCCATCCGGAAATTCCTCTTTATCAAGATATCATCTTTCAATATCAAATCAATCTAAACTCACTCAATTAGAGCTTTAAAATAATCTCCCTTTACTTGTTTTGCCCGTTGAACGTCACTCTGATTAAAATGAGAGCCGAATTTTTCGTTGCTGTGAGTGTTCTTAAAGACATCGTTCTCAAGACTACCACACTCGTAACTTCTAAAACAAGTTTTTACGGGAAACTAAGATCACCAACCTAACAATGTCATAAGTTCTTCTAGATCGATTGATTTGTTGAAGAGAGGGATTCCTTTTCGTTATCAACTGATATTCCAAATAGGAGAGAGTGTAGTTGATTGCAAAGACAACCTGAAAATTCTTTGGTTTTAAAATTTTATCTAATTTTTTTAATTTTAGGCTTGCTGATACACCGATTGCAACTCAACTTCTCCAATAAAGTCTTAAATTTTCGGGTTTAGCTTGAATGCAATTTAAATGCAATATTCGTCTTATTTATTTAATTGATTCTTGAAATGAAAATTTCTCAATAATTTATGCAAATTCCACAACATTTCCCTTTGTTCTGCCAAAGTTTAAAGAGCACTTGTTGAATGAAAAAATGGGAAGAGGGAAGGTTGAAGTCCTTCCTTTCAGTTTCCCACACTCACTGCTCTCTTTAGGATGGCTAGTCGAAACTTGTTCACTCTCAAAGCTGTCATATTCTATTAAAGCTATATATTTTATGCTGAAGAAATTCAAAAAATGAGCTTGAGTATCGTTTCATTATCGATTGAAGAGTTTGAGAGTTTCAAATCTGATTGCTTGTTAATGTCAATTTCAATCCCTGAGAAAAGAATACTTGAGCAAACAAATTTGCTTGAAATTGAGTTCATTGAAGCAAAACTAGACCAAAAATGTAGTGAAGCCTTAGCTTAAAATGTCTTTAAGTCTACAATGTACACGGTATTATCTCAAAAATCAAGTCTAGAGATCCCAGTTTACTACTATTCCGAGAAAACTACGAAACCCCAATGATTGCAACGGTTTTTGCAAGAATTGCACCCAGACTCTGATCCTTTGAGAGCTCGTTTTTTCGAGTGTTTGTATATTTTGGAAGCCTCACAGAAATAGATAAACGTGTGAAAAACCTAGTTGGATAAATAAAAGAATGAACTAGGTTTGCTATCAAAGAATGAACTGCTATCAAAGAGTGAACTAGGTTTATCTAGATTATCGATTATCGACTAACATCTAAATGATCGATAATGTTTACCTGTTCTTCCGAAAGTGATTGAACCGGATTGCATTGCTAAAAGTGAACTTGTGAAATGTTTTCTGTGAAAAACTACCTCATTAGCTGTCTCGATACTGTGAATATCTTTTCCACTTGCTGCAGCCATTTCAGCTAAATAAGCATCCAACATTGGAGAATCCTCACGATCGAGATTGTTATCACAAAGTTGATACAAGACAAAGAGCAACCATTCTGCTCGACGACGATCCCAGCCACCTAGATGTTATTGTTTTCTGAGAAACAATAGTTTCCAGACTCACCAATGGCTTGATTGAAATTAGCAATGACTGCTTGTGCTGCTTCTGCGTCATCTCGTTCCTTCAAAACAGAAATCAACTTCTTGCGGTAACTGGCGAAATCTGAAACGATTGATTGAAAGTTCTCTGTTGTAACAAACAATGTTGAAGTCTTTGATGGAGTTCTGGACCAAGATATTGAAGACTTCTCTGCTTTCCTTTCAAATTTTTGCATTTGATGAGTCGACGAAGAGTGGATGGATCTTGAAGGTCAACCTCGAGGATCACCGAATTCGCTCGATGAAAGGCTTCCTTGACACGATTCGATACTGTAACTTGGTTTTAAGCATTGTACCATCCATCGATAATCTTAATTACTCAAAGCAAACATGTTTTCAACTGTTAACTTTTCCAAAACACATGTTTTCAATCAAAATTACCCTCAATCTAGAGAATCCCATTAAGATTGGTCGATGTTAGCTGAACACCTGTTCATTCTTTGTCTATTTTATAGAAGGCAGTGATAATTGGCACCTATCTGGGCCATTTTCTCTTTCCAATCTTTTCCATCCAAATTTGACCGCTTTTAGGAAAGATCAAGGATGCCCATAGGCAAGAATCGACCGCCAGAAAGGGCTCAAGACAGACAAATCAGCAGATGCCTCATTGAGTCCACAAATCGGAGCCAATTTTCTCCAGAGCTTTGAACAATAATTTGCAAGAGTGATTTGCATATTAAACTAGGGTTTTGGTGGAATTGGTTTAGTAGAGAATAAAGTTCTCACCTCGATCCCAGATCCGCGTGTATGGTACGTGAATTGTGCCGAAGAGATACCCGACTTGTTTCCCATTTGATTTCTCAATCGTCCAGAGAAATAAATTTCGCTCAGTCTGCAAGTCCTTTAATCATTAATACCAATGAAATTCTCATCGCAACATCGATTTCCCCTGAACTCACCTCCAAACAATCGCCCCTGATCGATGAAAAAGACAAGTACAGAGTGCACAACCAACCAATCCATTTCATCATCTCTCATTTGTTAAAAACATTTGTGAAATTGATAGAAGTTCCTGAATACTTTTACAATTTTTTTTTAGTTTTGTTTCTTTAACCAAAATAAAAATATCTCTCTAGGGAAATGTCAAAGATGGCCTCAAAAACACCTGTCAAAGTGAGAGAAGTGAGAAAAGCTCTAACAAAAGAATATCACTCTAACAAAAGAATAAGAATATCAAATGGGGATTAAAAAAATGATAATATTTAGCTGATGGTATAGAAAATCGTTTGGTTAACCAAAATAGGCTAAGTTTCGAAAAAATATCCAAATGTGCGACATTTGAACAATACAAATACTAATATGTGACATTTGAACAACATGCGAATAAGTGTACTTTGCTAGGTGAGACTTTTCACACTCCTAGATAATGTTCGGAGAATGCTCGAGGCCGGAAACACCTAGGAAGAAAGGATAGACTGAAAGGAGAGCAACCTCCCCAAACTTGGGTGAAGAGGGGGTGGTAACACGCAATCCCGTCACACCTAAAGTGAGCATTTTTGGTGAAAGTTTTGAGATTGGATTTAGGATATAAAAACTATAGTTATTTAAAGATGAAGATTCATTTAAAAAGTTACATACTTAGAGATGAGCATTGAGTATTTAATATAATATCGTTGTGCCATTTAAAGTAAAAAAGAAAACAAGAATTGAGAAGCACTACGGTGGGTCGAACCCGGATCGCGCGGGCTATAGACAAGCGCGCTCCAGACAGCGCCACGGTGACCAAACCATTTGCAAAACATCTGGCCAGAAAAACCCGCTGTTAGGCGAGTTTTTTGGCTGGCTTTTTTTTTGATAAAAAGTCAAACGTGAATCGAGAATGTTGCGGATTTCGGGGAGCGGAGAGGAAGTCTCTTCTAAATTCACACGAGAAACAGAAGGGGAGGAGACTCCTCTTTGCACCTGCACATCCCAACAATGGGGGAGACCTGGAGATGGGCCAAAGGAAAGGAGTGAAGAGGGGAGAAGTCCCTTCTTGACAAACATCCCCTCTTTTCTCTCATCCATATTCCATCTTCTGTCAGAATACTACACATGTTGACAAACAAACCCCACAAATAGAGACAATCCATTCAGGTCATCGTATGAGTGAATGAGATAGTGAATGGGAAATAGGTATACTTGACTTATCCCTCACAACCAGGTGTACTTTATGCTCAAGACTGGAAAGATGCCCTTTCTGGCGCACTCTGCTCTTCATTCAGGCGCACTCTGCACTCGCACTGCTCTGCTGAACGAGAAAAAAACAAAAATCAGACGGAGATCTTTGGTTTAAAAATCATGGAATAAAAACCAAGGATGGCACTTGAACTGTAGAAAATAATATGTAGAACTTAAGTCTAAAGCGTTAAGTTTGGCGCCCAAATGGCCCAAATGGAGCAGACTCGATTTTTGTTGTTTATAAATTTTGATGTCTCCGTCTTTTGACTCTTTTTGTAGACGGATTATGTCTTTTCTATTCTCTTCTCTTTCAAAGTCAAAATTTTCTACTCGAAAAGGAAGGCTGGAGCTATGATGTCAACCACACCAATGGTAGTGCTGTCCGCATTGTCCTCATCAATTCGTTGAATCTAAAAAGAATTTTTAGATCTTCACAGAGTTTAATCACGATTTTTGAACGTGATTAAACTCTGTGAAGACCTAAGCCTAAGCCAAACGCCAGATGCTCAGAAGGGCTACACAAAAATGCGTACTAACAATCAAGTTGGTAAGCAGGAAACTCACAGCTTGGCCGTCTTTTGGGTAGCCTTTTGGGTAGTTTTTATAAAATAGAAGTTTCCGATTTCTTTGCCAGGAAAATATATAAAACAAAAATAGAATGCAATCAATAAGCGCCGGACTAAATATGTTAACGGATTTATTTGATGTCAGTCTTTCCGACGTCAATTTTTCCGATGATGTCAAATGGATAGGTTTCAGAGCCGAGCGAATCATGTCAAAATGCTTGAGAAGGAGCAAAGTAATGACCAAAGAACCCAAAAATCTTTCACTAGAGACCAACGAACTTTTTTCGGCTAGTCCAATTACCGTTGCAGCAAAAACAGCCTCGATGGAAAGTTGGATACCCTCTCAAATCATTGGAAAATTGGATACCGTCTTTTTGTTTTCAGATACGAGAGTGCCGGTCGCAACGATCGGTGATTTGCCGTTGGAGCTGGTTGAGAAGATCGCACACCATCTCGATGTGAAAGACGAAATTGATGATGGCGAAAAAAAGACTCGACTCGAGCTACCTGAGGGACCAATCGATCATTTTCGGACCTCATGTTCACGCGATAAATATAAATCACTGCTGCGATTCGATTAAGAAATTCTCTACTTCATCTCAACTCGGGATATCAACTGTTTGGACCATCTTCCATCGATCAAACGAATTCATTCATGTGAGAAGTTGAAGTTATACCCTGGTGGATTGTGGCGACAATATGTTGGACATGAAATGCTTCTTAGACAACTGAAATCAGTAAATGAACTGAGCTTAGGGGGCTCAAATGAGAATTGTAAGAGGTTCTTCACCAACTTCCGTGCATCGGTCAAAATATAGATATCAACTGGAAACACAGTGGCATAACATAGCATCGGCAAGGGCGAACAAAACACCACAAAAATTAGCCGCTAACAGCCATGGAAACGCGAGAAATCTAGTATGTAAAATCGGGATTCAAAACTGACTCCTTTATAAGGCTTCTCTCGCTGCAGAGATGTCGATAAAGGCTTAGGTTTGTGAAAGGGCGGTCCTATTTTTGCCTTTGCGTTCGAGTCCACCCACATGCAAAAATCCTGTTTTTTTTTTGCGATTCTTGGAAATATTTCGTTTTTAAAGCAAACTAAATTTTAGTAAAATAAAATAAATTTATCATTTTTGCCTATGGGACGCTCTGCGATACAAGTTTTCAACCGGGAAAACGAGGAAATATATTAAAGTTACTTTCAATCATCCATAAATAATTTGGAGCAGATCAATTTCAGAAATTTTGTCAGTTTTCTTGGCATTTCAGTGGTTAAAAATTCAATGGAATTTGTCAACAAATCACTTAAATTATGAACAAACAAATTAATAGGTTGATGCATAAGTCTTTTCGTTTTTTTCGTACTTCTGTTAAAAAGTAACAAATTCACCAATTAATCTATAGTTTGCTCTATAAAAAAAGTGCTTTTTTGTTCAATTTGCATCTTTTTAAATGAATTTCGGTTCACTTTCAAGCAAATTCGAGAGTGAAAAACGCCTTTTTCGTAAAAATCTATAAAAAACTCTACGGAAAAATTGGCTGAATGAATTTCTCTGAAATTTTGGCGAAATATCAAACTTTTTTTTCTCTATCTTTTATCTATTGACACGAAGATAGGTTTTCTTTAGCTAAGGTGTCTAAACCGCATCATCGAGTTAGCCCTTTTTGACTACCCGACTTCATACTCTCAAGAAAATCCAGGCATAAAATATTTTTAAACCCGTTTTAATGTTATTTTGCAGAAAAATAATTGGTTTTTCTAATGAAATCAACCGTAGTTTAATTGGTGCATTTGTTGGCTTGAAACGGCAGACGAAAAGGAACAAAAAGACTTATGCATCAACCTAATAGTAAACTTTAAACTTGAAATTGTTCCTTTTTGGATTGGAACACAGATTGAGAAATCGATTCTACCTTATTCAATTCAAATAATTAATCTATTTTAAGCTACTTCAATCCAAATCGATCCACCAAAATACCCTAATTGTTTTCCTCATTTCAAATGTGTGAATTCCATTCAGACAGCTCAGCCCTTTGAGTCCTTCCAGAAATCAAAAGGGAAGCAGTGATTTCTTTTCTTTTCGCCCTATTCACACCTTATCGATATGCCAAAAATCAAACAATCAAATTTGCTGTGTTTTCTCTTTCGAAAAGTCTTGTGTATTCGAGTGACCACCCTTTGAGAGATTAATTTGCTAAGACGAGATTAATCCCTGATTATCACACCTTCGCATCCCAAAATTGGGCACAGACAACGAAAAAATCAAATTTGGGCTAAAAGAGGCTAAAAGAGGCGGGGAGTGTTCAAATGGAATCAAACAGTCTCGAGAAGAGAGCTCACAAAATTCAGCTGAAGTTGACTTTGATTTTCAATTGTTTTTGATCGGGCTTCCTCTCTTAGTGTCGGAAATTTCGGTTCATAGGCGAAGTGAGCAAATAGATTTCAAAATTTTTGACAATTCAGAACCTAGGCTTGAAGCTTGGCTTGAAGCCTTAAGAAAACAATGCAAGATAACTTTTTGAACGCAGAACTTCTGTCGTAATCGATTCCTCTTTTGCAATCGATTCTCCATCAACTCTTTTGATCCCGGACTCTCTCAAAGAGTAAAATTCCTGAATTTGCCAAAAACGCATAATTTTTGAACATAAAACTGTAAGGAGTGTCTCGAAAATGGGTTTTTGATAACTTTTTTTCGGAATTCTCTTGTCGATTAACGGGGAATCAGTCTGATCAAACAACTTTGAGTCCCTCGTTTTCCCTATTCTTTCTTTTCTTTCTTTTCTTTCCGTCTCTTTGATCTCACCGATTCCTCAATTTAGGCAGGTTTTCACTCTGGAATGTGAAGATTTCGATAAATGGCTGAAGTGTTGATTCAGGAAGTGTTGATTCAGGAAGTGTTGAAAAAGCAGATGTGCAACAATTTTTTGTGTTTTTGTTCTGTTAATTAATCTTTGACTTATTTTCCAATTTGCACAAGCACAAGCAATAAAACGATTTCATTTTTTTTCTGTTTTTAGGTTCTCTTGAGGCAAGCAAATCCGAAAACTGTGTGATCTCTCTCCTATTCACTTCACACACGAAAATGGACGATGTCTTATTTGAAAATATCACCGATGAACTACAGCGATTACAAGCACAAATCGACAAGATGAATCGCGATTTCTCGAGCAACGAGAATGCTTTCTTTCTCTGTTCAATGGCGTTGATCATTTTCTGTGAGTAAGGAAGATTTTAGCAAACATTTTGACTCCAAACATTTTGAATCTTTAAATCCAAACATCCAAAAATCTTTCACTATCTTTAACCATTGTCCAACCAACCCCTTTTCCCATCACAATAACATTTCTTTTCAGTAATGCAGTGTGGTTTCGCTTTCTTGGAAGCCGGAGCCGTTAGAAGCAAAAACACCACAAACATTTTGATTAAAAATTTACTAGATTCATGTAAGTTAAGAAGGAAAATTTTTACAAAGAAAAGTCTAGGCATAGCCATTATCGGTTATTGGGCAATCGGATACGCGTTTGGATTTGGAAAAACCCAGAATTCGACTGTCGATCTTTTCATTGGCTCGTCGAACTTCTTCTTGAGTGGATTCAACGACTACCCAAAGTAAACAGCTTTATTTTAAATATTTAAAGCTCTTGTTTTAGATTTTTCTTCCAATACGTCTTTGCAGCCACTTCAGCTACAATTGTTTCAGGAGCTGTGGCTGAAAGATGTGAATTTGCCACCTATATCACCTATTGTTCAGTTATTTCGTGTAAGTTTTCACTTTAAACGGAAGCTAACAGTATATAAGTATATAAAAGTAACAGTAACAGTATATAAGCCGGTAAAACTTGAAGCTATCAGATTTCAGCCATCGTTTACCCAATTCTTACTCATTGGGGCTGGGCGAGTGGCGGTTGGATGAAGCAAGGAATCAAGACTGGAGATATCAATACAACTTATTTGGTAAGAAATTTGATTAACTAGATATTTCAGAGGTATCTAGGATTTTGCTGGAGCTGGTGTTGTTCATTTGTGTGGAGGGACAATCTCTTTTTTGGCCGCTTGGATGATGGGGCCGAGGATTGGACGATTCCAGAAAGAGGGAGAAGATCCAAGCCCGGAAATCAAGGGACACTCCGTGCCGGTGAGTTGGAAAAAGAAATAAAAGAAAATATCTGATTTGGTCTGAATTTGATTTGGATTTGAAGTTTTGAAAAGAAAATATTAGATCTAAATCTGATACTTAGAAAATCAAGGAACTGAACCTGTTCTTTAGTTTGCCGCTCTCGGTGGTTTCATCCTGATGTTCGGTTTCTTGGCGTTCAATGGAGGATCGATGGCTGACATTGTGCAACCAGGAGAAGGTAGCTTTTCAAGATCAAAAAATCATTGAAATCGATTAAAATCCAGGTAACATTGTGGCTCTTGCAATGGTGAACACAATCCTCTGTGGAGCATTTGCTGCTCTCACCTACCTTTTATGGCATTATTTCACTCATGGGAAGTGGACACTCCTGTTGACGATCAATGCTTGTTTGGCTGGTTTGTTGATACAAGATTAAAAATTAAAAGTTGGATTTATTATCGCAAATGGGTCCAGGTTATTGCATTGCTTTCAGGCATGGTCTCATCGTGTGCTGGTTGTAACAGAATGGAGCCCTGGGGTTCAGTATTTGTCGGGATTGGATCAGGACTTATCTATTTGGCTCTCAGTAAAATCATGCTAAGGTAAACTTTCTACAACTTAAGGAATCAAAGCTAAATCTAGATACAAGATTGATGACCCATTAGATGCTTTCGCAGTGCATGCAGGCGGTGGTGGCTGGGGATTGATCTCGACTTGTATCATTTCACATGATGGAATCGCTTATGGAATCGGTGATGCAATGGCCGGGAAAGGAAATGACAGGATTGCACAGACATTTGCTGTAAGTTTGACTATATTTTTAAGCCCTTGACTTCTTGTTTACTTTTGAACAACTCCAATACAACAAATCTTCATTTCAGCAACTCGGCTGGCAACTTGTCTGCTTATCAGCAATCGTTATATGGTCTTTGCTCTGGATGGGCCCAATATTCTGGTTCTTGAAAAAGGTATTCAAGCCTTCTAATAATAACCTTAATCTTAACGAAGTTATCCATTTCAGATCAATCGATTCCGTGTCACGGTTGAAGTGGAAACAAAAGGATTGGATATTTACAAGCATGGAGAGGTAAACTCCTACTTTTTTCCTTGATGAGCAATCATTGAATGCCGATTCCTTATCAGAAATGACTCCATTCTTTCCAAAAATTGCTTATTGCTTTTTAGAGGTGTGAATGGAAAAAGGGGCAAAAATATACTCTTACAAAGATCAAACCATCAAACACAAGACGAAATTCAGAACTTTGAGCGTACAGGGTAACCACGAGTGATAGTCACTCACTTCTGAGGGTCTAGCTCAACGAGAACTCAATGCATCCGTATGGAATTTTTGGAGGCGATTTTTGAGTATTTCTTCTTTAGCCAAGCCCATTTTCTAACTGATTGGTATTTCTAGAATCTTTATATGACCCTACAAAGTTGAAAGACCTGGCGAAAAACCAAATTTAAGGTTCTATGAGGTGCATGACCTTTTTTTTGATCTGTTTGATTTGTTTGCTCTTTTTTCGTCTTAAACGTGACCATATTCATTAAATAACTTCAAAAACGGCTCTCAAAAACCTTAAATTGATTTTTAGCCAGGTGTACCGCGACTCTCAACTTTGTAAGGCCATATAATTCTAGAAGCACTTCTAGAAGATTCTAGAAGTTGGAAAATCGGCTTGGCTACAGATATACTCGAAAATCACCTCCAAAAATGTCATACAGATTCATTGAGTTCTTGCTGAGCTAAACCCTCAGAAGTGAGTCGCTATACTTCGCCGTCACCCTGTAGAATGTTTGAATCTTTGAATTAGTTAGATCTTTGAAATCAGTTTTAGTCTTGTTTCCTTGTGAACTTTCTCATTTATTTTTCACAATTAAGGCTGCTTATCCTCTACACGCGTATGGTCACGGATGGGATGACTTTGAACAGATCAAAACACACCGAGGAAAATCGAGAACGAGAACAGCGAGCACTTTTGCTGAAAGTAAGCCTTGAACTCAAGAATAGTAACAAATTGTTACCCAATACGTGAAACAATTTCTGACTTTGAGTGAATCTCGAGCAATTGGCTGAAGTCTATAGTAGAAGGACATCGATTCAACCTGGAGTCGCTTTTGGCAAGCATCGATCTGGTAAATTTTACCCTGAAACCGCTACAAGTTTTGTTTTATTTCCGAAGTTTATACATTTTTTTGTATTTCTTCATGGAAACTCGATTTCCAGGCTCAGCTTATCACAATCCTTCCTACTTTGAACACCCCGAGCATCACACAAATGCAAAGCAAAAGAGAAACGTTCCAAAGGTTAGTAGTAACAGAAAAATATATTTTCCAAAATAGAAATATTTTAAAAAAGATAGAAATATATGTTCTAAAACTCATGAAAGTTCTTCTTTTTCAGAAATTCCTCAAGAAAGACATTGAAATTGTCGAAACGTATCACGAAGATGAGCCTGTGACTGTGTCAAATCATGTGGATGATTCGTGGATGTAAATTATCAAGGAAAGAATTGTATTTTTGTAAAATAGGATATTGAATTCATTTTTTTATTAGTTTTAGTTACTGAAACGTTTGGATTATGCTTGTGATCTGTTGAATCTTTACTTTGTATCCGTTTTGCTTGCTGCTCACTGAGTTTCTTTGCTCGATTTGGCTTTGCATTGCCTGAGAGATTTTATTTCATTGTAAAAAAAATTGTTTACTTCTTTAAATCTTGCAATCCGGGTGATTTGGCTCGGCTTTGCAGTCACTGAAATATGAAATCTTTAAAGTTTATCGAGACCTAAAGATCTAAAGAATATGGCAATCTAGGTATGACAGTTACTCTTACAAATCTTCTTGAAGATTGCAAATCTAGAAACTTCTAGAAGCTTCTAGATTTTCTAGAGCTTTCTAGAAGAGCTTCTAAAAATTATTCCATTTCAAACGACTCACACAATTGTAATGGGCAAAAGTCCCTCTTCACCTTCAGCGTAAACAGTCGACATTGTCAGCATAAGGATAGCCATGAGAAGGACGATTACCAGAAAGTATTTCATTTTCAAAAGATCTCCACTGAACGGATTATCTCAGTGCATTTATACCCAACCCTTGTTCCATCGGTGTGACCAAAAAGTTGAAAAGCGCAGGTTAGCAAAAAAAGTGACGACCTCGAGAAAGTAAGGGAAAATGGAAACGAAAACAGCGCGTTTCTTTAAAAGGAAGCAAAATTTGATGAGATTTTTGTGAACGTGTGAAGTAAAAGTGAAATTTTTGATGGTTTTGACTCTTGCATTTTTCCAGGAATCTTTAAACATTTTAAATCAATACAATAAATTCCAGAAACTCTTGCATTTCTCCAAGAATCTTTAAACAATTAGGTTTACCATTTGTTCACCTAAGAAGTCTTACAATCAGTTTTCAGACAAAAAGTAATTGTTGTTATCATCGTGCTGATAGAGATCGAAAGCTTTTAGGTCAAGTTTTAGCTTCTCAAGGACTTAACTTAAGGATAACTTTTAGTTTTTCATGAACTTAGACTCCCGCATTACATCGGAGCCCGGGAAAAGTTCCGGCCACGTCTCTGATCTTTGATCGGCACCTTTGATCTTTAGTTTTCCCGCAGAACGTACTTTTTTTCCAGAAAGTTTCAGGTAAAACTTTCGAACGAAACTTTCTGAAGAACGTTCCGAGGAAAAGCACGTTCCGCGGGAAAACTATGGACTATTTACCGGAATCAAAGGTGCCGCCGTAAAGATCAAAAACGTCGCCGGAACTTTTCCCGGTTTGTTCACTCATGTGTTAGACAGTTTAGGATAGATTAGATAGTTTCAGTTTCCCGGTATCACTGTTTTTCTTGAGAAATATTGACTTAAGTAAACTCTAGGAACAGATAGTTTTTGGAACATAAACGTGAAAGTGAAGAGGACAGCACAAGACTCAATTTGAGAGAAATGGAAAGGGGAGAAATGAGAGAAAAAGACCAAAAGACCAAAAGAGATCGATTCGAATGTTTTTACTTCCCTTACGTCTTTTGCTCACAACATTGCACCACTATTGAACATTCTCCATGGGATAAAGTAAACCATTTTCCTGAGAATCAAGTATTGAACGTATTCTATTTTTTATTTTGAACAATGGATCATTTCAAATTTACCAATCTTCCTTCGGTGCTTCTGGAATCGATTTTGGAATGGATACAAGATGATGAAGCTCATCAACTATTACAGGTCAATAAGAATACAAGAGCATTGATTCAAAAAAGAGGAATCTTTCCTAAACAAGTCTCACAAATCAAAATGTCTATTATCTATACTTACGGCAAAGAAAGTTATTTGATGAGAGAGGATGAGAATGAACCAAGAGAAGAATCAAGAGAAGAATCAAGAGAAGAATCAAGAGAAGAATCAAGAGAACAATTCGCTTTTGAAGCAATTGTGGATCCAAAAGGGCACACCGAGCATTGTGTGAACGAGAAATGGATCATTCCATTCAATTCATGCAAAAGATCTCGATTGCTTTGGAAACAGTTGAATCAAGTCAAGAGTTGCCGACAATTTTCTATAAATTTCATAAAGAATGAGTCAAGTATCGATGGTTTATCTGAATTCTTGGAGAATCAGCTAATATTCTCATCTCTCCATCATATTGAACGATTCACTTTGCAAGGAGAGCCAAGTCTCATTCAAAACATTTTACCATTCATCAGTCCGATCACCGTCGATCATCTAGAGGCTTTCCCGGCTGAAATTGAGACAAGCATGTTCTTTGGGATTTCAATGCATCATACTGAGAATTGGAAAGCATTTGCGGATGAGATTTTCAAAAAGAAATCCTTGCAAAATCTAAAATGGTTGAGTAGATGCTTGTTGGAGAGTCATTTGTCTGAGCTAAGGGAAATCAATGTAAACACAAAACACATTGAATTCAATTGTTTCAATGTTCACACTATCGAGTGTGCTTTGAAAGACTTTCTTCAACACGGGATTCCCAGTAAAGATCCCAAAATGTCCACACAGATTCGCGACTATCTTCATAAACAATACAATTCGATAGATGTTTATTATCAACACTATTTGAGAGTTATTTCATCGAATTCGAATGTGAAAAGTTTTAAAAAAGAAGAAATGAGTGAAGAAGAGGTGAACTTCTTGAAATATCTCCGACATCGGAGCTCAAGAAAGTTCAATTGGGAAATGGATCCGTCGAATGATTGGAAACATTGGGAAAATGAGAGCGATACTGAAAAATTTCAGGCTGAATATTTTCTTCAAAAGAATGGAGATCGAGAAGTGATTCTCTTTTACAGTGTTGATGAACGGACTTTTCAAGGATCTGAAGTTGCGGTTAATATTGTTTGGATGCCGAGGTTGAAAGTTCATTGATCAACCAGATCAATGACTTCGAGAAATTAAAACTAATAAGTAAAATATAGTATTTTTTAATTTTAATCTTATTTTTTCACTCTTTTGTTAAACATTATCTATTTTCCGGTTCTTTTCAGTATATATTTTTGTGAAATTGAAATTTGTACGCACTATGAGATGAATAACAATGTCTTGAATAAAGTTGAATGAATAGACTGGGTTCAATTGAATTATTCATTCATTTTATTGAATTGAATATTAAAACGAGAGATTTGCAAAAGTCAACACGAATTTTAAGAACATTTTCGAAAAACATCGCTACAAAAGTTACTTGGTAAAGTTTCTATACTTAGACAATCAAAAAGTCCTAAGATTTTGAAATTTTGGTTTTTATAGATGATTTTCAACTGTCTACTCTATTTTTAGATTAGATTTTGTAATAGATTTTGTGCTATTAGTTCGGTTTAATGAAACACATTTGCTTCATCAAAAATAGATTTGTATTATAGACTTTTTAGGGTTTTTCCCCGATGAGAGGCTGCAATTGTTGCTATTGTAAACTCGAGAGATTGTACTCAGAAAAGTGTTTTCTGAAAGAAGAATGCTAATATGGTTTGAAGATCTACTTCTTGCAATTAGTTGATCAGTTTATTAGTAAAATAAGGAATCTGTCTTTAAGATTAAGCAATCAGAAGCTTAAATCTACTATACAGGGTGCGCCAAAAGTTCCCGTACTTGTATTTTAGTACTTACTTGGTAATTTTAGATAAAAGATACGATTTTAAAAATAAGAAATTCGAATTCCTCGCAAAAAAACTGATTTAGAAAACGTTTCTGGTTAATTTATAAGTGCAACGCTATTTAAGACAAGCGATTGAGAAGAGGGTCCGCTCAGGGGCGCTTTGGTCGCACATTTTTTTCGGGCTTCAGGCCTGTAACTTTTATGGATCAAAAGATTTTTAAGAGCCAAGATGTTTTTCGAAAACTAGACATAAAATGTGACATTTTTTATATTGGGTGTATAAAGTTTTGGTCAACGACCGAGTCGGAAGTCAGGTTAGAACTTGGTTTTCCCATACAAATTTCCATCAAAGGAAATAACTGTAACTGTTCCCTGTAACTGTTCCCTGTAACTGTTCCCTGTAACTGTTCCCTGTAACTGTGCCCTGTAACTGTGCCCTGTAACTGTGCCCTGTAACTGTGCGACCAAAGCACTCCTGAGCGAACCCTCTTCTCAATCACTTGTCTTAAATAGCGTTGCACTTATAAATTAACCAGAAACGTTTTCTAAAACAGTTTTTCGCTAGAAATTCGAATTTCTTACTTTTAAAATTGTATCTTTTATCTAAAATTACCAAAAATGCAGAAAATACAAGTACGGGAACTTTTGGCGCACCCTGTATACAGGGTGTCCAATAAAAAACGTTTTCAATTCCTCAGAATTCCGCAGAATTTCGAGTGGCTAGTGGTGGTCGGTGTGATGTTATAGTGAATCATTTGTGCTCTAAAACTTCTCATATTTATCACGAAAACACCATCACTCGATAGGGATCATGGGATTATGGGTGCCACCCTGGTCATCACCATGAGACCATTAATAGGGTTAAATTTTTGCCATAAAGCGGAGACTTTCTACTGGGATTGTGGTGTCATATTAGAGCTAATATGTCAACTAAGATTATTAACCAAACAGATTCTAAGCCTGGAACATGCACTAATCTCTCATACATTTCAATCGCCCTTTCAACTCACCGTCTTCAAAGAGAGGTCTAGGTTTTCCAAGAAACTTCTAAACAAGTTTGGTTAATAATCTTCTAATGTTTGGTTAATAATCTTGGCATATTAGCTCTAATATGACACCTATGGTAAAAATTTTGCCCTGTTAATGGTATGATGGTGACACCCATCATCTCGTGATACTCCCTACTGTGCGCACCACTCAGTAGGGAGTATCATGAGATGCCTAAGCCTCCGCACCCAGCGGGCCGTTTCAAATGACTTATTTGACAATTCAAATTGTCATTCAAAACAAATGACATTCAAATGACTTATGGTTAGTTAGACCATATAGTTGTGCAATATGTTTTTAAACTTTTAAAAAACTGAAAATGCCGACGCGGGCTGGAGTCAAACCTGGGTCGTGTGGGCTAGAGACACAGCTCGCGCTGCACCATCTACCTAAGCATGGCCGAGTAGTTAATGCACGCGTCTCTCAAAGGAACGGATGAGAGAGGTCACGGGTTCGACTCCTCTCGCCGCTAATTTGAATAAATATTACAGGAAAATTGCCTATCAAACTAAAACACATCCATATGTTTTAGACATAAATCTTTAAAATAACGATGTTTTTTTCCTTTTCCCAATCTCTCAACAAGCCATTCTTTTACACTTTTTAATCAAAACATTGTTCTTTTCGATAGACATGCAGAATGAATTCCATTTTCCTTGCCTAACCTTTCCAAGTCTTTCATTGAAAATTGATTAAAACCGAATCTTCACATGGCCATCAACACTTTTCCATTTCAGAAACTCCCACTACAACAGAAAGATTCCATTTTGAAAGCTATTGGTTTAAATGATATTCTTGTAGCTAGCCAAATCAACAAAGAACTCAGAAATGGAATCTTCACTAATGGACCTTTTCCGAGAAAGGTTGACATTATCAGAATTGAGGTTAGTTTCCCATAGAAGCGAATTGAAATCAAAAAAACTTTAGATGTTAAAATATCGAATCGAAAACGATACGCTTTTAGAAATCGGATGCGAAATAACAATACAATCCAGAAATGATTCCAAGAAATTCTCACTGCATGCTCAAAATGAACGCCTTGATGTACATTTGAATGGACAAATCCCGATCCTCGCAAAACCTTTCTTAAATTTGTTCAACAAACTGGCAACATTGAAAGATTTGCAGCTACAATTCGGCAACTTTTCCCATGAATCATTCGAATACTTTGATTTGGATGGCCTAATATTTTATCTGTTAGAATTCGGATTCTTCAATCAACTTCGTTTATTATCGACTCTCCGAATCATGGGCTCTCTCGATTTGGCAAAGATTTTCTTCTCAAATTTTCAATCTGAAATCCTCGATGAGTTAAATCTCAATTTTTATTGGGATACAGAAAGAAATCTCGAAGCAGAGCAAGCTTTTGGAGAGATATTTCAAAGGTCATCTGTGCGAAAGTGCCAAAATTTCAACTGGATTGGCTCTCCAATTGCTGGAGTGAATTTTCTGTTCTTGAATTCGAAAAACGTTTCAATTGAATATGGAGATGATTTTGTTGGATTTAAGTGCGTAATTGATTCACTTTTAAAATCAAAAGTCTCAAATTTACTCAACGAAAACTCTTTGATCAAGTTACAATATTGGAATTGCAATGGCTGTGACGCGGTTCAGGTAAGAATTTAAACTGAAAAGTGAACATTTTAAACTCTTTTTGAAATCAGAAATATAAAATCTGGAATAAATCCTAAAAGATAGCCAGCTTTTTGGTGTCTTTGATACCAAATTTACAGGAATACCATGATCTTCTCACGTCCCACGGAGCAATTGAACTTCAAGATGATGAAGAAATGCTTTCGAATCAGAGTTTTCCAAATTTCGATCCTGATTCAGTGACAAAGCTTTTCAAGAAGAAAATGAATGAGCAAAAAGAAGCAATGGTTTTCTTGACATCTTTCGAAGAAAAGAAACCGAGACATCGAGGATCCGATCAGGCGATTCAAATCTTTATCATATACCGGTCTATTTAATGGGTCTATGCTCAATAAACTAATTAATTGTGCTCAATAAAAGAACTCAATAAATGATTGCAACTCAATCAAAATCTTGTATAAAACATTTAAATAAACGTGATAAAGAAAAAGAACAAACCCACGCTCCTTTTCATAAAGCTGATTCAGCGTTAAAGCGATAATAACTTTCAATCACCAATTGAATGGCGGCCGCAAAACAAGTTAATATAATAAATTCTATTTGTCTTAGTTTTGGCTGACATCAATGGCGAGTGATTGACTCAAGCAAAACTTCACGGAGCTGTAGTGGACTAAGAATTAGATTGGGTCAGGTGAGGTGCTCAAAGACAACGCAAACGTGTCAATACGTCTTGTTTCCATTCGGATCCGATTCGGTTCCGATTTGGTTCGATCACAAATCAAGTACAATTGTATCATTTTACAATTATATCAAGTCTCTGAAACTCAATCTCTCGTTTAAAGCCAAGGTTGAGGTTGATGTCTGGGATTTCTAGAGTAAACTACGATTGAATGACAATAGCGGTGTAGACAGCCCAACCTCAAGCACTTTTCGACACAACAAAGCTCATAGCTCAAACCAATTCAGAAAAACTATGCATGAATTAAGGGACTTTTTAGAAAGTCTTGTGTAAATACGATTCTTTCATGCCCAATACGTTCGTAACACATTTATCCAAATCCCAAAGGTACCCAAGACTAAAAGATTACGCACAAGACCTGGCAAGGTAACGAGATATATGCAAGAGCATAAAGAAACAAAGAAATTTATAAAGAAGTGGGAAACAAAGTAAAATAGAAGTGGGAAATTTTCAGAAAAGCGCAACTAATCCTTTTTCTCGGGGTAGGCTAATTTCCACCATTTTATTGGTGCAACAGGGTCACTTGCGCAACTGGGTCTTTTGCGCAGCTTGCATAACTTTGTTCTAAGTGGGTCAATCTTTATGATTTTAGTGTCATTTTGTAGATCTCGCTAAGTGCAACAAAATGGCACTAAAATCATAAAGATTGGCCGACTTAGAAGAAAGTTATGGCGAGTTGCGCAAAAGATCTAGTTGCGCAAATAAAATGGCGGAAATTAGTCTACCCCTTTTTCTCTTTTCTCTGGTGAGGAAAAAAGACTTTTGCCACAGGGAGCACCGTTTAGGACAGAAAAAACAAGTGCAAAATAGAATTGACGTGCAATCTCAAAAATGTAATCGAAATACGCTATCACTTGCTATCAGTCTGCTATTCCTAACTTTTTAATTAACTAACTTTAACTCGGCCCTACTTTTAGAGTAGTTTTTCAGATCTATTTTTGAGTTTTCTGGTGCGGCCGTGACCGTAACGGGTCTGCTTTCACTGTCAATGGGCAGATGACCGACCGGCTACGAGTCTTGTCTCTTAAGCGGAAGGTCGAGGGTTCAATCAGGCTGGCAAGATAAAAGTTTCTTTTTCCCACCAAGTGGGTTTTTTTCTTTCACAACATTTGCGTAATAAGGGTAATAGGAGTAACGGTCGAAGTGCCATAAAATTGTGTGTTTAGACCTTTATGTCTTATTATGTATCCTTTGTTTGTATCACATTATTGGTTCAATAAATGTATTCACTTCATCAGAATTCAATTTTTGAGTATCTTTTCAGTTCTAAATCATTTTTGCATCATCAAGCAAATCTTTTTTTGAGCTAAAAAGTGCCACGTAAACGATAATTAAATTCTACGGGGATCATGTTTTTCGCGGACTCTTTCAAGTTGCTGTAAATTTGTTTTTCTCGACTTCTAAAAGCACAGATGAAATTAGACGAATGATCTCGAAAAATTGATGATTTATAAAGAAGCCAAAGGTGATTTCAGTTTCCAGGTTCAAGTACAGTTTTTGGACAAAAGCTTTAAAGCTTAAAGCTTTAAAAGTGCTACTTTTCTGCAATTTGTTACTTTTAGTCCAAATTCTTTCACATCATTTTTTTTCAATTAGACACTTCTTTATTTGGTAATTCTCACGTCAATTTCCACCTTCAAAGACTGAGGCACAGACTTGCACACAAGAATTCATTCAATTCAATTTTGGGTCATTCACATTCACAAGAGTTCAATTTTGGTTCATTTAAAGCTTTTGATTTTTTGCTTTTTTTTCAATGTCAATTTCAATTTCAATTCAAAGCTTTCAATTTCAGAAATGGGAATTTCAAATTTCGACAAGTTTGCCCGCGTTACAATCTATGTGAATGGATCACTCTCCTATCTCCTCAATCTCATTCTTATCTACTTTATCGTTTTCCATAGTCGAAAACAAATGGGCACGTATCGTTATTTGATGCTATTATTTGCATGCTTTGATCTGATATATCCAACAGTGCATATTGTTGCAATGCCGGTAAGGTTCTTTTGGTTTTGAAAGAAAGAGTGCTTTAGCAAATCCACGTTCATGAGTACGGCTTTGTGCTATTTCCGACTTCATTCCTTGAGAACACAATGATGCCTGCTCATTGGGGAATGGTCTTGTATGGGAGCTTGTTTTGTCAGGTTTGTTTGAGTAAACCAGTAGGACTTTGCCTACTGTTAGCTTACTGTGTAAATGATCAAGTCTGTGTGAAAAATGATTCCATTTCAGAGTCTCGTCCTTCTAGCCTTTCACTTTGTATATCGATATCTACTCATTTGCAGGTAAGCCTTTAAATCAGTCCTTTTACCCAGAAATCATTGCCTGTTTTCTCCAGAAATCATTGCCTCTACTTATTCAACTCAGGAAAATACATTCCTTTGTGGTTTTCGATTTGGCTTTTTTATGGGAATCATTTGGGGAACCGTGCTTCATATTTTTATGTATCACTCGGAAATGTTGACGGTGGGTTTTACGTGTTCTTGATTACTTGTTCGTACTTGCTTTGCTTGTTTACTTGTTGCTTGTTTACTTGTTGCTTTTTTACCTATTCGTAATCGAAAATCAAGAACTTTAGGACTATTTCCGTGAGACTCTCTGGGAAACGTATGGTTACGATGTGAACAAAAGTGCAATCCTTGGACCAGTCTATCGAGTTCGTAAATTGATGGCTTTTGCCAATACCTTGCCTTGTTTGGCTCTAGTTATCAAAAGCAACCTTTTTTAAGCATCCAAACGAACTCGGAGTGTTAGCCTGGGACTGGGGACAACTCTTTTCATTAGCCGTTTGCATGGGTGAACTTGGATCCACATTTATGGTCATCATTTTTTGTACCTGGAATATTCATCAAACGTTAAAGGTAGACTTGTCTCTTTTACTCATTCATTACCTTCTTTCAGACCTCCGCCATGAGTGAAGCTTCAAAACGGCTAGAGCAACAACTTTTTAGAGCTTTACTAGTTCAGGTAGATTGCCAAGAAAATGATTTTCAAAGACTAGCTTTCACAAACCTACCATATCTCCCTAATAGTATTGCACCCCGCCAAGCCGAGTTGATGCCTATTTTATAGTTTCCAAGTTTTCGCAGAGACTCAAGACTCTAATCCCCTGCAAGATCTCATCATCAGCTACATTTTCCGACCCCTCATCGATAGGTTCTGATAAGCGGTTTTTGAGATTTCGAGAAATTTAGATGACGCACAGGGTACAATACTATTAGGGAGAATATTTTGATGAGAAATTCTCTAAATTTTGAATGTTTAGACAACGATTCCGTTGATTTTCGAGTATACTCCAGGTGAGTTTCATTTGCATTGTGACATAAAATGTACTTGTGCTTTGTTGGCTTTACAATAGCTCGATAAATTTTCCAACTATTGCTACTCTGATTACAAAGGATTCCAGGTGGAATCGACTTCCTTTGCCCTCTGTTCCATATCCCCATCGGCAGAGGCACAAATCTCTCCCCGATTCTCATCTCATTTTACCCGGTTCTCGATCCAATTTGTATGCTCTATTTTATCAAAGATTATCGATATGCACTGCTAAAGAAACTCAGACTCAAGTTTGTTTAAATGAAAACATCAACTGATCAATACTTTTAGCTCAAATGCAGCAGTTTCAATGGAAAGCGGTGCAAGTTATATATCCCAAAAAGCTCAGATTTATCTTCAGAAACCAGAGGGAGTTCAAATTGAAAGAGAAAAAGAATCTAATCAATAAATTTCTGAATATTTTCGATAAACGTTTTACAAAGTTATGATGCAAAATATGAAAATCAAGAAACACTTATAATACATCGAAATTTCTCATTTGCTACTGCAAAAAGAAAACTAAAAGATGTTGACATGGCAGGGAGTGGCTTTCAAATAATCATTTGCTAAATAATCATTAAATAATTTGCTTCGATTTGTTGATGGAATCTTATCTTCTGTGAAGAGTGACAGCAATTATTCGAATGATCCTGGTTTGCAGAACGATCTTGCAATTCACCATGATCTTATCGGTCAACTTTTAAATGGGTAAATGAAATGTTTATTGTCATTTTTAGCTTTACTTTGTCAGAACAATACATTTATTTTATTAACTTTAGATCAACATCAACTAATTGCAAGCAAATCAGAGTACAGAAAACCTATAAATCAACCATTTCAAGCTGATTTTTCCCGTCGTTCTCATTTTGTTGTACACTTTCCTTGTGAAAAAATGCTAGCTTACTCATGTCATCGACAAGACATCAGGCTTCATTAAGTGAATGAAAACTCGAGAATGCAAAGGAAGAAGGAGCAAAAGAACAAGGAAAAGAAGAGGCAACGACACCGGGAAAGAATCAACCCAAAACAAGGACAAAAGGGAGCACCGGGAACGGCCACTCCATCCAGTGGACAGGTGAACAAGAAACCAAAAGATGGATATGAGCAATTTAGTGATTAAAGTCATCATCAGAAACTATTTGTTGGGCAAACAATAATGAAAATCATTTCAGGCACCTCGCTACTAAACAGCAGTAAAGTCAAAGTCCTTTCATCAAAATCGAGTTCATTTGATGCTCACCTTGTAAATGCTATGTGATTTCTCTAAATAAATTCTTTTATCCTTTTCCTTTTCATGATCATTTTACTGCATTCCCCCAACGCATTCCTATCCATTGTGCAATTGTTCTATATCTATCCCTGAATAAACATTGCAAGATTTTCGATTTTTTTTACGAAGACGATCCATTTGGCGTTCGATAGAGTTTTTAAAATGCTATCTAATGATGTAAAGAAATGCCAAAGAATTGATTTTCAAGAGGTAAACGACCTGTTTTCCGTTGCACTCCTATTGACCGACAGACTGACAGACGACAGACAGACGACAGACTTCTATTGAACGACAGACCGAAAAATGAACAGATCGATCCTCTACTTTCCAATCAAACTTTTAATCTGAACTTTCAAACTCAATGTTCGCTTCCTCTTTTCATTCAACAACCAGCGGTGATCTGAGCCTAAGCCTAAGCCCCATTTTTGTGCTGCTCGAAAAACCATTTCAAAGAGGGAGACGTTTCTCTGAGGCAATCGGCGTTTTGTCTTTTCTAGAAAGCACTACGAAAGCCTCTATTTATCAGCATAAACTTTTGATGAGTGCATTCGATAAATTTATCAAAGGCAGTTTTAACAGGAAAACTTAACAACATTTTTCGAAAATGACTAAATCTTACGCTAAAGACAATCCTGGCAATAAACTTTTCAAAGTAACTTTTCAAAGAAGAAAAGTTCGAGTTTTGGTTGTCCCATTGCAAAATGCCACAATCAAATTCGCTTTTTTCGTGTTTATCCAGCAGAAGTTTTGTGACCGAGTTTTCATTTGGTAAGTTAATTTTTTTTCTCGTTGTTTTGAGGCAATTTTTGAGCCAGCAACTGTTTTGAGAGTATGGGGCTTAACACAAAAGATTTATTGCCTTTTTTTTTCTCCTTTCCTCATTTCTTTGTCACAGTTTTCTCGGTGAGAGTTCTTATTAACTCGCATTTACTCTGAAAAACTTTGGAGAATGGTATTTTGCTTCATGTTAAATTCTAATAGCTAACCTTTTTCTTTTGAGAAATTACCAAACTTTTCTTTTGACTTGACACTTTTTAAGGTTTCCTTTATTCTGAACGACGACGATCAAGCGCTATCGAATCTTTATTACTTAAAGCCATCATCATCTTGTGCTTAAGTTTGACATAAAAGATTTTAAAGATTTAACTTGCTGGGCTATTCGAATCTTTCACAATAACGGGGTGGCACTCAGGGGGTCACTTTTGGTCACCATGTTTTAGCCGTGATATAATCATGGTTTTAAAACCTTTTGCACATAAATAGGTTTATTTAGATAGATCCGATTTAACTCAATCTTTCTATACCACTTTAAAAAAGGATCGATTTTAAAGAGGTAAACGACGTGCCTTCCGTTGCACTCCTATTGACGTCTAGATCGGCAAATGAACAGCCTAATAATCGCACAAACGAGCCTGGAAACTTAACAAAATGGCAGAGTCGCCGGGCGGTTAGCGTGTCTCAACTTTCAAGCATCGTATAAAATTAACAAATCTATACCACTTTAAAAAAGAACTTAAGAAAAACTTGCTAAGGCACGGGATAAGGCATGCCTAAATAGTGTTCCCCTCCTAAATAGTATTGAAATGCCACCCCCGTTATTGCGAAAGTTCCGCCTATTCGATCTAAATGACTGTTCAGAGCTGTTTACTCCACAATCTCACCTTGTAGATCATTATCTTTAGATCGGATGAAGAAGAAACTTCTCATTTCTCTACTTTTTATCTCAACCTGCTCGATGTACTCGATCATGCTACCATTCAAATTTTGCATCTTTAATCAGACATTCGATGACTGGCGGGTTGTTGATATCTCGAATACAGACAACTGGGACTGGCCAGGGGCGACTCGACCGGAACAACTTTGCGAAGCACTCATCAAGGGCCACACGAGCCAGTGCTGGGACTTTGTTCCTAATTTCTGGGCTACCAGTGCCCCGTTCAACGCTCGTTTACTCAGTGATCATGACGAATGGGTGAGCTTCTCCAGACTCTTCTTTCTTTCCTTTACTTTCTTTACTTCTTTACTGGAGTTGAAAATAAATGTTGTAGCCATCAAAGAATATAGACGTCTACTTGAAACTTGAAGGCGCTTACAGGTGGCGTTTCGTGTCGAGACTTACAATGAGCCATGCCACTCTCCTAGTGACCTCATCTTTAAGCTGAAGGAGCCAACGATGCTTCCTTTGCTTTGTGGGTCAACACTCAAGCTGGTCGAAGCACCGCCAAAAACAACAACAACAACAACCACCACCTCAACAACTACGATTGCACCCAGTCCAGGTGATTGCAATACATACAAAAGGGTATTTGTGACAGTGCCCTCTTTAACTGGTCATTTTTAAATGTACAGGGTGGTCCAAAATGATAGCAACTCGACTTTTCTTGATGTAACTCGACAGCCGCTGTTTGTTTCTCTTAGAATATTTTTTAAACAGTAAACTGACACTATCTACAAAAACAGAAACTTTAGTTTTGGCTGAAAACTCTTTTGTTATCTCTTTATAGAAGCTCAAATCTGAGTCACCGTGATCGTCTGGCGACCCAGCGTTTGTGATAAGAAGTGATCGTTTTTCTTGCAAAATCTCGAGAAAGCTGATTCCTTTTTACCTTTTTAAGCTCTTAGAATAGTTTTACATGTTTCTTTTGTAAAAGATTGTCAAAATTTTGGAAAAAAAGTGTGCTTTTTTGCAAAGAAATACGACTGATGGCAAACTCAGCTGAAAAACAGCGTTTTAACGTAGTCTCAAAAATTGGATTCGAACATGATGCTCCGGGCTTAATTTGCATTGGAAACAAATTAAATAAATAAAAAAAACTTTGTTCATCTTGAAAAGGAAACCTGTAATCGCACAAACGAACCTGGAAAACTTAAAAAAATGGCAGAGTCGCCGGGCGGTTAGTGTGTCTCAACTTTAAAGCATCGTATAAAATTAACAAAAACGTTTCCAACCAAAAGAAACGTTTCTGTTAATCCTGTTAATTTCAATTAGGAAATCATGTTAATTTCAATTTAAAAACATCCAAAAGAGAATGGATGACTGTGTTGCCGAGTTAGACAGAAAATGTCGAGTTGCTATAATTTTGGACCACCCTGTAATTTACTAAAAACCGTTTAGCTACTGATGCATCATTTTTGCATTTCTGGCTGCTCATTCCTGTGTTCCTATTGATATTTCTGGCAACTGGTGTATTTTTTTGGGTCAAACACCGAAAAATAGGTGCTGCTGTAGAAAGGTTTCGATCAGACATACTAGCTAGTAATCATTTCGAGACAGGGTTCAATTCGGGTCAAGAGAAGAGCTTTTACCTTCGATGTTCGTGCCATCAGATCCGGTGGAAGTGAGTAGAAGCAGACTGAAAAACCCTGAGAAACATTTCAGAGACTTGGGGCAGATCTACAAGAAAAATTTATTGGTCGGGGATCGTTTGGCGAAGTTTACGAACTCATCAATTACTCAAGGTTCCTTTTGGATGATCAAAACCAGCAGACTTGCTTTCCAGGCCAGCCGTCATCAAGTACGTTAGATGTTTCACAGCAAATGAGGTCGCATTGTACCAAAAAGAATTCGAAGTTCTCGAGAAATTATCGCATTCCAATGTGGTGGCTTTGCTGGGAACGATGAAGAAGCCAGAGAAATTTGGGATCATCATGGAGTTCTGCGAGCAAGGGGAATTGAAAAGATGTGCTTCTTTTTAAGTTACAGTCGAACCTCATTAGTGACCACCTTGAACAATGAACTAACCTCGGTAATGAGCGGACTTTTTAGAGTCGCTTGATACATAAATCTATCTAACTTGACATCTTTAGTGGCCGTATTTTGCAGAATCTCTTTCTTAGGTCACGAATGAGGTTCGACTGTAGAAGGTTATTAGCCATAAGCCGAGGATTTTCCTTTAAAAACCACGCAAACTGCGCAGAGATCTCAGATTTTCGAAAGCTTTTCTTACTTCAGTGCTGCACGACGCACGAATCGTCTACACGATGCGAACTGTGGTCACGTGGAGTGAGCAGCTCTTTGAGGCAGTTAGGTACATGTATCGCGAATTCAACCTTATCCATCGTGACATCAATCCGACAAAGTAGGGTGAAAACGTTTCTGAAAATCAACTCTTTATAAGTATTTTCGTGACGAGCAGATTCCACTTGAAAATGGGCGACTTCGGCTTATCGAAATGCATAGAGCAAAGCTGCTCTGGGACGTTTGTGGGAACACCTCGGTACATGAGTCCCCCGCAAAGAATCTATGGTGATCAGGAGAACAACACCGATGAGTTGCAAGTGCTTTTTTTACTTCTTTTTAAAAAATAATATGCTTTTTTTCATTGAAGAACTCGCATCGAAACGATATCTTCAGTTTGGGTCTCGTCTTATGGGAGATGATAGAAAGGAGGTTTAGTTTCAGACCGTAAATGATGTATTAGCGAGCCGCGTACAGTTGCGTAGTCTAATTTTTAACGCTCATATCTTAGCGCTAATTTGTGTTACAATGTTGGGTGTCAAACGATACCATTTTAAGCATTTTTTGCATGATTTTTTAGTACCAAAGGTTTAATTGGGGGAATAGTGATCCTGTGAAAAAACTCGTCTACACTACACTACACTCTAATGCGAAATGCGAAAGTTTCATTCAGACTCTTTTGTTTACAGAATTGTCTTCGCCGACTATGGTAAAGAGCACTTCCATCGAGACGATTTTGTGGCTGATTTATTAAAAGAGAAACCTGATATGTTGTCGCTACCGAAATGCCCATCCCACTTTCAGAAGATCATCAAAAGGTTCCGAGCTTTCTGTCTTACCAATTCATTGTTACAATTGTACCAATTGTTGACACGTGCTCAGAAGTTGACCAAAAAAGATCAATTTTAGTTGCACCAACTTCAATCGGCGTTTCAGACCGATGGCCGCCGAGGTTCTCTATCAAATCAATAAGGTGTAGTCTTTTAAAGTGCCTCTCCTCTAAAACGCTTTATTTTCAGCCGATCCCTTTCAGCAATGAGTTCCACTTTGAGCCGATAATCGACGAAGAACAAAAACGAATTTTGCGTCCGATCGGCTTTGACGAATCCGTCGAAAGAGTGCCGATCGAAGAAGAAGCCGAGAGTGATTTGGAGCTCACGCTAAGCTTCATTCATAGAGCCTTCGCCAGCGGAACACAATCAATAAGCTAACAAAAAAGTATGAAGTAAATTTTTATGGGTCATAAAATTTGTGTCTGCTAAATGGGTAAATGAAAAGCTTGTTGTCATTTTGAATTGTACTTTGTCAGAACAATAAATTCATTTTATTAACTCTAGATCAACATCAACTAATTGCAAGCAAATCAGAATAGACAAAAACCATCAATCAGCCATTTCAAGTTGATTTTTTTCTGTCGTTCTCATTTTGTTGTACACTTTCCTTGTGAAAGTCCAGATATCCATAACGTAAATCCCCAGTTTCCAAATTTTTATACAAAAGAGAGCAAATTGTTTGAATATCCGGTCGATTTGTTGACTCAAATTGCCAACATTGAGAGGAGATCTTTTTGCTAAAAACAATAATCTTGTCCACTTACAATATTTGGAAGTTTTGTGCACTCACATCTCCTCCGACGTATCCTCGGGAAACTCCAATCGATTTCCCTCTTTCAAATGCTCAAACATGTCAGCTGGATCCAGGGAAACATACGGTGAATCACCAAATGTGTACAATTCCCATAGAAATACACCGAATGACCAACTGAATGAAATGCTTGAAATGTTTATCTTAACAAGTTCCCGGACTAGTTAACTATTCAGTCAGTTTGAGTTAACTAACTTTAAGTTGTACCATTACTATTTCCACCTACAGATCGGTCTTCTCTGTGAATTCGGCTGTTCTCAAACTCTCCGGAGCCATCCATTTCACCGGTAGACGGCCACCTTTTGCTGTGTAAAGTAATGAAGTACTTCGACGACACAAGCCAAAATCTGAATTGCTTATTGTACTGGAGATATCTTGGATCTGGAGCCAGACCTATCGGTTATCGAGTATTTTATACGCGCTCCGCCTCCTTTGCCATTAGCAATCTAACTTTGAGCTCAAATATCTTGGTATTATCTTTCCCGAATTTAAGTATTCTTGGTATCATTGGATGCGCCAAGTCTTTCCCTGTCGATTGGTACAAAAACTATTTAAATTAGACAGCCCAACACCAAGATATTTGAGCTCAAAGTTGGATTGCCAATGGCAAAGGGGGCGGGGCTTAGGGGCTTATATATGTGCCCCGCCCCTTTGCCATTGGCAATCCAACTTTGAGCTCAAATATCTTGGTGTTGGGCTGTCTAATTTAAATAGTTTTTGTACCAATCGACAGGGAAAGACTTGGCGCATCCAATGATACCAAGAATACTTAAATTCGGGAAAGATAATACCAAGATATTTGAGCTCAAAGTTAGATTGCCAATGGCGAAGGGAGCGGGGCCTCGCGTGTAAAAGGTCTCACAATCAGACCTGCCAGCTTTGCCAAGTTCTTGTCAGTTATCAAAACATTTCTTGCAGCGATATCTCGATGAATCACGTTTTTCCCAGTTAGAAAGACCTAAATTTTTATGTAAGGTTCGAAGGCTTTAACACTAACCAAAGCATCACTTATTTGCCATGCAATTGAGGGAAGATCCCTGCTTGTGATCTCATGCTAAATTCACTTGTTTGTGTCGAACCTTCACTAACTTCATCTTTCGGTTTCCTAAGCAATGATAGAAGATCTCCTTTCTCACAGATTTCAGTGATAATCAATGGATTAAGTGGATCTGTGGAACATGCAAGTAAACAGAGTAGATGTGAATGAACATCCAACCCAATCATGAACTCGATTTCACGCAGCATTTCAGCTCTAAAACGCAAATAGTAGAACGAATCTTGTCCAACTTCGCGAATTACTGACTTGTCTTCTCTATTCGCGTGTGGATGACACATTTTCACAGCTACTCGAGTCTCTGTTTTGATTGAGGACTTGGGATTGAGCTAAATATTATGACTTTGAGAGTGATTTATTTTTTTTACCTTCATCCGAAGGAAATTATCGAATGATTGTGGTATTTCTTTCAGCAACCCTTCATAGACGACGGCAAACGATCCAGAACCAAGCTTTTTCGATGTGACGACGAGTGATGATGGATCGATTTCCCATTTCGATTGATTCCTAAAAGAATTTATTGCATTTTAAATGTGATCATTTTACCGATCGATGCTTTTAGCTTTTCTGTAGATATTCATGAAGACTCCCTAAAAGCTTTTTGATTCTTAAATCTTTCCATTTGAGTTCCTACGAATTTCTCGTCTCGTTTAGCATCTTTTGAACGGAATAGACGAATGAATAACCTAGAATCATTTAATTTTGAATTATAATTACCCATCGCACCTTGTTTTGTAGCCAACGATACAAATAATCGTGCAAATAATGCCAGTTACAACACTTGCAATCCAAATCCATGCCAATGATTTGCCTTTCGCCTTTTCTTTTTCTTTTTCAACTTCTTGAATCTCTATAAGAAAGCCAGTCTCCTCATCGTAGGTTTTGTTTGGTTCCCAGGATAGCTTTAGTACAATGATTATTAAGAAATTTCAACCTTAGCTTACCCGAATGCATTTTGCTTGAAAAGACCATTCTGGTGCTTGTTTTGAGTTTACACTAAAGTTGATTCAGCTTAACTAATGAGAATTAAATTGCTAGGGTATGTAGAACTAGATTATGACAAGTTTTGCTTCAAACCTTTCGTGAAAAGTCTCATCATTGTCATTGTCGGCTAGACAATGAAGCTCTGAATAGGCAAACATCGTCACTGTGACCCCTTGCAATCGTTTTATTCTGGCTTTGAAGTAGGACATGTCGGTCGTCTGAATAGTCTTTAGTTAGTTAAGCAAATGATCAATTCCTCACCTGGTTCGATAATTCGCCAGCAATTATAAATTGGCTATTCTGAAAGTATCCAATCTTTTCTGAAGTGTCATGTATCCATGGAAAGAATGGAGGAGTCAAAATCGAGAATCGTTCAATATTCAAATAGCTTACACCTTGATAGGATTGTTCTAAAGTTTGTTTATATCAAAAATATTGACGAGTATTGTGATTCTTTTGTTTTCACAGACAAACCTGGTTTCCTTGTATCAAAATGGAGACAAAAAGAGCATTGATCATTTGAAAAAACGCTGGCTGCCGTTGATGTTGAATACAGCAAGAAATTCTCGGCACTAACAAATAGTTAGACTTTGGGAAAATAAAACTTACGTCTCATTGAGTAATAGATGTCGTTGATTGATGGAATTCCCGGGATCTCCTCCCGCAACACCAGAATAGATTGTATCAATTAAGCAAGTGAGATCCTGGAAAAGTGAAAAAAACAAGAGCTGTTAACAAGAAAAAGAGCTAGTAAGTTAAAGACAAATACTTGGAATAAGGGACAATCGTTAGTTGACTCTAGAGTTGACTGAGTTGTTTGACTCGTTCTGGAGACTTTCATTGATATCAATGGACTCCACGGTGTTTCCCTAAAGGAAGGCTGAAAGTATGTTGCAAGCTGAAAGTCTTTGACACTCGAACTACAGGGTGGCCCAAAATTATAGCGTCGCACTTCAGAGAGCCTAGATTGGCCAAAATTGAATCAATCGTTCTGATTTTCCTGGAGGTAAATCTAAAGTATGTCTGCTGGAACGGTGCCCATTATCTAATTGATTCAAGATTTTAACTTTTTTATATGACCTTCCAAAGTTATCGCTACTCATCTTGGGATTTTTGAGAGCAATCTTGTCCAGAAAAGAATGATTGATCCAATTTTGGGCATCTAGGCCCTTTGAAGCGCGACGCTATAATTGTGAACAACCCTGTAGTAAAGCTCGATGTAAAACAAACTTATCAGTAGTAGGACTGTCAACAACAGTTGCTATTACATCTTCTTGAATCATAATATAGAAATCATCGCCTTGATTCTCAATTCCCGGAATGACAAGCACACTTTTGTTTTCTATGTAGAAAGAAGTGATAACCAGATTGATAACCAGATATTCTCTACCGTTAATCCATTCCTCAACCCGAATCGAGATACCATACTCAAGAAAGTCCACATCAGGGTTATGACGAATGAGAAAGACAAGTTTATGCTCGAGTTTGTGCTGTGATTTGTAAAAGTATCCAAAAGTACCATTATCGGCTATCGATCCAAACGGGCTGTAAGTAGACTTGCTTGACAACAACACAATTCTCATTATGTTTGTCATTCTCATTACGATTACATTTTTGTTCGGATGACAAACGCTAAAGAGTCATCGTCAATCAAAATTGGAAGCAAATCATCGCAAATTTCCTCGCCAGCATTATCTCTCTTATTCTTGCAATCATTTTGTGTGATATCGATCAGAAAGTTGACGCTCACATTTGTTGAAATTTCAATCGCCTAAACGGTTTTTGAGTTGGATCAGACAAAAATTCATACAAAGAATGTACTCAATCGAGCCCCGTGAATTGCAAAAGATGGAGTCTGCAAATCAAGTTGGAATGTTCGAGGTTCTTCGGTGATTTTCAGCATAAATCCAAGAGATTCGTTAAGAGACAAGTCGGGGCAAAAAGATGACTAAAGAATGCTTCCATTTTGACATTTCCATGACAGCATGACTGTCAGCTGTCAGTTGTCAGCTGTCATTTGTCAGCTGTCGTCCATTATCATGACAATTCCATTTCATACTACTTACAGCAATGCAGTTTCCCCGAAAGGTGAACTCCACCATGTCAGAAGTTGGTGTGAAGCTAAAAAGGAAATGAAAACTAAAATAAAGTATCAAACGATTTCGCGTAGGTTGGAGATCGGCTGGAACAATAATTATCTGCTGAATTTGTTGGGTAAGCTTTGAAAGTAAAGTTGCCGCCAGTGAGCTGCTCGAATTTTCCAGTGAAAGAAGTCATAGAATTTGTTGGCTAAAATTGTTTTTTTATGTAATCAGCCTAGGATTTTCAATGACTTACGTAACCAAAAGTGTTTCCAAGAAGAGGGAAACAAGATGATAAATTCATTGCAAATATTTCTTTGTCTTTATTGTCAAATACCCAAGGATGATAGGGCATTGAAAATATGAGCATTCGATTCATCGTCGAATCTACAGAAAAAACTTTAAAGTCCTCAAAGAACAAGTACATGGCCAAGTCTTCTTTCGATCCATGTCAAATTCAAGGCAAAATCGGCATTGCTCATCAGTGAATATCGAAGTAGCTGTTGATGTTGAATCGACACGAAGAAAATCAGCTCTAGGACAAGAAGAACTGATTATTGGAAAGTGAAAGCACTTTTCATTTAAGCATGTGACTTAATCTAAGGCTTAATACCTTCCACTAGCAAGGCGATGCTCGTCCAATCTGTCCAGTCCAGGTTCCGCACCCGCATAGCTTTCAAAAATTGTTTTATCCGGACAATTTGGACTTAAAGTTTGACTATCCTAAACTTAAAAGTTGAGATTCCTGTCTCTACGTAAAAAAACCTTGAAAGCTTGACAATTTTTCTGTGGTGAGAAAGGCGGTACTCTGTTGATTGACCGCATTATCGACCATGGACCGTACCAACTAAACTATCAATTTAGACAAGTCGATTGAATGGGAACCGAATAGGAACCGAATGGAAACAAAATTGGAACGGAATAGGAAACGACTAGGGACCGAATGGGAACCGAATCGGGACTTAATAGGAAGCGAATAGGAACTTTTTCGTCAAAGCAATCTTTTACGCATAGTTATCCGGATGTGGAATAATTGTTGCGGTGACATTTCCCTTCACGATTAGGTAGTCGAATTTCGTTGCGTTTGTTAAAGGGTCGTCGATGGTGTTGCGCTTTTCGTTTCCAGTGCTCATTCCCGGAATCAGCAAGACTTTTTTTGTTTCTAAACTAGCATTGATTGTTGTCTCATTTAATACATTTCACCTTTAATCCAATCTGGGACTCGAACTGAGACGGCGTAAGTCACAGATCTTCCATAATTCTGCGATGAACTCAGCGTCACACTTCCAAAATCACCTTCTGCCGGTTGTGGTAAGAAATTCGTCCAAAAGACTCCCTTTATCTGGTGATCGACTTGTGAAGCCCATTCTCTATAGAAAGTTTAATTATCTCGAGTTGTAAAAGGTTAAGCATTTTACAGGGTGCGTCATAATTATTGCAACAAGATACTCAAGGCATTGCACACCAAAAAGTTTCACTGGAAGAAGATTTTTAAACAGAAATAGCTTTATTTAACAGTAACAAATAAGGAAACAAGAGATCATTCGATATGACCGCCTTTTGCCTTGATAACAGCCCTTAATCGGTTCGGATATGCCTCCACTGCGGCCCGAATGTCATCTTGAGGAGTCGCCTTCCATCCTTTGGTCAAAGACTTCTTCAAGGTCAAAGAGCAGACATTAGCCTCTAAGATTGCCCAAATGGAAAAGTCCATCACATTGAGATCCGGTGAGTTTGGAGGCCATTGATCCTTGGTGATCACTGAGGGAAAGTTGGCCACACACCAGTCCTGAACCGTCTTCTTCGTGTGAGCGGGAGGTAATTAGGCAAGAATAAAGAAGATAGAACGCAACACAACAAAAAAGGGGGCAAAAAAAATAAGAAAGCTGTTTGGAAAACGGTCTTTGAACTCTTGTTGCAATAATTATGACGCACAACGAGTACAAAAACCATTTGTCTTCAAATCAAAAATCTAAGCACTAGCAATTCTTAAATGATGTCCAACTAAGAGAAAAAATGCAAAAAGAATCGATTTCGACTTGTCAATTTTTTGTTGATAGGTCGAGAAATTTTGTCTTTTGACCTAATCAATTCTCCTAAGATATCCCAGTTGCAATTATTCAAATTCCACTTTCCTGGGCCAATTTTTTGCGTAGATTCCAAAAAACACACTTTCAGCACGATTTGACGACGGTATCGCGATGAAAAGTGACTTTGAAAATTTCTAGGTTTCAACTTTGGTGTTCAGAAGGGCAAAAACCCTGAATAAAATAGAAAACATATAGAAAAACTGATACCATCGTGTAGAGCTCAACCTGAGCTTTCAGAATATATATAACACTTATGGGTTCTGTCGAGTACTTCTGTAGATATGGCGTATCAAAGTTGGTGAACTCTCCGGTGGATAAACAAGCGTGACAGGGCAACGTTGCAATGTGTCAAAACAAGTATTGAAAATTTGTTGCTCATTCTTTCCTAAAAGGAGGCAAATATGATGTACGAACCTTTTCGATCAACGGTGCTGGCCATGGAGTTCACCAACTTTGATACGCCATATCTACAGAAGTACTCGACAGAACCCATAAGTGTTATATATATTCTGAAAGCTCAGGTTGAGCTCTACACGATGGTATCAGTTTTTCTATATGTTTTCTATTTTATTCAGGGTTTTTGCCCTTCTGAACACCAAAGTTGAAACCTAGAAATTTTCAAAGTCACTTTTCATCGCGATACCGTCGTCAAATCGTGCTGAAAGTGTGTTTTTTGGAATCTACGCAAAAAATTGGCCCAGGAAAGTGGAATTTGAATAATTGCAACTGGGATATCTTAGGAGAATTGATTAGGTCAAAAGACAAAATTTCTCGACCTATCAACAAAAAATTGACAAGTCGAAATCGATTCTTTTTGCATTTTTTCTCTTAGTTGGACATCATTTAAGAATTGCTAGTGCTTAGATTTTTGATTTGAAGACAAATGGTTTTTTTCAAACTACGTACTCGTTGTGTGACGCACCCTGTATAGCTCTAGATACAGGATGACGAGAAATAACCCGTCCTAATAGTCCGTTCTAGGCTCATATTTCTGTTATTTGTAGACCAAAACGATTAATTTCTTTTTTAAATGAAAATTCACATCGTTTTCTTTATATGTTCAAGATTTCATGACCAGATTTCATGAAAAAACGCACAAAATAAATAGAAATCGTCATTAAAAGAATCCCTAAATTTGAGCCGCGACTCGTTATTTTTTAAGCCATTTTTGCGCGTTCACAAAAAATTATCTATCGATGCTATGGTCATGAAATCTTGAACATATAAAGAAAACGATGTGAATTTTCATTTAAAAAAGAAACTAATCGTCTTGATCTACAAATAACAGAAATATGAGTCTAGAAAAAAAAAAGACGGATTATTTCTGGTTACCCTGTAAAAGCCTGCGCCGTTCAAAAGTCAGAATCATGGCTGTGGATAATTAAATCAACCAACACCCGATCACTATTTTCCTTTAGACTCAGGAACAATTCAGGCATGTCCCATATTGAGCCATCGACTTTGAAAGGGCTTGGATCAAGACACAAGGTGCCATTAGGTTGTTGACATTCATCGATTGTCCAATCAACAATCACTCCAGTACAGTTATGGTATGTTATTTCGATTTGCTAAAAGCAGTTTAGTTTATTTTAGCTTCTTCTTACCTCAAATTGCATTAGTCTATCTCCATGGATGGCAAACGAGGGAGTTCTTTTTGTTAGTTCAAATGTCCGTATCAAAGGTTTCGCTGTTAGCTTCAACATAAAACCAATTGGTGAAGTTGATTCAAAAAGCGATGAGTTGAAAGTCCAGGTAATCTGAAGATATAAATATTAAAGATCTGTTCACAATGTACATTTAGACAGTAGGCTTCAAAGGTTTCTGCAGGCGGGACTATTGGAACAGTGGCCTTCTCGGTGGAATAGCTAAAAGTACTTTAGATTAATATGAATATGTAAATTAGATACCTTTTATAGAAAGTGTTTACTTTTCCGCACTCAAAATCCCCATCGTTTGTCGGATGAGCAGTCAAATAAAGAGTGATTCCATCAATCTTCACTATCTCTAACTGTATTTCTCTTGAGGTTCGACTCTGAAATGACTGATATTTCTAGTTATTGTACAGTCATCTTATTCGATCTGGTGAATCCAAATCTTTTCCTATTCTACATACTGTCTTTGTTTGAACTGCAATGAATGTTTGTGCTGTTTTCCCAGTTTTCCGGAGCATCTCCACTTGTAATTGTTGGTCGAAGATCCATGGATAGTAATAAGGAGTCCAGAAATTGAACTTATCCAAATTCTCAGCTTAATTTTATAACTTATAGCTAGAAACTACTAGAAGAATAGCTAGAAATCTCTTACCATCTGGCTGTGATTCAAATAACAAGCAAAATTTGACGGGCTCATAGGTGAAAATCGTGGTTGCAGTGGTTCGTGAATGAAATCGGAGACTTCCAGTGTACAAAAATCGAAATAAGCACAAGAAAGTTTCAACTTATCTCATTACTCATAAAATGTCGTTGATCATCTTGATTTTTCCCAGGAGTTGTGCCAGAATATACCCAAAAACGTGTTTCAGTAGTGGCTTCGAATCTCGGCTAAAATGTTGCTTTTACGTTCATTTTATATAAAAAATTAAGCCAACGATTAAGCCAATTAAGCCAAATGACTCTTTCGAAATCGATTTAGTCATATTTCACTTGATCATGCTCAAATTTTAGATAAAAATCACATCATTGTTTGGGCAAATGTTTTTAGTTGATCGATCTAGCCAATAGGACGTTGCTTGTAAGGTCACAAGAGGGCCATATGAACTGGAAATTAGTGATAAATATTAGGTTGTCCAGTTATAAATGCGCGTTTTTAAGATAACAACTCTTTATTTTAAAACCAACAGTTTAACAGCTCAATCAACAATATATTCACCATTTGTTAACAATATTTGTTTCCATCTTCCATGCAAAGAATGAATTCCCTCCGCGTAAAAATTGGCTTGTTTTGAGGCAAAGAAGTCGGCTATCCATTTTTCGACTTCTTGAACTTCTTTGAACTTGTTTCCGGCCAAATGGTTTCGCATTGAGCGAAATAAATGGTAATCCGAAGGAGAAATATCCGGAGAATATGGCGGATGCGGGAGAGTTTCCCAGCCCAACTCTTCGAGTTTTTCCTGAACAATCTTTGCAACGTGTGGACGGGCGTTATCTTGAATGAACTTTATGTTTGAAGGATCAAGGCCTTTTTGTAGCAATACATTGTTCACTCGTTCCAATTGTTGTGCATACGTTTCACCCGTGATTGTTTGTCCAGGTTTAAGCAGCTCAAGATAAACAATGCCTTGGGAATTCCACCAGACAGTAAGCATTACTTTCTTGCCATGGAAGTCAGGTTTCGGTGTTGGTATTGGCTCCTCACCAGGTTCTAGCCATTGCCGTTTTCGTGTAGAATTATCATATTGAATCCATTTTTCATCGCAAGTAAGGATTTCATCGTAAAACCCAGTATTTTTTGCCAAACGAAGAAGAATACCCGCCATAGTGACACGAGTAGCTTTATTGGCATTGCTGAGAAGATGAGGAACCCATTTCCCTTGTCAGCTTGTTTTCCCCAATTGATTTAAATGCTCGGAAATTGTTTGAGGGCTTACTCTAAATATTTCTGCAAGTTCACGTGTAGTTTGTTGAGGATCCATTTCTATCGCCTGCTTCAGTAGTGCATTATCGATCGCAGGAGGTCGTCGTTGGTGGTCATCGTCTTCCAAAGATTCATTTCCTTCTCGAAATCGTTGAAACCATCGGCGACACTGGCTTTCCGAAATAGCATCTTCGCCAAATACTTTGCAGAGATCTCGATGGGATTCAACGGCATTTTTGCCGAATTTTGCCCAATTTGAAGTCATACCAAAGACTGGCACGAAGACGAAACTTCGTCTAGGTCATCTAAACACGGAAATTAAATCAAAAATGAATTAGTTTAACGTCAAAAACACGAAAAGTTGCTATAAATAAGAAATCTTGAACAGCATATAGAGAATAGGGTTTGATAAAATTGTATAGCCCTAAGGTACGCTGTTCAAGAGCAGGCGCGCATTCATAACTGGACAACCTAATATAAATATACAAATATGGAAATACAAATACAAAGTCTAGAAATGCAAATATTGTTTAAAATCTAATAGATTTTTTCATTGTTGACTACTTTAAAAGCTTATAGTAACTCGCCATCTTCAGATCCAATACCCAAAGTCAAAACCCACTCATACGTATTCGGATTTGCCACAACTGTTACAATTTCAGTCTCCAGAACAATAATTCCTATTGAGTTCTTGTGATTGCCTCCTTGAATACCAGGAATCAACAAAAGTGACATTGCTGAAAAGATCGATTAGTGAAACCTCATCTTCCAACATCTTACATTCATCAATCCATTCCCGTACTCGGATTGAAACAGCAAACTCAAAAATTGATTCGCTCGATGTTTTATTGAAAGTTAACTCCGTTCTTTGATCCACATTGTAGACCCAAATGTATAGTGTAACGAGAATTTCAGAGGTTGATAAATCAGAGCAATTGCTAAAGCGTTTTTTTCAACGAAAAGTTAAACAAGTGACCGAGAATCGGTGCCAATGAGTAGAGAATCAGCGAGAGAGATGTTAAATGGAATTGTATCGTCACACTGAAATACGATAAACTGATGAAAGCTTTATTCCTTTATCCCTCACCATTCCTTTATTGTGATTTGTGCAACCAGCTTGTGAATAGATGATCTCAAAATTTGATGCAACCGATGTTTTGATCGTGATTGTCTAAACCACAACGAAAGTAAGAACCAAACTGTAAGTGGCAACCTAACTAAGCCTAAGCCTGAACCTGAATCTAACTAAACTAATCTAACTGTAAGAAGGTTGTGAACAAAGGGCAAAGCTTGGACCTTGATCTGGCTTTCAGAAATAGCTTTGTTTGCAAAATAATAATACCTCAGCTTGATTCAAACGAACACCGTGAAACGCAAAAGCCGGATCGCTTTCCGTTAACTCAAAGATTGGATTCTTTTCTGCATTGATCAATTTGATAGTGAAAAGGTAGAGCAATGTGAAGAATATCATAAAGCAATCTAGAAGTTGTCTTATAGTTTGAGAGAACTCAATGACAAAAATCACTTTGTAAAGTGATAGGATTACAACCGATTACACCGATAAATTCAATAGGATTACAAAATGAACCGAGTTTGACTTACACATGAGGATTTTCTTCCTAGTTACTTCAGTTACAAACAACTTTCTAGTTAAACTTTATGAACTGCATAAACTTTGGAGATGTTCACAAAATGAAATGAATGAATTGGAATGAATTGGCACCAAACATGAGCGTTTTCTTTCAGAGTTCAGTTGGGTAAGCAGCTTTCTTTTCGCGTCTTTTCCCCAAACGGGGAACCTTTTCCTCGTTTCTTTCTTAAATTCAGCTTATCCCTGACGAATGCGTGTTTGTTTCAAAGTAAATGATAGGGAACTTCTCTTATGGAAAATGTTTTTGAGCTAGTATCGAAATCCAGGGAAAACAAATACATTGGCTTTCTTTCAGAAGGCCGGTTACAAAAAGAGATAGATTTGGCGATGGTCAGAGCTGTAAAAATTCACAACTTTACATTTGCAGAAAAGTTCCTTTACTGTCAAGGTTACTGTTATTGATCAGAACTTGTCATTTGATGCAATAGTAAACTCTTTTTCCTATTAACTCTTAAATCTCGAACTGATCAACACTTATCTTCAACAAATCTCCAAGGGAATCTTTGGCTTAACATGATTCTTTGAAATCCATGTTGACAGTTGATTTTTTGAATAAATTTTTCTTTTCAGCAGAGTCATTCCAACCATTCAGAGTCATTCAGACCTATTTACATTATTCTGACCGCCAAACTGCTATTTTTAGTTGGTTAAATTTTTATTTTTGGCTTGCATTCTGGAGTAGAATGACTTGCGCATAATTTGAAAAGATTCTTTTGAAAAAACGAGTCACTATCATTTGAAAAATGAAATAACTCAGCCTTTTCCTTTTTTTGCGTTGATGGGTGGGCTAGATTCAATGTGCGACCATGTACACTACTAGACCATGAAATATCATATTTGAAAAACGATCGTCACTTTCGCGCGTCTGTAACTCCATTGTCTTTCTCGTATTTCTAAATATTAATATTACCATTGTGTAGCCCTTGAAAAGAGCTTTCAGGAAATGTATAACAGTAATAGTTTAAACTCAAAGACAAGGGAGTTACAGACGCGCGAAAGTGACGAAAGTGTTTTTCAAATATGATATTTCATTGTCTAGTACTGTACCAAAAGAATATCAAAAAGTTGTCAAGGAAAGAAGATCTAAATAAAGAGCTGAAAGTTTGCCGTGCCCGTACCGCCAAGCTTTCGAATCTTATCGATTTTGTAAGTTTTTTATGAGTCAATTTTGACTAGGCTGAACAACATGCTTCTGCTTCTGTTATGCCTATAAAAAATATTAATCAACATTTAGCAACTAACTACACTCATTTCAATCTCATATAGGCCATATAAAACTCCAGCTTTGCAAGCCTGCAAAATGACTGCAAAAACTGTAGACTGCCAAATATTACTCTATGAGAAACGTGCTTTCCAATGTGCACTAACTTACCTTGAAAAATACTGTAAACCGTGTTAATAAAGATTTGAAAGTGCAAATTATTGAGATGTTGTAAAGCCTATACACTCGTTTAGCTTACAAGCTTTAAAGCTGGCACACAACTTTCCGACTTTATCTCTACGATCTCAAGGTTTGTCATCGAAAATCTTCATTTAATGTTGAAGAATTGATTCAACAAACAGAAATCGCGTGCTTGTTCAATTTTTGGCTGGGTTTTCCTTTTAAAAACGATCACTTTAGCATTCAATAGTGTCACGTGCACTTTTTTTCTGTCCTCTTTCTCTTGTTTTTTGTCTTTCCCAGCTTTCTTTCCCAGCATTCAATAGTGTCACGTGCACTTTTTTCTGTCCCCTTTCTCTTTTTTTTTTGCTTTCTTTCCTCTTTCCTTTATCTATTGTGATAAAGTGTTCCGGTTCACGCTAGTTCTCGGAAATTTTATGAAATAACTTTTATTTTGACTAAACAAAACGAGATCTTTTTCTTTGGTAAACTTTCAAATTCCATGGTCAATGAAGACGGTAGTTTTTTGAAAAGATGACTCATATCTCAGAAAGGAAAAAAAAGCTGTCAATGCAATGTTGTGCAACTATTATTTGTTTCTTAAAATCTTTCCCCTAACTATTTCTATTCATAATTTTTGTTTCTCTTGTTTTACTGCTCATTGTTTAATTGGTAATCATCCATAAAAAGCTGAAGAGCACAAATCCTTGCTTGTGATCAATTAGCATCAGTAAGCTAAAAGTAAGCCCATTAGCATCAATAAGCTTTTTCATCTAAAAAGTCTAAGACATTTCGAGCTTTGATTCACGTGAATTCATTTGAGAATGGCCTCCACATCGACTGCCTCATTTCCTCAGCAAAATTTCGATTATTTCCTCATTCTTGACTTTGAGGCAACTTGTCAAGATGGAGAAAAGATCAAGCCTTGCCAAGTATTTCAATTTCTTCATCCAATATAGCAACAGCTTTTAGGAAATTATCGAATTCCCAGTGATTCTTCTAGATGGACAGACTTTTGAAGAGGTAGATACTAAAGAATTATTTTGATTTATCAGTTTCAGGTTGCTCGATTTCACCGATATGTTCAACCAACGGTTTGCCCAAAACTCACGCCCTTTTGCACGGATCTAACAGGGATTTCCCAGGTAACGAAAAGATTTTTGAACTCACTTTGATAAGCTATATTTCCCGAGAAATGAAGTGGCCAAAATGTTTAGGAAATGGTTGACAATCAACCGGAAATCCTAGAAGTCCTTCAAGAGTTTGATGACTGGTTCAACGAGAGAAATCTATCAGATAAAAGGTTTCTGTTGATTTTGTGAAGAAAGCATTCCTTTATAGATTCATTTTTGTCACATGTGGAGATTGGGACTTGCAAACACAGCTACGACATGAGGGAAAATACAAAAAGTTTGAAGTGCCCAAGTGAGTTGAGATTTACACGCACTGTAACAACGGTAACATTTCGATTACTGTAACAGTTATGGACATCAATGAATGGACTAAAAGATTTGTAACAATAAGCAAAATAGATTCTAATCATTTATAGGTATTTCTCCGAGTGGATCAATATAAAAGAATCCTTCAAAAAGCATCGAGGATACAAGGGATATGGAATGATGACTTTGCTCAAAGAAATGAAATTGCAACATTCGGTGGGTGGAAAAAGAGTAAAAATTTGAATAAGTTAAATAAGAAATAGACTTGTAACGAAAACATCTGTCGGTTCTTTTTGCCGTTGGCAATTTAAGGTTTTTCGTATTTTTCTCAGTACCCACCCCTTCATTTTGACTATTTGAATTATCATTCGATGCAGAATAAAATTACGCGTCGAACGATACCAAAATTGACTCAAAATGTAATATCCACGCAAAGTTATGAGGCGAAAGGTTAAGTCCCGCCCATAATGGACAGGGCTTAGGTTTTTAGCCAATAACTTTGCATGGATATTACATTTTGAGTCAATTTTGGTATCGTTCGACGCGCAATTTTATTTTGCATTGAATAATAGTCAAAATAGTCCAAAATTGAAGAGTTGGTGCTGAGAACAACACAAAAAACTTTAAATTGCCAACGGCAAAAAGAACCGAAGGATGCCTTCGTTACAAGTCTAGTCCAACCAATCATCGTTACCATTTAGGGTCGACATCATAGTGGAATTGATGATACAATAAATATCGCTGCTATAACAAAAGCATTAGCAAAAGAAGGATTTGTATTTGAACCAACAGGAAAAGCGCCGGAAAAGAAAGGGAAGAAAAATGTGAGATAGAAGTTGTTTGAATGAAGTGTTGCCATGTAACTTGTGCCTTTTTATTGATGTTTATGGAACTCTTGTGTTGTTATTTTATAATATGATTGCGATAGCATAATGTGATTGTTATTGCAAAATAAATCATATCGTACACTGACGTTGGAAAACAATCTACTATAAGGCTGTCTGTCCGTCCGTTCGTACGCAACTTTCATCTCGAGAACCAGAGAAGCTAGAGCTTCAAAAACAACACCATTACAGGTTTTCGTGGTCGCGGAGTTCCCCTTTGAGGTCAGCTTTTTTCTACGGCCGATGGAAACAGTAGTATTGCGTACTCCGACTCTAGGTCTCAGGTCCAGTGAACTGTTTTCCATGATTAATGTATCATTTTGAAAGAAATTTAAAACTAGAATACTTTGAATGCCATAAGACAATTTCTCCGAGCGGCTGCGTAGCGGAGGCCTAGCGCAGCTAGTCAAAAAAATAAATTGATGAAAGTTCTATCCAAGAATCGAATCCCTTCATTTATTTATTGTTGCACAGAATAAAGAAAAAAGGAACTTTTAAAGTACCGAAGTTGATAGGGACAAAAGGACAAAGAAATAAGAAACTTTTAAAATATTACAGCCGATACTTGTGCTCAACGGCTTCTTCAGACAACGTACTTAAATAATATCGATGAATCGATTCATCTCCTGCAAGCATTTCATACAAATTTGTGACAATTTCTTCGAAATTTGGCCTCTCCTTTGCCTCAAATGCCCAACAACGATGAGCCAATTTTGTTCTATAACTTTTACTCCTGTAAACGCCAAAAGATAACTGACATGTCTTCTGGCGTCTTCTGTGGAAGATCCAATCGATTTCCTTTCTTTAACCAATCATACATTTCCGTGTTTTCCACTGTCACAAATGGTGATTCTCCGAAAGAATACAATTCGAAGAGAAACACGCCAAATGACCATCTAAACAAACAAGTTTCTTTTGTTTTTGTCTAGTTTTGTTTAATCTTCTCAACCAACACATCAGTTTTCCCAGTGAACTCAAAGTTTTTAATCGCTTCAGGCGCCATCCATTTTATCGGAAGCATTCCTCCTTTTGATGTGTACAAAAACGAGCCAATTCGACGGCATAAACCAAAATCTAAAGTACAATTGTTATTCCTAAACAAAATTTCCTCTTTATTCTTTAACTCACCTGCCAGTTTAGCCACATTGTCTCTTGTCAACAGAACATTTCTTGCCGCAACATCTCGATGAATAAAATTCTTTGAGGCAAGATAGAGCTAATTGTAAGCTGTTGAGCAAGGATTGAGAAGCAGCTAAGACTCACCAAAGCGTCACTGATCTGCCAAGCAATTGGTGAGAAATCTACAAGGTGAAGACCGTCCTAGAAGACATAGACAAAAAAGGTGTTATTGTTTTTACTTCATAACTCGGATCTCTTGATTTCTGAAGTAGTGACAAAAGATCGCCTTTTTCACAAAGTTCCGTAATCAACACTGGCCTTTCCGGGTTTCTTGAACAACCCAGAAAGATCAGTAAATGGGGTTGACCCTAAATTAGTCGTAGGCAATTGAAAGCACTTCATTCTCACCGTTAATTCGATCATGAAATCAATCTCTTGAAGCATTTCTTCTCTGAAAAGTGTTTATTGCATAATAAAGTTTGAGAAATTTGGCAAAATTCTTGTCAATTTTACGATACTTGGCTTCTTGCGTGGCATTCGCATGACACATCTTGATGGCCACCAAAAATCGTCCATCTCTTGAAGGAATTTTTAACTGAAAAGCGGATTTATCGTTAGTAAAAGGGAAAAGGGAAATGAAAGGTTCATTTAAGAACTCATTTCCTACCTTAAGTTGAAGACGATCTGCAAAGATTTCGGGCAAAACTTTCAGTGTTCCGCTATGCACAACAGCAAAAGCTCCCTGACCGAGTCGTTCCGTGGAGATTTCAAGTGTTGCCGGATCAAGCTCCCAGCAATCACTAGGATTTAACTAGAACTGGAGCTAGAAAGCACTAAAACACTAGAGCGTAAAATTTTTAAGTGTTAGCTATATAAAGATCTAATCTTCATACAGGGTGCGCGATGTTATCGCAACAAGATAAAGTTCTGGTTTTAAGGCAGACAAGGGCAAAAAAGACAAATTTTTAACTGACAAGGGAGGATCAACTGGCTGAGCCGGTCAAATGACATGCAACCTGTACCATTCGACGCACAATTTCACGCTGATTCCGAATCTGCTTTCCGTTTTTCTGAGTCTTGTTCTGGCAGGAGTTATAAGCGTCTAAAGTTCTGTTAGGACTCTGAAAATATGGGTTTTTGGGTCTTAGGCGCCTTCTGCGCGTCCTTGATTCTAGTAGGCCGTGAGCGAGCGGTAGAGCCTGTGTTCGAGACCAAATCCCAACAATAACAATTTGTTTTTTGTGATTGTGCTTATGAAACTAGGTTGTGGTTGTGAAACCATTAATTGTGGGAGTCCTTCTTTCATTTTATGCGCTCGTTGTCACATCAAACTTTGCTTTCACCATTTTATTAACTGCTGACTGTTTGCTTAAAATGTGGTCTCGGAAGCTGGTCCTCCAAGCACACAAAGAAGGCAAGTTTTCACATCTTGAAAACAAGCAAAAAACCGCTACGGGGAGTCGAACCAGACACCTTTGGCTCCGAAAACAGACGATCTACCGCTCGCCCACGGACTACTAGAATCAAGAACGCGCAGAAGGCGCCTAAGACCCAAAAACCCAAATTTTCAGAGTCCTAACAAAACTTTAGACGCTTATAACTCCTGCAGAATAAGGTTCAGCAAAAACAGAAAGCAGATTTCGAGTCAGCGTGAAATTGTGCATCGAATGGTACAGGTTGCATGTTATTTGACCGGCTCAGCCAGTTGACCCTCTCTTGTGAATAACATTTATTGTACATTAGCAATTATAAATCAGCTATCAAATTCGATTGGCCACCATTGGTATTTGAGCAGGCTTGCAGGAGCTTCGGGAAGACGTCAACGGTGGCGACCAAATAGGCTGGATCGAGCTTCCAACAGTGATTTCTTCAAGCTTTCGATGTTTTTGTTTGGGGCTCAGATTTGGCTCATACTCAATCATTTTGCTTGTTAAGAAGACCTACAACGGAAAATATCTTTCATCTGTAAACAAACTATTGTGATGGTTGACTCCATTGAAGCGCGTTAATCACTGATCTGCTCTCAATTTTCTCTTGTTTTTAGCGGCATTCGAAAGAATTTGAGCCTTGTTTTTCTTGTAAGCAGTAAGTTTGAGCTTCTTTTTGAGGATCTGACGCAATGAGGTGCTTGAAACTGCTATCTTCTTTGCCACTTGCCTTACCAACTAGTTTGGCTTCTTCCGAATTCGGTCCCTCACTCGCTTGATGTTTGTCTTTGTGAGAGCTGTTGGGCGTCTATCGCTTTTTGGTGCATCAGTAATTGATCCCGTAGCTTCGTAGCGTTGAATAGTGTGGAAAATGATACTTCTGTCGACTTTAAGACGCTTATGAATCTCCGGCGCCGAGACTCCTCTTCTATTTCTCTCTTCTTATTGTGCAATTCGATAATCGATTGTTGATTGGGATTTTCCAGCCATTCTAAAAAGTAACACACTTTGTATGAAAAAAGTTTTAACTATATTCCAAATATTATAAAAACAAAAAGAAACCAGAAACGAAGCTTAAATCAACGAGTTATTGTCCTTGAACGCGCGTGATACCTTGTTGCGACAACTATGGCGCACCCTGTACATTTGACTGTGAATAACCAATCAATCTTTTTGTTACTCTTTCAAATGACTCTTGTAATCGTTTTTCCAGTGTCTCCGCAGTTCGTTAAGGGCGTGAAAGCGCATTCGATTTTTCAAACTAAAGAAGGTAATGTTGGCTTTTTTTAAAATTTGATTTCTTACACATATCTCATCGGCCAACATCCAGGACAACACTGATAAACCAAACCGAAAGAGAGGGCAAACACCAATAGAATAAGAACTCCACTAACCGCTCCTCCAACAATGAAAAACCTACAAAAGAGTGATTGTGATTCGATCGAGTTATTCAGGATTGAATAAGCCATTAAATGCCATTGAGTGTTTTTAAGCAATCTTTTAAGTGCAATGCTATTATTGTAATCGTATTTGATTGACTGTAATTCTTACAAGCGAGTGTTCGTCGTTGGAAGGTTCGGCATTGTGATCGGTGTATCATTTGTTGGCACAATTATTTCTCCCTCCCACAAATGAAGCACAAAGCCGGCACCCGCAATTGCATTTTCATCAGCTTGCCAATCGAGCTTAGAGTTAGTGATGATTGTTCATGATTCATGATTGAATTGGCAAATTTTAAAAGCTTCATAATATCTTTACTCATTGATTCTTACCCCGAAACACGCAGCGTCAAAATAAAACGTTGAGTTTATCGGAAGGGTTGTTAAACTGAAATAGGTTAAAGTTATAGTTATAAAACGTTATATTTAAAGTTTAGTTATAAACGTTTTAAGTCCAAATCTGAATAACTCAATTCACCTAACATTAAGCATTGGCTTTAACGGATTGTTTTCGCATGCTTGTTCGTGAAAAGCCCATAGGTGAAGTATTCCCCCAGAAAGCTTTTTCAGTTCAACCCTCATTTCACGTGGTTCATCAGACTAAAAGTATTTTTCAAGCCTTTTAAAGCCTTAAATATCCTTTGAAAGTACCCTGTTGCGAAAATTGGTAATCCATTTATTAGATGGCGATCGATACAAAAGCTCATCCGATTGATCGAATGTCCACGGAGTAAAGTAAGATGTCCAAAGGGAAAAACTCTCCAAAAGCTCTTCTTAAATTAGGAAACGTTAGCATAAGTTCAAAGTCGGCTTACTATTGTTGGTTCTAATACTTACCAGCTGTTCGTAGGTCGTAAACCAAACAAAATGAGCAATCGCTTTCCGTGAAAATGGTTGTGGCTGTGTTTCTAGTTAATATGGAATGACCAGATCTGCGAATGACAGAAAAGTTTGAACTGTATAAGGATGGGGAACAAACTCTGCCTCTAGAAGGAGATATTCAGATTTGTTGAGTCCTGGATCACCGCCTGCATAAGTGGAATACAATGTGCTTGATGGGCAAGTGATTGAAGACTAAAAGCAATAGGTTTTTAAAGTTAAGGGTAAACTGATCAATGTACTACTGTAACCTGAGCCTAAGCCTAAACTGGCTGAGGTCCAGAAAATGGGGGTTCAGCCCAAACCCAAATAGACATAGTGCGAGGCGCTAGCCGCTAGCCTTCGCACTAAGTCCAAGCCATCAACCTGAAAATATGGACACTCTTCTGAAGTCGTTCCTAGATCGATTGATCCGTGTCGCATTTTTGGACCCACCGTTTCGCGAATATGACGATTATATAAGCTAAATTTGTATTTCATAAAGTAATGAAGGTCCCAGAGCCCAGGGCCTAAACAAAACCCACGCATATTCGAGTGGATGTTGCACAATGGTGACAATGACATTACTCTTTATCAATGCTTGAAAATCATTCTCTATGCCATCTATCTTTCTTTGCCCGGGAATCGGAAGGACTTTTTTGGTTTCTGAATGAATAAGGGAATCTTTTTCGTCAACATTTGCTTTCTCACCATTAACCCATTGACGAACACGAACAGAAATTGCCCACACCAAATCATTATTCGATTTTCCGACAGGACGGAGAACTATTTTCGATTTCTTTGTCAAGTTCATCGAAAAAGGATAGAGAATTCCTTCTTTGGTGTATTTTGGAGAACTCGTGTATAAACTGGAATCAGATTCAATGATCAAATTCAGAAAATCTCACACTGGTTCTCCTTGCCGGGGACTCAACACTTCATCATCGACTTCAAAGCTTAAAGCATCCAGACACATTTCCTTTTCCTCCGCCAAACAACCATCTTGTGCATAATCGATGAGAAAATCGACTGCTCCGCTGTTCACATAGATTATTATACTCTAGAATGGTATTCCCAGTGTTTCCCTTCACAAAACAAACTCTAAATTGTTGTACTCGATACCCATGAACAGCCATTGATGGGGTTTCTTCTGTTAGCTCAAATTCTCTATGGGGTAGGGGTCCTTCCCAAAGATCGACAATATACCCGAATGGTCCATCTCCCGATTGATTTGGAATCCAGTAGAGCTGCAATTTATGCTTTGCTTTTCTTCATAAATTTTTTTTTGATTGACTAACAAAAAATTTTGATGAGTCAATCAAAAATCTTTTGTTTTATAGCAACATTGACCAACCTCAATACATTCGATGTCAAACGGAAGATTAGGCTTTGCTGGTACGTGGGTGATGCTAAACTTGACGTATGACCAATGTATGATACTTGATGATTGATGTATGATTGATTTATGACTGATTAAACAAACTTTTCTTCATAAATTGCTAGATGACTCTCAGTCAAGCAATCCTCTCCCTCGAAACCGGAATCAGCCGCAACGTGAACAGTTCCCCCTTCGATCAATCTTATTTCAAAGGTCGTTTGACGATTTTCAAGACTCTAGAAATGGTTTAAATGTAAGCCTACAAACGTACAAATAACCAAGTCATTGAACTGGCCAAAGAACTCGAAACAACTATCAGCTATTCGTTTAATCGAGTTCAACTGTTCAGCACGATCATGAATCCATGGGTAAAAGCCTGGGGTCCAAATTGAATGTCCATCCAGATAGACATCCGGAGAATCGGCTGTTATTCAACGTCATTTTGTTATTAATTTCTTCAAGTTATTCAACTAACTAACTAGCGTAAATCCTCTATTAGAGCAGCATTTTTCGGTGCCCATTTTTCGGATCCCCAAAAAGTCACATAAGGGGGTAACACATTGTTGAAAAAAATTATTTTTGCTGAAATCATCCTAACACGATTTCTTTTGGTCTAAAACATACAAAAAACACCATTAAAACAAAAAGTAATGTGCATGATTCTACCCCGGATGTCCGACCCTCGAAAATCCCTGTGATCCCGCCTTATGATTTTTTTCTCGAGAAATGTTTAGTCAAATTTTTTCCAGAATCGATTTGAATTTTTTTGCCATCACTTTTAAATTATACTTAAGACCCATATGCATCATTTTAAGCACTTTCGGAGAAAATATTTTTGGAAAAAAATTGGATCTGTGGGCTGTCAAAATTAGCATTAGGAGGTGCCGCTCTATTAGAGGATTTATGGTATTCAACTTATTGATATGTTTTTCTTCTATTGATAGCTATTGATAGCTTCTATTGATAGCTTGCAATGCACAAATGATCGCTGTCTTTGTGCTTGAAGCTAAATTATGTTCTTCAGTTAAAAATGTTCTTCAGTGATGTCCTCCAAAGTTAAATGAAATCATTCACCCCGTGGCATCGTGTTGTAAAGCAAACAAAACGTGCACTCATTTTCTGTGAACATTGTTGAAGCTGTTGTTCTTACTTGGACCGGTACATCTGCTCTGAAATGAAAAATCTGAATTTAAAAAAGAAAGGAGGAAATGGGGAAATCGAACTATCGAACTGTACACACTCTTCAGCCAAAAGTTGATAATCGGAATTCTTTGCAAATCCAGGATCAGAGCCAGCAAAGGTAAAATATTTTGTACTCGACTTGCAGGTGATGTTAAACTAAAGAATGATAAATTACGTTTAAAGTAGAATTTACTTGAAAACCAGGGCATTTCGTTGCAGCATTTGTCAAACCGACAGCCGTTTGTATAGTCAAAGGACCGTTGTTATAGCTAAAATCTTCATCTTCAGCTTTCTAGCAATCTTTCCATTCTTCAGTTTTGATACTATCAAACTGTACAAACTCTTCAGCCAAAAGTTGATAATCGGAATTCTTTGCAAATCCAGAATATCTATTGGGTTGGGGAGAATGAGTCGGCGCCCAACTTTAAAGGGACTTTTTGCACAGATAAAGCCTTCTTTAAACATACGTTTGGTTTCACAAAGGATCCACTATTTCTCTCAAAATGACTTTTGAGGTTCCACAAAGCTTTTCTTCGTGGGTTTATGAACTTCCAAACGCGCTGGTTAAATGGCAAAGGTCCGACTCATCATTGACAGTTTCTTCACATAAACCTTCTTTGGTGTTTAGATAAAGATAGAGCACATTCATTACATAGTTGCCAAATTTGCGGGATCCCACCAATGGTTTTCTGTGACGTTTGTAGTTTTGTGAAAATGGCTTTTCTTGGCGGGGCGCTGTTGTTTTCTTTTATGTCATTTTGTAGAGAATTGTTAACCATTCTACTGATATCAAACGCATATTATTTGCGAAGTCGAATAGAGTTTTGCTTTTTTGTTTTCGGCGCCGACTCATTCTCCCCAACCCAATATATCATAAAAGTTACAAACTTATAAGTCTCCGGATCTGGGAAAACCGTGACAATGTTATCATTTGTAACCAAAATCTTGAAATTTCCATCTATATCACCCAAATCTTTTGGCATTCCAGGGACAAGAAGAAGCTTTTTTGTTTCTAGAAACGGTTAATTTGCGGAAAAATAAGTTTTCTAAACCATTAGTCCATTTCCGAACGCGGAATGAAAGAGCAAAATCGTTACTTTTCACAGTTTTTGCAGGAAGAACGATAAGTTGAGAATTGTCAAGAATTTGGAAAGATGAGGAATAGAAAGAGCCAACATCATTCAAGTGATTAAAATAAGAACTGAAAAAAGAGCCTGAGTAGTCTAACAGCATGACTCACATAATACTATCACTTCCATTTCTTTTCGGGACTTTTCCATTGATTGAGAATGGAATTGGATCATCACAAAACGGTAAATCGTCCCCCTGAAAACGGAATTAAACTGTGAAAATTCGAAAGTTACCGTTTTCTTGCAATCATTCTGAGTGAAATCGATCAGAAAATCCATTTTATCATCCACTTTAATGGTGATATTCTAAACATTACAGATTAGAGCAAGTTTTCCTGACACTTTTAGATAATCGTATTGAATCGTATTGATATATAATTGTATTAAATCTAACCTTTAGACTGATTAAACGTTTTCCATGAATTGCAAAAGATGGAGCATCCTCGGTCAATTGGAAAAGCCGTCGATTAGCAGAAAGCACAACGGGAATAAGAGAAAGAAACCAAAACAGAACATGGTAATTCATTGATCAGATTTGATCAAAATCCTCGAACTAAATTACTGTTTTTTTGTTTAAGATAAAATTTAGCAGAAACTTTTGCGTCACTGATCGTCACTTTGCCAAAATGCGTCAATGGACATAAGACTAGCCTTATGCTAGGCTTTTATCGAAATTCGGACTAAATCTTTGTGGTGTGCATATCAAAGAAAGCGCCTTTTCTGCAACGTCGAAACTAGGTTTCGGCGTTTTTAAGCCTAGTTTTTGAGCATTGGTGTCTAAGAATAATATTTTTAGGACTTTCCTTTAATACCTACCGTGAATACTGTAATAGTACCCCACCCCCATAATGACGGTGCGGAGTGTTGCGTAGTCTAGCTTTGAACGAGTTTTTCTCGACACTGGTTTATGCAACAATGCGCGCTTAGGTATCAAAAAGTAACCCTGAATTTCAGCTATTTTTTGATACCAAAGACGCATTTTTTGAAAGTACGGGTGCTTTGAAAAAAATGAAATATAGTCGAACCTCTCTATAACGAACCTCGATATAACGTAAACCTCTCTATAACGTAAACTATAGCCGGTCCCGTGAGTTACGTTGTAGAGAGGTTCGACTGTACTAAAAAACTTTTGCGACTACGCGACTGTACGAGGGAGGCGGGGTACTACATATTACAGTATTTACGGTAGTAAATTTTTGGTTACTTTTCCTTTACAATAGCAAATGGAAATGTGGCGATCAATAGGAAAAACAAGCCACATATGTAGGATTTTTCAGACAGAATATACAGGGTGTTTGAGAATTACGGGCACTTTTTCTCTTGTGCGTAGCTCTTCCTGGAGTCAACCATTCCCCAGAAAACTTTTTGATAGAATTTACAGTTTATTTTCAACGCTTTACTTCAATACTTTACTCAGAAACTCAAAATTAGCAATTCTATAGAAATTCAAATCTTCAAAATTCGAGAGCCTCTGGGATGCGGCGATCTTGTGACCAAATTTTGAACATAAATAATGCCTATTCAAAAAAGCAGCAAACAGCGTAGGTTTTCTAAATTTATAATTAGATATTTACAAGTGTTTCATCCATGATCGGGTCATTGTTAGAGTAATTCTTTAAGTTCGAAATTTGGTTACAAGTTCGCGTCCCAGTTTTGGAGTTTCTCGAGTTTTGAAGATTTGAAGTTCTATAGAATTGCTAATTTTGAGTTTCTGAGTAAAGTTTCAAAGTAAAGTGTTGAAAATAAGCAGTAAATTCTATCAGAAAGTTTTATGGGGAATGGTTGACTCCAGGAGGAGCTACGCACTAGAGAAAAAGTGCCCGTAATTCTTGAATACCCTGTAGATCCAAACACTCTGTGAATGAGTTTCGTCATCTTATCAAAGTTCTCAAACATCTTTTCTTTTCCTTTTCTTGTCATAAAGCTTATTTTTGCTTTTAAGTAAGCATTAGACAAAGAATTTGGAAAAATGCCCATTCCTAGTTTGGACAACGAGAAAAGCAGCTTTTCGTTTTCGTGTACATAGTGTGCAAAGCTTTAGTCTGTGTCAAGTTTTGATAAAATATAAAGTGTGCTAGAACGATGCTCATTTACAAAAGATAATTATCCTTTTCTGCCTTTGTTAAATTTTGACTTCAAAAATCTTATCGTAACGATAAATATCATTATTAGATATCAGCTTATGCACCGCAATATCCCGTTTTATTTTCTTCCTCTTTTTCATTTTGGGATTTCTGCTAATGGAAATGTTTTCCAATTGACCGAAGATGCTCCATCTTTTGCAATTCATGGAAAACGATTAATCAGTTTAAAGGTTAGGTTTAATACGATTATATATCAATACGATTCAATACGATTATCTAAAAGTGTCAGGGAAACTTGCTCTAATCTGTAATGTTTAGAATATCACCATTAGAGTGGACAATAAAATGGATTTTCTGATCGATTTCACTCAGAATGATTGCAAGAAAACGGTAGCTTTCGAGTTTTCACGGTATAATTCCGTTTTCAGAGGGACGATTTACCGTTTTGTGATGATCCAATTCCATTCTCAATCAACGGAATAGTCTTACAAAGAAATGGAAATGACAGTGTTGTGTATGTTGAGTCGTTTACTAGAAATTAAAAGTGGTGCACTATTTAGTCCTTATTTTAATCACTTGAATGATGTTGGCTCTTTCTATTCCTCATCTTTCCAAATTCTTGACAATTCTCAACTTATCGTTCTTCCGGCAAAAACTGTGAAAAATAACGATTTTGCTCTTTCATTCCGTGTTCGGAAATGGACTAATGGTTTAGGAAACTTATTTTCCGCAAATTAACCGTTTCTAGAGACGAAAAAGCTTCTTCTTATCCCTGGAATGCCAAAAGATTTGGGTGATATTGATGGATATTTCAAGATTTTGGTTACAAATGATAGCATTGTCACGGTTTTGCCAGATCCGGAGACCTACGCGTTTGTTATTTATCTCACATTACACTAAAGTGTCCATATACCGTATTTTCCTGGTATATGGACCGGGCTTCCCGGTATATAGTAGTGCATCCCGAGTTGATGACTATTTTACGGTTTCCAAGCTTTCTTAGCAGACTCAACACTCAAATCCCCCACAAGATCTCATCGTCAGCTACATTTTCTGACCCCACATCGATAGGTTCTGGTAAGCGGTTTTCGAGATTTCGAGGAATTTAGGCGAAGCTTACGGTGCATTAGGGAAAATACGGTATTCAGCAAGCAGTCGGGTCCTTTGACGGTGCAAAGAGCGATTGGCTTGACAAGTGTAACCACAGATTGTCCTTTCATTGAGGTAAACTGTAAGAGATTCAACTATTCAACAATCGAATTGAATTCAACTATTCAAAACCTTCAGTCCGATGTGACATGTCGACCAAATACAAAATATTTCACCTTTGCTGGCTCTGATCCCGGATTCGCAAAAAATGCCGATTATCAACTAATGCTTGAAGAGTGGGTGTGACTATTTGAAATTCTGCTTTTGACTATTTGTTTTTGTTCTTTGATAGTTCAAATTTCAGAGCAAATGTATTGGTTCAAATAAGAACAACAGCTTCGACAATGTTCACGGAAAACCATTGCAATTTTTGCTTTCTTTACAATACAATAGCACGAGATTTGGGTAAAAAAAATGTTATTTTAAGAGTTATGTAGCTAAATGCTTTATGAAACATTTAAAATTCATTCCATCATTTAACAGATGATTATTCTGATAACAATCTGGATGGCCATTCCCTTTGGACTCCAGGCTTTTATCCATGGATTCACGATCGTGCTGAACAAGTGAAATTAAGTGAAGATTTTGGCGATTTTCAAATCAAAGGACAATTCAATGAAACGGTTGATTAAAAAGATCATTTGCTTCTTGAACATCCAAATCTTTAGAGCCTTGGAAATCGCAAAATGACACTCGATGTGAGATTGGTTGAAGGAGGAACCCTCACTATTTATGCAAATTACATTGCTGAGGACTGTAGTGATCATGGAGTGTATGGAGAAGAGTTTCTTTTCACTTTATATATTGCATTAATCCATTCACAGCTTTACTGAGACCCCACCATACCCTTATGCTGACTTTCAAGTTCTCCATGCTGAGGTTTGCCAGATTTCCAATAGAAGTCTTGTTCTTTAGTTTGATTGGTCACCAATTATATCTAAAGATGGGCCATTCGGGTATATTGTCGATCTTTGGGAAGGACCCCTACCCCATAGAGAATTTGAGCTAACAGAAGAAACCCCATCAATGGCTGTTCATGGGTATCGAGTACAACAATTTAGAGTTTGCTTTGTGAAGGGAAACACTGAGAATACCATTCTAGAGTATAATAATCTATGTGAACAGCGGAACAGTCGATTTTCTCATCGACTATGCACAAGATGGTTGTTTGACGGAGAAAAAGGAAATGTGTCTGGATGCTTTAAGCTTTGAAGTCGATGATGAAGTGTTGAGTCCCCGGCAAGGAGAACCAATGTGAGATTTTCTGAATTTGATCATTGAATCTGATTCCAGTTTATACACGAGTTCTCCAAAATACACAAAAGAAGGAATTCTCTATCCTTTTTCGATGAACTTGACAAAGAAATCGAAAATTGTCCTCCGTCCTGTCGGAAAATCGAATAATGATTTGGTGTGGGCAATTTCTGTTCGTGTTCGTCAATGGGTTAATGGTCAGAAAGGAAATTTTGATGAAAAAGATTCCCTTATTCATTCAGAAACCAAAAAAGTCCTTCCGATTCCCGGGAAAAGAAAGATAGATGGCATAGAAAATGATTTTCAAGCATTGATCAAGAGTAATGTCATTGTCACCATTGTGCAACATCCACTCGAATTTGTGTTGGCTGGCTTGAGCATTTTGATTTATTTCAAAAAAATTAGGCTAAATCTGCCTACTCTTGGAGAAACGCTGGGCCCAAGAATGCGACACGGATCGATCGATCAAGGAACGGCTTCACAAGAGTGTCTGTATTTTCAGGTTGCAAATTTTTGTAGCAAATCTAATGTCATTTACATTTACATGCATTTACATTTGCATTCACAGCAAATTCTGCAATTCTCTGTCATTTCAGTCATTTCAAAACCTATTGCTTTTAGTCTTCAATCACTTGCCCATCAAGCACATTGTATTCCACTTATGCAGGCGGTGATCCAGGACTCAACAAATCTGAATATCTCCTTCTAGAGGCAGAGTTTGTTCCCCATCCTTATACAGTTCAAACTTTTCTGTCATTCGCAGATCTGGTCATTCCATATTAACTCGGAACACAGCCACAACCATTTTCACGGAAAGCGATTGCTCATTTTGTTTGGTTTACGACCTACGAACAGCTGGTAAGTATTAGAACCAACAATAGTAAGCTGACTTTGAACTTCTTTAACGTTTCCTAGTTTAAGAAGAGCTTTTGGAGGGTTTTTCCCTTTGGACATCTTACTTTACTCCGTGGACATTCGATAAATCAGACGAGCTTTTGCACCGAATATGGTCGAAAAAATGGTGGAACTATTTTCGTAATAGGGTTTGTACCTTGGAGTTTGGAATCCATAAAGTATCCATAAAGAATCCTTGTTATTCATAAAGATTTTGCTTTAGTCAGACGAACCTCGTGAGATGAAAGCTGAAGTGAAAAAGATTATCGGTGGAACTCTTTACCTTTGGGCATTTCGTGAACCGCTTTGCAAAACAAATCCCCTAATGCCAACGATGAATGTTACGTAAGCTGAGTCATTCGGATTTCAACTGAATATATTTCAGTTTAACAACCCTTCCGATAAACTCAACGTTTTATTTTGACGCTGCGTGTTTCGGGGTAAGAATGAATGAGTAAAGACATTGTGGAGCTTTTAAAATTTGCTAATTGAATCATGAATCATGAACAATCATAACTAACTCTAAGCTCGATTGGCAAGCTGATGAAGATGCAATTGCGGGTGCCGGCTTTGTGCTTCATTTGTGGGAGGGAGAAATAATTGTACCAACAAATGATACACCGATCACAATACCAAACTTCCCAACGACGAACACTCGCTTGTAAGCATTACATCTTTCAATCAACTAATTAATTACATTGAGTGAATTAAATAAGTGCACAACAATAGCATTGCATTTATAAACCTATTTCAGCATTGCCATTAACCCCACTTTTTAGGTTTTTCATTGTTGGAGGAGCAGTTAGTGGAGTTCTTATTCTATTGGTCATTGTCCTCTCTCTTGGTTTGGTCTATCAGTGTTGTCCTGGATGTTGGCCGATGAGATATGTGTAGGGAATTGGGAAATCAAAATATTCATTACTCTTCATTTAGATTGAAAGAACGAATGCAATTGTACGCTCTTCATGAATTGCGGAAACACTGGAAGAACGATTACAAGAGTCACTTCAAAGAGTATAGCAAATTTTGTGATTGACCCTTTTGCGTTTTTATTTGAATAACAAGAACAATCGATTTAGAGATTTGATTGGCAAACTCTTTTCTAACTAAATCCTAGTGATGGCTGGGAAGTTGATCCATTTTCCCTTGAGATTTCCATCACGAGACTCGGTCAAGGGGCCTTTGCTGTTGTTCATAGTGGGACACTCAAGGATCTGCCGGATATGGCCACAGATCGACTTCAAAACAAGGTAGATTTAAGAAAAATGATTTTAACACATCACACAACCATTTCTAGTCAAAACTTGCTTCAAAAGAAGGGCGTCTCTTGGTAGCAGTGAAGATGTGTCATGTGAATGCTACGAAAGAAGCAAAGTATGAATCGTAAAATTGACTAGAGACTTTCTAATGCAAGAAATATACAGCTCGGGGTGCGATCCGCTTATCATAGGGGATGATTTTGTTTCAGAATAGCCGCGTAGCACAAAAGGTTAAACGAGTTTCCCCAAAATGCTCACAACATAACAAAAACAAAAACAAAACACGCAACATCCAGCATAAGGTTGGCGCGATACGAGTACACAACGGATTGACGCTTCGTCGATGACAACACAAATGTTAGCAAATTCTTTCTATTAGGTTGAAAAGAAAGTTCTCGGAAAAAGTTTGACTGGAATTTCTTAAAAACGAATCTGCGAAGAATTCATGGCTTGCTTTTTGAGAGATCACCGTGCCAACTTTTTCTACGAACTTTCTTTCCAACCTAATATAATGTTATTTCAGCTACCTAAACAGGATTTAAGGGTAGCGTCAAGTAAATTGAATTTATAATTTTACAGTTTATTAGTACAGAACCAAAAATGCAACGATACCCATAAAAAAGCAGCATGCGCATGAATCAAAACCTCAAATCCCCAAAGAACGAAGACAAAACCCAAAACCAAAAAGGGTGAGAAGCTACACCAAAAATCCTCTCCAAAAAACCAAAAAACCATTTCGGGAAGAGAAAGACGAAAATGCGACGCAAATTAAATGCAAATAGGAAGGGAACGGATGCGAGCATATTCTAAAGAAAACTGTTTCCATTTTCAGGGCAGAAATGTTGCAAGAGATTGATTTCATGCTCGAACTAACGGTAAGCTTGAGCTTACAATTTCGGCCTAGAACCGTCTCACAATTTTCTCTCCAAATTCAGGATCAACCGCATTTACTGATCTTTTTGGGTTGTTCAAGAAACCCGGAAAGGCCAGTGTTGATTACGGAACTTTGTGAAAAAGGCGATCTTTTGTCGCTTCTTCGGAAATCAAGTGATCTGGACTGTGATGTAACTTACAAGCGAATATTTCTTTTACAAGAAACCTTTTAGAATCACCTCAAAGGTGTGGATCTTTCACCAATCGCTTGGCAGATCAGTGATGCTTTGGTGAGTGCATACAAAATGAGATACAGATATTTCACTTATCAGATCGAAGCTTCAGTTCATAAACTCGTTTATAGCTATTCCTCGCCTCAAAGAATCTCATTCATCGAGATGTCGCCTCAAGGAATGTTTTGATGACAGCAGAGAATGTGGCCAAATTGGCAGGTGAGGAAAAGCGGAAAAGCATCGGTTGATTTACTTGTTAAGGCTAAACTCCAAAGTCTTTCATTTACCTAAACTGTATTTAGATTTTGGTTTATGTAGAAGAAGCTATTCTTGTTTATACAATTCAAAAGGAGGAATGCTTCCGATAAAATGGATGGCGCCTGAAGCGATCAGAAATTTTGAATTCTCTGAGAAAACTGATGTGTTGGTTGAGAAGATTGAACAAAACTAGACAAAAACAAAAGAAACTTGTTTGTTTAGATGGTCATTTGGCGTGTTTCTCTTCGAATTGTATTCTTTCGGAGAATCACCATTTGTGACAGTGGAAAACACGGAAATGTATGATTGGTTAAAGAAAGGAAATCGATTGGATCTTCCACAGAAGACGCCAGAAGACATGTCAGTTATCTTTTGGCGTTTACAGGAGTAAAAGTTATAGAACAAAATTGGCTCATCGTTGTTGGGCATTTGAGGCAAAGGAGAGGCCAAATTTCGAAGAAATCGCTTCTTATTTGAGTGAAATGATTGATGGAGATCAAAAGAAACCCAAATATTAACTTTCCATGCATTTGATGGAATCACTTTTGCGAATAAAAGTCCAGTAGATGCTTTGCTTGCTGCTTGCTTTGCTTACGCTAACGTCAAGCTTTATCATTCTTGCAAAAATTGTACAATAAGGGCAACAAAAAGAAAAGAGATGAAGGAGTTTTTAATCTGGTTCTTTCCATTTATAATTGGACTAATTGTTGCCCTTCAAATTGTACTCAGTTTCTTCTCGCGTAAAAGCACAAATCGGTTTTTGTAAAAGCACAAATCGGTTTTTGTAAAAGCACAAAGCACAAATCGGTTTTTGCATCGGGAACCCATTGTAAGTAAACTTTTTGTGAGTACTCGTTGTCCCCAGATAAACTATTTCTGTCTACCTCAATCTCATCTATTACAACAAATGGGAATTTTTCGTTCTGAATAACTTCTTCGGTAAATTCTAATCTAAATTTCGCTAATTTTGATTTATCTTATCGAAAACCCACGTTGCATCGCGGGAATTATTTCGGCAAAGAAATGAGCTCAAATTTCTGATATTTAAGTCAACCACTTCCACAAGTAGAGTGTGCTCCTTGTTGACAGACAATTTGTCAGACAATTGATCCGACAAACTTCCGACAACGCGTTTTCTAAAAGGTGCGCTTTTTAAGCAAAGCTATAAAGGTCGCGCGAAAAAAATTTGCAAGCTTTTCTTAAAATATAGTAATGGATAGTTTTATTTAAGGATTTAGGTTTTTTAGGGCGTGGAATTTCTTTTTGGAATGGTTCTAGTGCAAATGTAGACAACAGGCCTGGTAAATTCGTAAATAATATAATTTTTTAATAGTGTTTCTTAACTTTTCCCGTTTTAAATGTTTTCTTTAATTTTAAACAGCATTTAAAAAATTTTAAGTTTTAGCGAAAGAGTAATAGAGTTAAGGAAAGAGTAATAGAAAAAAAGAGCGCAAGATTTTAATGTACGTTTGCATTTTGAAAAATTTGCTGATGCAAAGCATAGGGTTACGGTAGCTTATCCTTGGCGCGCGCTTTTTAGAAAACGCGTTGTCTGCAAGGGTCTATCCACAAGCTATTCCACATTATCTGAATGTGAAATTAAAGAAGTTTCAAGTTTTAACCGAAATGATTTCATCATATTAGGTTGTCCAATAAGTAATGCGTGTTACTTATTTCGAAACTATTGCGAAATCGCTTCGAGCAAATATATGTTCTTTTTAATCATCAGCATCTTGTGTTTATTTTTATATATTATTTTATTTATTTGCCTTTGTTTTATAATAGATATGTTGTTTTGCAGATGAAAGACAAAAAGTTTGTTGTCCGCGCATCAATGCTGTATGATTTCAAACGAGGTAAAACTGCAGCGGATTGCCATCGAACTATCTGTGCCGCATTTGGAGAGGATTCAATTTCAATCAGCCAGTGCCAGCGCTGGTTTAAACGATTTGCGGACGGAAACGAGTCGTTAGAGGACGAGGAACGCGCTGGAAGGCCAGTCGTTTTTGATAACGAAGCTTTGCTTAACACCATTGAGTCTGATCCAACTCAAACTACTCGTGAGTTGGCCGAATTATTTGGTTGTTCCAAATCAACAATCGACAATCATCTCCATGAGATTGGAAAATTTAATCGATGCGGAAAGTGGCTTCCCCACAAATTGAGTGAAGCGAATAAAGCTGCTCGTGTATCAATTTGTGGGTTTCTCATTGGCCAAACAAAGAACTCTGGTTTTATTGATTCCATCGTTACTGCGGACGAGAAGTGGATTTCTTTTGACAATGCAACGAGGAAGCACCAGTGGTTGTCGCCGGGAGAAGATCCGAAACCGACGCCAAAGCCAGAATTGCATGGAAAGAAGGCCCTATTGTGCGTATGGTGGAATTCTAAAGGAATCGTACATTTTGAAGTTCTAAACCCCGGTCAAATGGTCACTGCTGACTTGTACTCTCAACAATTGGAAAGAGTGCAGCAAGCTCTTTGTCGTAAAGGAGAGGACACTTCGATGATTAAACTGCAGTTTGACAATGCTCGTCCGCATATTGCAAAAATCGCACAGCAGAAGATTGAGAAGCTTGGATGGTCGACTGTCCCACATCCGCCGTATAGTCCAGACCTGGCTCCATCTGATTTCCATTTGTTCCGTTCGATGGCGCACGCTCTTGGAGAACACAAGTTCAAAAGTGTTGACGAGGTGCAAAAATGGCTCGACGATTTCTTCTCATCGAAACCAGCTTCATTCTATTATGACGGACTTCACTCTTTGCTCGGACGATGGAGAAATGTTGTTGATTGTTGTGGAGAATATATCGATTAATAAAGTTCTCTTTTGTTAATTTTGTGATATTTTGAAAATCGTGTCAAAACACGCATTACTTATTGGACAACCTAATATATTCGTGAAGCGAGTATTTTCCGATATCGAAACATAAGTCGAGTAGATTTTCATAATGTTGTAAATTGCGGATTTTAGCTCCACGACAGAATTCAGTTGCAGCGGAATTTGCTATGGTCAATTTAAAGTTTCATTTACGATAAACACATACAAGCATTGATACCCAAAGCATAACAGCAACGGGGCATCTAGGTGGGACAAATATTGTGTAGATTGCTGAATCAATTTTTGAACGCTGAAAAAGCTCATTGGATCTAATGATCTAATGGATCTTTGGATATTGAGTTTATCATAATTCAAAGCAAGTTTATTATTAGATTTTAGCAAACCTAAACGTAATGAGTGGTTCTTTGGTTCTCGATGGAATTCCTGGGAATAGCTTGTACTTGGAAACTTGATCGTTGTGATCCTGAACGAAAAACTGAATTTCAATAATTTTCCTTTGTGTTTTACTGTACAATCGTTGTACAATCGTTGCAAAGATTGATCTGAAACCGAAACCCATCCAACTTATTGTAAGGTGTTCATTGGCAAAACGAATTCATTTCAAATTTGAATCAAGTTTATTCCTTTTAGGCTTACAATTCTGAGAGCAACTTCTGCAATCGGAATAGATTTATAGATAGATATCGGTTTATGTAAGCAGTCTAAATGTATGAAAACCTATCTACAAACTTTCGTGACAAATGGTAATAAATAATTTTAACTATTGCTCTTACATTTAGTTTCCACAGCAGACAAATGTTTGCATACAGGGTACACCCAAATTACCGCCTCGCCTTTTCAGCAGATTGTATGCCAAACGCTGCGATCAAGCCCTTAGTACTATATAGAAAATTGAAGCCTGAATTCTTGCCTATATTTCTGTACCAAAAGATCTTTGATTGGAGTTTTGCAGCCGATTTCTCAGACCCTCAAATGAGCCCAATCCGAACAGTCTTCAGCACGTTTCCATTTTAGCTTCAATTTTGTTTTCTAATTAAAAAACTTGTCTGTAGGAAGAATTTTTCTTGAGTAAAAGCCATTTTTTTTCTTTATTTTCATTTTCAGTTTTTGGGCGCACCTACGAACATGCAGGCAGGGGAGAACCCCCCAAACCCCTAATTTTGCCAAAATCGCCCAAAATCTAGGGGGGGCTTTTTTTTTTTTTGGTGGGGTTTTCTTTCCAAACCTTTGGTGTTTTCTGTTTTTTATGCATTCAAAATGCTACCTTTTCATCTGTTAAACAACCGGAGAATTCTTCTTAGAAAAATTTTTTCTAGAGAAAACAGCTAGAAATGGAAGCGTGCTGAAGACTGGTCGGATTGGGCTCATTTGAGGGTCTGAGAAATCGGCTGCAAAACTCCAATCAAAGATCTTTTGGTACAGAAATGTAGGCAAGAATTCAGGCTTCAATTCTCTATATAACACTTAGGGCTTGATTGCAGCGTTTGGCATACATACAATCTGCTGAAAAGATGAGTCGGTAGTTTTGGCGCACCCTGTAGTATTTCGTATCAATACTCGTGATAATACCGCTGTAACTCTCATAACCAGTTTGTCTAAGAATATTTCAAATTGCCAATCCGCCAAACATAATAGCCAATCTCTCATTATTCGGCCAAATTTAATGGTTTATTACCGCGGCGCCGCAAAAAAGAATTATACACCAAATATCAAATTTTTAAAAACAATCAAAGAGAAAGGCTGCTTTCACATTTCCTAATGAAAACTTGCTCAGTTTTTCTTTGTTTTTGTAGTTTTCTAATGAAAACTTGCTTTCCTAATGAAAATTTGGTTGAGTTTTATGTCCTTAAATCTCGTAGAAAACATTCAGAGTTCCTTAAAAGCTTTTTGACAAAATCTTGGCTAATTAATTTTAGGAAAACGAATTTTGATTATCTTTTGAGAAAATGAATTTCACTCTTTTTCGGGAAACTGTCCTAATATGATTAAGAAAAGAAAGTAGAATTTTCATTTTTTTCTCTGAGTCAACACCGTTTCTCTTTCTTTTTCACTTTGCGATGATATTTTTCTCTAAATGTTCGTTCACAAATGTAATTTCAGTGCAACACTTTTGTTATTCTATTGCGCTTTTTCCTTTATATTCGTTTCTCAATCAATTCTAAACCCGACAATGCTCAACACATTGCCGAATTCCCAATGCGCTCATGCAAATGAGCTGTTGTTTGTTTTTCTCGAAACTCTCTTTCACAAATCTTTTTTTCCAATTGGCCTTTTCAAATTTGTTTATAGAATTTATTGTTTATGAATCTTTATTGTCATCAGAACTATCAAAAATATAAACAAAATCTTTTTAAAGTCTATAATTCTTTGATGAACATTTTAGGGATCTCTCAACTTTGCTATCTTTTTGTATTGAGTTGGTCAATTTGTTGTTCATGAGCGTTTTGTTGATCATTTAGCTATATATAAGATGTCATTTTTGTTTCAAATTTTAGCGTTTTCTTCAGAAAATCAAGATGTCTTCTTGGAAAAAATGGACAATCATGTTTACCTTAACTCAATTTTTTGGTCATTCCAAAGCGTATGGCCTAAGCATTCACTTGACTGAGTCTACTCCATCTTTTGCTTTTCATGGATCGCGGTTGAACGTTTTCGGTGTAAGGAATTAAGCTATTCGACTTACATGATTCAAGGCTCTGCTCTGCCGCTGACATAAAAGAACCATTTGACGTTTTAGATTTTCTAGAAAGGCGATAAATATTGGGTTGGTGAATTGAAAACTGCCCGACTTTGAACTAAAATTTATTCAACATAAAACCATGAATTCATTCCAAATAATTTCCATTATTATTGGCAATTTCTACCTATTTTACAGTCAATTTACGGATCTCTTTTTCGTTGTAGAATTCGAGTTTTTGCGAGAGACAAGTGTGAGACTCAAAAATGGAGGCCTGGAGATGTCCCAGTTTGAGCACTTTCTTCAAAAGAAACCCATTTTGGTGTCAATAGAAAAGTTGTAGAGAATCAAAAATTAGGCTTATAGCCAAATTTCCAAAAAGATACACTTAGTAGTTTCGCTTAAAATGCAAGTTTCGTGAAAATTCGTAAATTTGGCACTTCTTGAAAACCAGTTTTTGAATCGTTCTGAAAATTTGGATATAAGCGTCATTTTTGATTCTCTACAACTTTTCCATTGACACCAAAATGGGTTTCTTTTGGAGAAAGTGCTCAAACTGTCACATATGACAATGGCCGACAGTTTTCAATTCACCAACCTATAAATTTCACAACCGTAAACCAATATCTCATTGAATGTCTAGAAAATCTTATCAAAACCTCTTTTTCCTTTTTCCGATGACTTTTTTTGTGGTTTTCCCGTGATGGCCGTGTTTACCTTGCCGAATCTGACTCAACCCGCGCCGTCTTTAATCTCCAACAATGGTCTTTTACGCCGGGTAAAGTACGGCCTTTTTTCGGGGGTGATGACTGTAAATGTCATCGACTGACTGGGATCATTCTATTTTATTGAATTCATGCTGTATTTTACTACTTATTTGTACATTGTTAGATGTTACAAACGGATGCTTTCTCACTGGTTGATGGGGATCAAATCGAGGTGAGAATGAGCTTTACAAGGATACATAAACAAACAAGGATAAACAAGGATAAACAAGGATATTACAAGGATATTTTCTGAACTTGTAGTTAGATGAAAATCCCTAAAACTTAGTCTAATCCAGAAAGTCATGAAGAAATTCCCAAGATCCAAACAATCTTTCCAAGAAACAAACAATTAAAGTTTACAAGCTTTCCAAGATTCTTTTCAGGTGCTTATGGTGGTTTTAATGGGTCCCTTGACAATTTGTCTACGAAATCTCTTCTTTACACATATTTTATCAACAAATAACTGTTTTGGTTCTGCGTACGTTTTGATCTTCATTCAAAAATAGAAAGCTTTAGACTAAAGCTTTAGACTTTTAATCTAAAGCAATTTAGATCAAAACTTTTGATCTAAAGCAAACTTTAGAACAAAATTTGTTTTCAACTTCTCACTACTTGTAGTACCTTTGTTGCTCATTACGACGTTGCTTTCCGATTGGATTTCAGTCATTTTTCCAATTCTATTGGTAAGCTTTCAAAAAATCACAAAAACTGACTGATTTTAGAGTTGTATCTTGCTATCAACATTGTTCAGTTTGTACAAATTTTACCATTCCGATCATGGCCGACCGTCAGTTCAAGTCAGTGTCATAATTCATCAATATGTACTTATTTTAGTCATAAATGTTTAGTCAATACTAGAAAACACAATTGAAGATTATCAGCCAACGGCTTTTGTCACGTATTTGAGGTCAGTTTGGCAGTTTGTTCAGTTCATTCAAAAGTCCTTTCAGAGCTCTCGTCCTCATTTTCACGAATATCGCTATTTTAGCTGTCGACTTTCACAAAATCTTCCCAACTAGGTAAACAATATGATTCTAATAGCCAAAATGCATTCAGATTCATGAAAACAATCGGATTTGGTCACAGTTTGATGGATGTCGGTGTGGCTGGTTTCACGTATATTCTTGGTGTAGGTCGAAATGTCAGGAATCGAGCCAAATCTGACCAACGGGAGCAAGAAAAGCAAAAACGACGGTTTGTGAGCTCGAGAACTTTTACAAAACAAGCTTTAGACTTGTTCGAAGAGTCTTAACCTCATCACCGATCGTTTTGGGAGCTCTTGGCTTTGGAAGGACTGTTGTACTCAAGGTATATTCTTGGTGTAGCTCTATAAATCATTCGATAAGTTCTCAAGGTACTCAAAGTGTTTTACTCAAGGTATTCAAGGCTGAACTGATAAAGGCTTTGAGAATATCCGATTCTTGGCAAATATTAGCCAAACAAGATCTATGATGAGACGAATTTTGACGCCAGCGATAAGAAGTCACGTATTCCATTTCAATCCTCGATTTCGATGTAAAAGTGCAATTCTATTGTATTCTAATCTAAAGATCGTAGTCAAGACTGACCAATGACAACTATTTCCCAATGCTTATCTTGAAAAGAAAAAAATACTGGGAGAATTGACGCTGACAAAAAGAAACCAAAGACTGCATGCAAGATAAGGGAGTGTAAGCCCTTCATGCCCTACATACTTTGCTCTAATAGACACGGAACAATAAAGGAATACACCGGGAAAGCTGGATTTGGTTTATTTACGATATACATCAATCACAATACAACAACACACACAATGCTAGGCTAGATCTTAACTTAACCCACGTCAGGACAGAAGGTTCCCTAACCCTAAGCTCAAGGGGGAACTAAATGGCTTTTTCTGGTGGTGGAGAGAAGATGACGATGAAGGAGTGGCCTGTCACTTGAAAGAACTGGGGCACAATCATCAGACTACCCTCCAGAAAACCTCTCAATCCAAAGGGAAAGGAAATCCGAAGGGCGCGACAATGTCGAACGCGGGATTCGAACCTTTGATCTTCTGATTAAGATAAAAGACACAACACATTAACACAGCTAATTTAAGTCAGCCATAAGTGACTTATGAAGAAACAATTCAGATTTTGGACTATGGTGTTTCCGTTACCGAATATGGAGTTCATTGGAATTTCTTCCTTACATTGTTTGTCATCGAGGTCGATCTTGCGAGTAAAGGCTCAACGTTTCAATTTTCAGCTGGTTGCCAAACTATTGCCAAGACGATTCAATTTGCTGTTTGGTATTCTCTTTGCAGCTGCACAGCAAATGGTTTTGAGTATGGGGTGTCAAGTAAGTCAATGTCTTCCACCAAAACCTTCAAAAACTTCACCAAAGCCTTCAAACACTTGAAAAACTTCACCAAAACCCTCCAAAGCCTGGAACTAGTTTGTGAGACTCGAATCAACCAAGTTAGATCAATCAATTAGACTAGGATCAACAAAGATACAGTTTGAAGCGACTAGATATCTTTTCTTTATCAGGAATGGGTTCTCTCCGATAGTGCTCCAAGAGACAATCTATTCTCAGCAAATCGGGAGGGTTTATGCTCTTTGCTTGGCTATATTGCTCTTTATTATCTGGCAAGTGCAATCGGAGAATTCATCTCAAAGAATGGGTTTGTAAGCAGAAAAGAAAGCAGAAAACGAAATAAGATCATCAAAAATCTTTAGCCCAAAAGTCAGTGATTGGATTAAATGTATTGGATGGCTGTTTCTGATATCTTTTATTTTCTTTGGCTTACAAAAGTATTTTGAATGGGGAATCAGTGGCCCTTCTCGAAGAGTTGCAAATCTACCCTACGTGTTTTCTCAAGTACTTTCAATTTAGTTCACAAAACCAACTGTATTAAGCTTTTTCTATTCACTTTTGGTTTGGCTGTATGTCTTTGTGTGCAAATGTTGACGATTGTTGAATGGCTTTTGGGAATTTTTCATGGTGAGGAGAGTTTTCAATTGTTGATTCTAAAAAAACTTTGGCTTAATGACTTTATTAAACCTAAATTATTGGGTTGGTGAATTGAAAACTGCCGGCTATTGTCAGATGTCCCAGTTTGAGCACTTTCTTCAAAAGAAACCCATTTTGGTGTCAATGGAAAAGTTGTAGAGAATCAAAAATGACGCTTATATCCAAATTTTCAGAACGATTCAAAAACTGGTTTTCAAGAAATGCCAAATTTACGAATTTTCACAAAACTTGCATTTTAAGCGAAACTACTAAGTGTATCTTTCTGGAAATTTGGCTATAAGCCTAATTTTTGATTCTCTACAACTTTTCTAATGACACCAAAATGGGTTTCTTTTGAAGAAAGTGTTCAAACTGGGACATCTCCAGGCCTCCATTTTTGAGTCTCACACTTGTCTCTCACAGAAACTCGAATTCTACAACGAAAAAGTGATCCGTAAATTGACTGTAAAATAGGTAGAAATTGCCAATAATAATGGAAATTATTTGGAATGAATTCATGGTTTTATGTTAAATAAATTTTAGTTCAAAGTCCGGCAGTTTTCAATTCACCAACCCAATAAATGAAATAAACATTAAACATTAAAAACTAAACTCGAATTCAGGTGAAAGTCCTTGGTGTTCCATTCAACTTTGTTTACTCGATTCCATCAATCGAACTGGACTAATATTTTTCCTAATTGGAAATATTTTAACGGGTAGGACAAAGAAATGCTGCAAACTTATGATTTATACTTATGCCCAATTCAGGCGTAATCAACATGAGCCTCAATCCCTCTTCAATTGATCCAATGTCATCTGTGCTTTATTTATCCATTTATATGCTGATTTGTGCCGGTCTTTCACAATGCCTTTTTGTGCGCAAATCATATCACAATCAAATCAAATCACAAGCAAAATTACCACGTTGATCTCACTCTTGTTTTCTCTTATTTTCTCATTCTCACTCTTGTTTTCTCTTTCTCCATGTGATATTATTTTGTCGTATATTAAGTGCTTTATTGAAATTTTGTGCTAACTGATATTTCTTGTCGGGTGTGTGAAGCTCTATTTTGAGTTACAGGAATAAAAACAATATGCTTTCAAAAGTTTGAAACACTTAAAAGCTCTTTTAAAAGCTTTAAACACAATGAAATGCTTCCAAACAAAAAGTGTCGGAAGGTTATCAAAAATGTATGATGTGAAATAAGTAAGTTTCAACTAATGTACTCAGATTTGGTGTTGGAAAAAAGAAAAGTGGGGAAAGCGAAGGAAAGCGATCAATTTTCCGCAGCTGAAAAACCTCTAATATTTTTTCAAGAAGGTGATAAAAACTCAATTTTCTGTGAGAATTCTTGACTTATTGTTAGTAAATACAATCATTTAACGTTAAGAATGGAAACATCGAGAGAAACAATTTAGAGAGATAAGGAACGAAATTTAGAGAGATGAGGAGCCAGATTTGTAGCAATAAGGAACCAAATTTAGAGAGATAAGGAACAAAATTCAGAAAAATCGGGAACCAAATATAGAAAAACAAGGAACAAAATTACAGATAAGGAACCAAATTTAGTGCAATAAGGAATCAAATTTAGAAAGATAAGGAATTAAATTTAGAGGGATGAGGAATCAAATTTAGAAAGATAAGGAACGAAATTTAGAGAGATGAGGAATCAAATTTAGAAAGATAAGGAACCAAATTAGAGATTAGGAATTAGATTTAGGGAGGAAAGGAACCAAATTTAAAGAGATAAGGAACCAAATTAGTAGAGAAAAGAAAGCAAATTTAGAGAGATAAGGAACCAAAGTAAGAAAAATAAGGAACCAACTTAGAGGATAAGGAACCAAGATCGATTTGTGAGACCACGAAGATCGATCAGCATTGCTTCCGGTTGGTGTTACCGAGATTTGAAAGCACAGTTTAGCATAGACATCAATAGAAATCAATAGAAGCTATAGAAAATCTTATAGAAATCAAAATCGAGTTTTAGTGGAGTCTACGGATCTCCCGACACTTGCCCACAAGATCGACGCGGCTTGCTCTTTAAGGTAAGACTGGTAGAACTTGTTAACTACAGATTTTACCCTTTTATCTCTAATTGAATTTATTTCGGTCGGCTTGTCGGCTTGCTGGCTAAGTCGGCTTCTCCCGGTGCCTACCGTTACACCTATGCTGAACATGTATCAATTTTAAACTGTCGTGAGAACACAACTCGAAGTGCAGCATACACTGTTCAATTCTGTTAGATATTTGTGTTCATTGTTTTGCATGTTTTTCCCATTTCAATTTGGCACCACAGATCTTCTGGTAAAGTTTAAATTTTTCCATGAGAAGTAAAAAGTATTTTCTCAAATTCCATAGCTAGATCCTATAAATGGGAAAGGCCCAAAATTTAGGCTTTCACTTTTGTTTTTTCAGGGAGTTCCCCGTTTTGAGAGCAAAATTCGAGTGGGTGAAAAATTCCAATGGAAGGAGAGAAATCGAGAATGGATATAGACAAGAGTTTCACATATTTTCCTCATTCAATCATCGACTAACCCACACTTTGTTTTGACGTAGAATTGGTGAAATGATTCAATGAACACTAGGAACTCTTTCGTCAAACGGAAATGACATAATTGAACAACTTTAACACAAAAATTTGACCTGCAATGTTTGCGGGAGTTAAGAGTTTAATTGATATAGAATTGTTGTTGCTTGTTAATGCTAGAAATGTATTTATTCTTGTACATTCTTTGTTACAAGTAGCTCCTTCTTCGCGGCAACTTTCCCCGACGTCCAGCGAGGTGACCACTTCGAACCACTAAAAGAACAATTAAATAATTTTTACGCAAGTTCTGAAAGAATAGACTCTTTAGGTTCCGAATAGGATTTATAAAGTCTAATACAGCTGAATGTTCTTAACTGACCATTCGGACTCATTCCAATGTCTAGACATTTCTTCCATCGACAAGGCCGACAAAGGGAACGAGTTCTGGAGTTCAAAGTATTTTGAAAATCTTCAGTGTTGCTAACTCTGAATTTCAATAAAACTTACGGTAAACTTAAAGTAAACTCGAGTAAAATTAAATTCGAGGAAAACTCACAGAAATGAAATGTCACAGCAGCCCTTTTTCTTGCAAGTAAAATCGGTGTTTCCTCGCTGAACCGTTCTCTGAAATCTAGTTTATGAATCTGCTGCAAAAATCTAGATAAGTTTCTAGAAAAATCTAGAAAAATCTGACAAGAATAGTACTGCAAAATTTTAGATTAGTTTAAAAGATTAACGATAAAATAAAAGATTAAACGATAAATTAAAAGATTAAAAGTTTTCAAACCTTGAAAAATCCTTTACATCCTTCACAAGTGAGCACTCCATAATGGATGTGATAGGCTCCATCTCCACAGACTCCGCAAGGCTCGGTATCCTAAAATGAAATCAAAACTGACAAACAACGAGGACCAAATTATCAGTTTAAGTAAGAAATGCTTACTCTTGATTTCCTACTTGATGCTGATGATGAACTCCTTCTGATTTTAGCCGGAAAAATGAACGAACCATCTTCAGATGAGTTTGGAGAAGAAGAAAAAGCGCTAGAAAAATTATTAAGTTGAAAAAGTTATTGACGTTACACTTACCAATCATTTTGTTGATTCTCTAGATTGAAATCGTTGTCTTGAATAGGAGAAGCGGTTGGAGAGTCAAGCTGTGATTGGAGTTGATCCAATAAGTTCACGAATTCTTCAAATGTCGTCGGCAAATCGTCATAGATTGATTGATCATCATAAGATGAGAAAGCAGAAATGTCGGATTCTTGGGTTTCGAATTTTGGTACAAGATTCATTGGTGATGAAGAAGACTTCAAGCCTGTCAATGAATCAAACATGTCACAATACAATTCTTGAGCAAATTTCAAGTTGGACGCTCACTTCTGAATGGGGAAATGCTTTATATTTTCATTTATATTTGATTTTCTTTTACTTCTCTTTTCTCTTTTTGTGTGGAATGAGTGGGGGTCGCTTTTATTTGTGAATGGACATTCATTGGAATTGTGTGGGAACGGGGGAATTTAACTTCAACCCTCCCCCTTCCACACTGGTGTTTCGGGTTTTTGAATTCTGAAAATCGTTCGATCAATTTGAAATCACAGCTCATTAAAACCCTTTCATTAATTATGAAACCTGGCTAGTTTACTGTTGCATCATTATGGCTGAATAAAGCTTTCAAGCTTTATTACAAGCTTCAAGCTTTATTACAAGCTTCAAGCTTTCAGCTTTCAATTCGAACAAGATTCGAAATATTGAAGGATTTCAAAGATCTCAGCCTTCACTTTTAGCACTTTGCGAACTCAATTCAAAGTCTCAGGTCGCTGATTCAAAGCTGACAAGCAAACTTATCATCTAGGTAAACATCACCTTACGCCTGATCTTACTCCTCAATTCTCCTTAATTGATCAGATTCTCGACCACAAACTAGTCTAAAATAATGAATTCCAGGTGTTCTTTTTTGTCGTTGTTGATCCAGCCGTCCCATTTTCTCTCAACCGAGACATTTACACGTTCAGCAAGTTTTGGGAAAAGCTAGAAAGTACGAATATCAGATGGATTTCAAAAGGAGAAAGCTGAATGCGTAAGGAATCGTTAAATTTGTCGTTGTACTTGTAAATTAGCTTAACATTAACAAGGGAATGATCTCATTCTCTTGTTAGTCACTTGGTTTGGATAAGTTTGGATAAGGCGAATCGAGACTTTCAAAGATTTGGTAGCTTCGATTGCAAATCTAGTTCTGTAGCAACCACCTATGTAGCACTAGTCAACTTGATGAAAATGTTTATGAAAATAACAGTAGTTATTAGTTTGAGTACAGCAGATATTAGGCTTATATTAGTACTACTACTTGTATGTGTTGATATCCCTCACTTATTATTTTTTCGTTTAGTGAGTTTCCTCCAAACAATGGTTTCATCGCTAAAAATAAAAAGTGTTAAGTGTTTAATTTTAGGTATTTTAAATTGAAATTTTGGGCTGATAAGATGCAAATTCGCAAGTAAACTCTCTCATTTATCGCTCTCATTCTCATCTATTCTCATTTATCAATTCTTAGAAAACGGTAGAGAAAAGTCTTTCTGAAAATTTGGCTATACTCCAAACTTTTTATGCTTTATCTTTTCTTGTATTTACATCAAAATAGGTTTCTGTAGAAGAAAAGGGTCAAATCTCTGCTAATTTTGACAACTCGCCTTCTAAGCCTAAGCCCAAGCTCAAGCCTGAGCCTAAGCCTGAAATCCTGCAAAAAAACCACTTTTTTTAAAAAACTTGTGAACATTTTCTAGACAAAAGATAGGGCTTTTCAATAAAACAAACCATTTGTGTTTTGGTTGATTTACCGTTTCTTAAACAGTCAAGGATAATAACATACCAACAGTACTTAATCTAATATTTATAATCAATCCTCCAGCACAACTTGCTTACACTTTTTGTGATTAGGGTTATTTCATTGAAAACTGCACACACTATTTGGTCAGCTCCGATTTGGAACGAGCTATTTCGGTCGAGATTTTGGCATTGTGAAATCATGAAATTTCCATTGAAGCCTTGAGTTTTTAAGCGGTTTGGTTGAAGTTTTTAAAATTGTGCTGAGGACTTGAACTGTTACTTTAACTGTTGATTTTTCTCATCAAATTTTATCATGGAGTTGTCATTGCAAAATGAATGGAATATGCCAAAAACAAATCATCATATGAAAAAAGTTGTTAAATTTTTTTCAAATCTTTGCGACTTTTGTTTGCAAGTATTTCAAATAAAGACTTCTTCCAAGTCGGACTCAGTTTTTGAGTCCAAAATGCGGCCCTTTATTTTTCTATATTCGTTCTCGTTGTTCTTGCTAAATGTACAAAGCATTTTTGATCGAATCGATAAGAATTGGAGTGGAATGCATTTTGCGGGAAGTGGCAATGCTCTACAATGGAATAGGTATTCATATTCATGCACCCGACAATTGCAACCATTTTATGATCCGAGAAGACCCCGATCGTCATAACAGTGCTTTTTATTGGCTTTTTGGCAAGGATGATTCCCATCTTGAAGCTCTGGTTTAATCGAGTAATGCTGTAAAAATTAGATCGTCTGGGATATGAAGAAAATTAGATGAAAATTAGAAAATTAGATACCAATGGCCTTTGGTAATGTGAATGTGATGTACAAAAATTACTAGAAAGATTAACAATGAACTTGCAATGAAAAAGGGCACAGTGCACTTAAAGTTACAAAACCAAAACAGTATCGACAACTTTTTACCGAGTTAAAAAATTCAAAAATCAAAATTCTCTATGGTTATAACATAAATTTTAAAAAATAGTCTATTATATTGTCTGGCATTCAGCTATAAAACCATTCACGAATGGAATTGACCCTAAAAGATCAACGATTCTTGACCAAAATGCGCTTTCTTCGCTTGTTAGCCGCATTTTCTGTGTTCCTGCTTGTTCAAAATCAGGAAACTTTTGAGATTTGACTAAAATAAAGTCCTTTTACCAAATTGAACCTTTAAAACCTACAAATTTCAGACTACAAACTTACAAACCTACAATTTTAGAGGATCTAACTATAAGTTTTTTGAAATTAGATCAAAAAAGCACAGCTGACAAGAATGATGGGCATCTTGTCTTCCATGAAAAAGAAATTCAAGTTCAAAGAAACGAGTTCAAGTTTCAGAATTGAAATCGCTTATCGTAACTTTCGTTATTTCAGCAATTGCCAAAGATAGTTAAGAACGGAGATTCCAGATTGATAAACGAATTTCGATTGAGTCGGTCAGGGTTGGCTTGTATTCATCGAGTTCCACGATTGTAAAAAGGGAATTCCGATTGAGATTGAAGGGTTAAATGAAATCCTTGCAAAGGTGGCTGAACCAACATACAAAAGAAGTCATACTAACCTATTGTGGAGTGTACAGGGTTCGCCGTAATTGTCGCAACAAGGTATCAACCTCGGAAACAAGGTAACTACCCGACAACTACCTGACTCTTCTCAAGGATGAACTCTTGCCCTGGGCTCGTAAATATTTTGAAAATCGCATTTGGACTTATCAGCAAGATGGCGCACCGGCCCACAAATCCAAGCAAGTTCAAGCGTTCTGCCAAAACAACACCCGGGATTTCATTTCCGGATGCACCTAGCTCTCCAGACCTCAACCCAATGGATTTTTCAGTGTGGTCGGTTCTAGAGGCTTGTCCAAAGCCCCCACAAAAACATTGAAAGCTTGAAGAAATCACTGTTGAAAGCGTGGGAAGAGCTCGATGCAGCCTATTTGATCGCTACCCTTCCCGAAACGCCTGCGAGCCTGCTCAAATCCTAATGGTGGCCGATTCTAAATTGATAATTCATTTATAATTATTAATGTACAATAAATGTTATTCAGCCAAAAATTTGTCTTATCTACCTTAAAACCAGAACTTTATCTTGTTGCGACAATTATGACAAACCCTGTATGAACAAGCTTAACCTTAAAGCAATCACAAATTCAAAAGCTTACAAACTGAACTAGTTAGCATACCGCAAGACTGTCAAGCTGAATGAATAAAACGCCCACTTGAGGTTAAATCATTCAATGAAACCCAATTCTGAATGAATAAAAGGTCATTCGAAATTTTCAATGCACTAAGTAAATCCATAACTAACAAAATTAGTACCCATTTTGTTCACCAAAAATCACAGTCTAAGCACTCTATAATTTCCCACCGAAAAATGTCCCAAAGCAAGGAAAAAAGTAAAGCAAATCTTAGAAAATTGAATGCTTGAAAACAGATTTTATTCGTGTAGCAATGTCTTCAGACTCAACCGATTTTCCAGATGATTTATCGATTTCCGCCACTGAAAATCTAATCGAAATCATCTTTATGGCAATTGTAAGGATAGATTGCATTTATAAGTCTATTTTTAGTTTGTCTAAAATCTATGTTTAGTTTGGCGCCATTGGGACTTATGTCGGCTTTTGGGCAATGTGGGTGATTCGGAGGAATTCAAATCTGAATGGTCTATTTACAAACTTGATGTTCTCCAAAACTACCCATTTCAGGAATCATTGAAGTCTATCTCCAACTCGACATTCTCAGCTTATTTCTTGTAAACTTCGGCCATCTTTGCTGGGGAGTTCCGTGTGTGATTTGGTTAGTGATTTGAGACTGATACTTCATTCAGTTACCTAAATCTTAAATAGTTTTAACTAGATCCTTGCAGGACTTTGAATGAAGACCTTCCCCTACTTGACAATATCATCAGTTGTTTGGTATTTATTACACCAACACTTGAAATGCCAGCAAAGGTTGCGTCTTTTAAGTCCATCTCTAAATTCATCAAAATTCAGCTCTTCCTTGGCATCAATCGTTTTTTTGCTTTGGCCTTTGATGGCCTTTATTATTATCACTTTGAAAAGACTTTCTTCTTGCAATATTTCATTATGATCACTTATCCAATTGCGACAGCGGTGTTTTATTTTATACGTGTGTTTTATCGGGGTTCAAACAATTTCCCTTGTAGCATCTTTCATCTTTCAGTTGACAAAGAAGTTTTTCAATCTTTTGACGTCATTGGACAAGTGAAAACTAAAAGTGTCCTAGGTTTTGAAGCTAGAAAAATCATCATTCTCATCCTGGGTACAGAATGTATTTCTCGACAGCTAAACTAAACAGTTCAACAAAGATTTTTGCATATTTTTGGTACAATTCAAGTGGCTTCAAAACCAACAATTAGCACAGAAACCGGAAATAAGTTGGCATTTTAAAAGTTTTTGGCAAAACTAATAAGACACTAATAAGACATAGAAAATTTCGAAGAAAGCGAATAGATAATTGGATAGATAATTGGTCTCTTTTCTCTACAGATATGGTTCCTTTTCTCTAAAGATTTGGTCCCTTTTCTCTGCAGATTTGGTTCCTCTTATCTGTCTGTTTTTAGCTGGATGTCGAACGATTTTCATTCCATATGGCACGAATTGTTTTTACGTGGAAGATGGAGAATGTGGACCTTTAATTGTATGGTACACTCAGGTAAACAAAGAAGTTGAAATTGTGAGTAATCAGTGAGAGTTTCAGATCCTTTCTATGCACATCTCAATCCCAACAAACACTTTCTTTGATGTGGCTGTCTTTTATATGATGAAGAAAAGAGTGCGAAGCATCCAAGCAGCTCAATCAAATCATCAGAGTCAACAGAAGGCGGCTCAATTAAAAAGAGAATTTCGATTAGCCGCACAGGTCTGGATTTCACTACTAGAATCAACTATATGCTAAAAAAATACCATCATTGGCACACAGCAAATTTCACAAAACCAAGACGATTAAAGGCGCTGTTAAAGCAAAATATTCTTTAGATGATCTGTAATCTTCTCACCGGCTTGACGATAAATGTCTCACAAACTTTGGCCAACATTTATCTTGATAAACTTTCATATTTTGCTCAATTCTTTATCTTCACCGGATTCTGGCAGATTTGTAGTTTAGTGACCTGGTAAATAGATAAATTATTGATATGACTATCTTTTTTGTTTAGTTTAACCTTTGTGGTTCTTCTTGCAGAAAAAAGAGCGAAGGAAAGATCGATCGTTGTTAGCGCTTCGGGATAAAGTCACTGGAAATATCTATTCATTGAAATTTGCTCCATTCAGATTAAAGAATAGCTAGCTGTTCACCTTTTCTCCACTTTTTGATTCTTTTCTTGGAAAACTTGATAACGAGCATCTTATTATTGGATTGGTGAATTGAAAACTGCCGGACTTTGAACTAAAATTTATTCAACATAAAACGATAAATTCATTCCAAACAATTTCCATTATTATTGAAGACTTCTGCTCATTTTAAAGGCAATTTGCGGATACCTCTTTCTGCGTAGGATTTTGGTTTGTGTGTGAGACAAGTGTGAGACTCAAAAATGGAGGACTGGAGATGGAGACTGGAGATGTCCCAGTTTGAGCACTTTCTTCAAAAGAAACCCATTTTGGTGTCAATAGAAAAGTTGTAGAGAATCAAAAATTAGGCTTATAGCCAAATTTCCAAAAAGATACACTTAGTAGTTTCGCTTAAAATGCAAGTTTTGTGAAAATTCGTAAATTTGGCATTTCTTGAAAACCAGTTTTTGAATCGTTCTGAAAATTTGGCTATAAGCCTAATTTTTGATTCTCTACAACTTTTCTATTGACACCAAAATGGGTTTCTTTTGAAAAAAGTGCTCAAACTGTCATATAGGCAATAGCCCGCAGTTTTCAATTCACCAATCCAAAAGATTGTTCCATAAAAACCCAGAGATTTTGAATTTCATTTATTTTCAACACATAGAAACAACGAAGAATCAAAATCAAATGATATATTTCCCAGATGAATTCATAACTTTTCTCCAACGTATCTGTTTTACAAATGGTTTTGTAACTCAATGAAACTACAGTAGTAAAATCAACTCTGAATAGAAGCAAAGTTTGGTTTGTGAATGAAAACATGTTGAAGTTGAGAGGTGAAAAGTTGCATTTTTTTGAATTACCACGATTTGATCAGTCCGAAAACCTTACCCCCGCTTATCATTAGCCTCCTTAAAGCAAATAGGGAGAATCTCCAATACATCCTACCATTAAATTCTTGAAATGAAAGGTGACTGCTTCCCTGATCTTTTTGTTGAATGCCTCAAGTAAAATGTGCCGTTCCATCTCAAATTACCAAATATTTTCTCCTATTTGCTCAAACACTCGACTTTTCGTCAAATTTTAACCAAAGAGTTTAACCAAAAACCACAAAGGTCAATGCTTGGCTTGCCGATAAATATTTCAATTTTGATTCTGATTTTATTTATTCAATTGTGTCAAGCTGGTCAACGAGATTCAACCAATTACACTCAATTCGGCGTCGAGGGTGAATGCTATTTTGATCATCTTTTATCTTTGATCATCTTGAAAAGCTTTTAGAAGACTATTCAACAACTTTGAATGCTGCAAATCGATTGTACAAAGAGCTTTTTCAAAATCGCAATTATTACAAAGATTTGGTACCATTGCATGCACGTTTAAATGAAAATTCAACGGGTTGGTTGAATATTGTTCAGGCATCGGCACTAGAAACTACAACAATGACAAACTGTCACACTACAAACGTTTCTAATTTCAAAATTTCTAACTTCGAATTGGGCGGATCGAGATGATCCGGCAAATTTGATCTATAGCTCAAAAAATAGGGAATCTCAAGAGCTTTCGAATGGATGAAAGCATACACAAAAGTATCAATGCTAGAGAAAGTTACAGTGGTTTGTGGTTCTGACTCCATCGCTTCGACTACAAGGACGGTCCATTCAAAAGCTCTTGAGATTCTCTATTTTTTGAGCTATAGATCATCTCGATCCGGCAAATTTGAAGCTAGTTAGACACGTTTGTAGTTTGTAGTGCCTATTTCTACTACTGTTTGCGAATTGCTTTGTTTTCTAGTAAAACAACGCTTGCCGATGACGGTGACTTTACAAATTTTGTATGTAATCGATCTGGTGAGGAATATTTAATTGTTCTTCAAAAAACTTTCTTATTGTTAATCTGTAAAATGCCATAAGAATTGAATTTGCTCTTTAGGATGCAGCTCGACAAGTTTTAAGAGCTTACATGTCATTGGATATCATCTGGCAAGATATCCGTCTTGCTTGGGATCCGGAAGAATTTGATGGAATCCCTTCAATGACTGTCCAATGTGATTCACTCTGGATCCCTGAAGATTTTATGATGAATATGTAAGTTCTAAAAGCAATGCGTAACATTTTAAGAGGATAAATTACCATGTTTCATTTGATAAAAACCTAAACTTAGCATTGCAATCGACGAGATTCATCCCGATCGCTTTAAACAATGCAAATTCTATTCAAATGGCACCGTGAAATTTGAAGAATCTTATAATGCGGATATACAATGCAGCGTTAATGTAAGTTTTGAACATTCGTGTCGACTTTTGAGAGTGATTCCATAATTTTAGGTAGCGAATTTTCCATTTGACACACAAGAATGTAATATTCAATTCGCGACTCCATCCTATGAATGGTATCAAGTGAATCCAAGAGGGAAACTCTTCACAAAATATGGACCTGGACCTACATCAGCGGTAAATTTTCATACTTTGATTGGTCTGCTATTGGTCAACTTTTTATGTTAGGTAGGAAACGGCGAATTCCTCGTCAAAAATGTGACAATGCAAGAGTTCCCTCTCAATGGAAATGTCTCCAATGACGACATTGTATTAGTGAGTTCAGATTTTGGATAGCATTGCTTATTAATTCAGGTAATATACTTTATCACAATCAAGCGAGAACCAAGCTTCTACATTTATGTGATAACAATGCCTTGCTTCCTTCTAACATTTCTATCAATTGTGGGCTGTTTTTGGACAACAAATGTGGAAGAAAGGCAATTGGAAAAGGTGAGTTAAGATTGATGATTGAAAAAATTGATTTAGTTGGCCATTGCCCTGACAAGTATGATGTCGATGACAACTTTTGTTGATATGGTTTCTCAACAAATGCCAAAGACCAACCACTTCCCATTATTAGGTATGGTAAAACTACGCTAACAACAACGTAATCCTTTCAGGCACTTTTGTCCTCATCTGTGTTTTCATCACTTCAGCTGCTTGTGTCGTTGTTGTTAGTATGACAGAAGAATATCCGGTTCTCGGGAAAACGAAAACATCGTGAGCTTTAATTTTCAGTTCTGAACAACATCCTTCAGGTCTCGATTGACAAAAATACGAAGCTTTGTGTGGTCGAAACATTTCCTATTTTTGGCTCTATTTCAAGCAGCGAATCTAATTAATCTGATTGTATTTTTATCGTTTTGGAAATGAATGAATTGTTTAAGAGATCTTTGAGAGGAAGAATGCAGTTTCATTAAATGGAAATCAATAAATTGAAAACAAAACAATGCGTAACATTCAAAAAAAACCTTGCATCACCAAGACATCCGGATGTAATAACGAAAAGGAGCAATCAGATCTAATTGAAGAGTAGAGCATATGCAAACCAACTTGTCAAATTAACTAAATCTACAATACTTCTGGTTCAGAGTTTGGGTTTTTGATAAGCGGTGTATGGTGTGTGCGAGATTTTACTAGTTAGACTAGTCTGACTAGTTAGATTCACCAGTCAGATTTTGTAGTTTGTTTTCAAGATGTTTGCTAGATTAAAGAATAACAAGCTCTTCACCAATTGGAAACTAGAGGACTTCATCTAAAAAAGTGACTGCAGGCAAGGTCGAACCCCGCATCCTCGGATTGAGACAGACGCTCTGACAATCCACCATGAGGACACATTGATTCCGCTACTTTTCCGCGTCGTTTGCTCTCAAGGGGCTTCCTGTGCTACCCTTTATTAAGGATCCTAGAAGGCCCGACTCACCTTCTTTTTATCCGTTTCAACGAATTTTTACCTCAAATTTCCATTCCCCTTCCTCTCGTTTGCTCACTCACTTGACTATTCGCTCAATTTTCAAGTGAGTCCATTTCAGAATACTCAGATAAGGTTAATGTTCGTAAATATATTATTGATTCTGATTTTATGTATACAATTAATTCAATTTGCCAAAGGTTCAATTAATTATACCCGTTTTGGTGTTGCAGGTGATTGAACTGGGGAGTTTTGATAAATTTCCACATTTCTAGAAAGCTACTCAACAAGCCTGAATGCTGCCAATCGTTTATATAGAGAACTCTTTCAAAATCGGAATTATTACAAAGATTTGGTACCGCTTGATGCACGTTTGGGCGACAACTCAACAGGTTTTATCGTAATGCTTTACTAATTGTTTTGTTCTAGCGCAGCAACGTATTCCGATGACGATTATTCTGCAAATACTATATGTTATCGATCTGGTAACGTTTACTTTTGCTGAGTCTTGGTTCAAGTTCATTACAAAGACCAAAGAATGATCATTATCAGATCTCCTTAGAATTTAAGAGAGTAAGTTTTGAAGCTTCTAATTCAGTGCTTCAAAGAAGTTTTGTTTTCCGGAGCTGTTCTCGAATTTGAGCCTCAGTTTATGAGCAGCAAAACAAAGATTACAAAGAAACAAAGAGTACAAAAAGTACAAAGAGTACTCTGACTTGTTTTAGAGTTACTCAAAGACAAAACAAAGAGAAAGAGTCACTCTGGCTGACTCTGACTTTTAGGATGCAGCCCAACAAATGCTCAGAGCCTATATGGATTTGGAGCTTACCTGGCAAGATATCCGTCTTGCTTGGGACCCGGAAGAATTTGATGGGATTCCTTCAATGACTGTCCAATGTGATTCTCTTTGGATACCCAATGATTTCGTAGCAAACGCGTTAGTTTTTCACTAAAGTCACAGCTGATCCAAAGTTTCAGAATTGCCATTGATGAAATCCTCCCCGATCGCTTCAAACAATGCAAATTCTATTCAAATGGCACCGTCATATTTCAGGGATCTTATAATGCGGATATACAATGCACTATCAATGTAAGTTTTTTTTAAAAACAATAATTCCAATACCTAAAGAGATTCTAATAATCCCTTTAGGTAGCAAAATTTCCATTCGATACGCAAAAATGCGCAATTGAATTTGCGACCACCACTTACGATTGGTACCAAGTGAATCGAAAAGGAGAACTCTTTACAAGAAATGGACCTGATTTCGCTGATTCAGCGGTTCTAATTTTGATTTGGCTGATTCCAAATGCTGATTCAGCATTTAGGAATCTATTAGGTTGGCAACTTAATAATGACGCGTCACTACTTAACATGTTTTTTGTAATTTCAAGCACCGTTTCTTCCCTCTTTTTGCATATATACAAAGTAAAAGATGTCTGCATAAATAGCATTTAGTGCTACAAATTTCACCATTCGCTTTTTGGCAAAAAATGGAGGACAAAAAAATTCCGTATTCGAGCTGTATTGTTCTACGATTTTAAACAAGGAAAATCTCCAGCTGAATCTTATCGCACGATCATCACTGTTTTAGAGAGGAAAGTATACACATTCGGCAATGTCAACGATGGTTTCAAAGATTCCAAGGCGGCGATGGAAGCCTCGTAGACGAGCCACACCAAGGACATCCTCCAGAAGTGGTCGACGATGACTTGCTCGCCTTAATTGAAGATTGCCCAACACTCATCGTTCGTGAGTTGGCAGAAATATTTTAAGTATCCCATACGACAATCGAAAACTATTTACACACTTGGGAAAAAGAATCGTGTTGGAAAATGAGTTCCTCACGAATTGACGCAAAGCAACAAAATGGCCCGTGTCAATGTCGCCTCAATTTTGCTACAAAAATGTAAATCGAACGACTTTTTTCACTTCTGACGAAACGTGGATCAACTACGAGAACGTTAAACGCAAAAATCAATGGCTATCTGCTGGGCAGACCCCTCAAACCACTCCCAAACCTGATATCCATGGGAAGAAGATAATGCTCTGTTGCTGGTGGAACTTCAAGGGATTGGTGCATTATGAAGTGCTAAACCTGGCCAAATCGTCGATGCTGATCTTTATTCGAAGCAATTAATGAGAGTTAACGAGTCTTTGAAGAAATTGGGGCTCAAACCGGAGAGAGTCAGATTTTTACGCGAGAACCCAAAATCTCACACTGCAAAGATCACTTATAAGAAAATCGTGGAACTTGGCTGGAAAGTTTTGCCCCACGCGTCTTATTCACCTGAACTGGCTCCTTCAGATTACTTTTTGTTTCGGTCGCTGAAGCACTTTTTGAAGGGAGAAAAGTTCAATGATCATGCTCGGATCATAAAAGCAGTGAATGACTACTTCACCTCAAAAACTCCCAAGTTCTTCGAGGATGAGATCCGGGATTTGCGCAGAAGATGGGAAGAAGTCATAGATACTAATGGAGAATACCTTTTGAATTGAAGGCTCTTCTTTTGTGTTTTTCTAAAATAAATGATTTGTTACATAAACGCGTCATTATTAAGTTGCCAACCTAATATTAGGTTATTCGGATATAAATAAGCGTTTTAGTCGTTGACAAAATTTATCTTAAAAACAGAAACAACACAGTTTAATCCAAAATATATTTGCCATTATTATTGATTGCTTCTTGCCATCTTTTGCGCAAAGAATTGATGCCGCTCTTGAAAAACTCAGCCGGCTGTGACTCGAGAAACTTGGCGGCCCAATTTTCGACATCTTCACGGGTTTTGAATTTCTCATCAGCCAAAAGGTTTTGCATCAACCGGAATAAACAGTAATCTGAGGGAGCCTAATCGGGAGAATACGGCGGATGTGGTAAAACCTCCCATCCTAGATTCTCCAGTTTTTGCTGAGTCATCTTTGCAAAGTGAGGTCTAGCATTGTCATGGATGAATTTTATCTTTGATGTGGGTACTCCTTGACGAATGAGAACCTCATTGACACGATCAAGTTGCTGTTTGTAGAGGTCGGATGTGACTGTTTGGCCGGGTTGTAGAAGCTCAAAATAAACAAGACCCTTGTTATTCCACCATACTGAGAGCATGGTCTTTTTCCCATGAATGTCCGGTTTCACGGTCGGATTTGGCCGTTCTCCTGGTCCTAGCCATTGCCGTTTCGAATAGTATTATCGATCCACTTCTCATCTCCAGTAACGAGAGAATCAAAAAAGCCATGATATTTAGCCTGGCGGATGAAGATTCCGGCAATAGCGACCCGTGAAGCCTTGTCTGCACTGCTTAACGCGTGAGGAAGCCATTTCCCGCATCTGATCGTCTTTCCAATGGCGTGGTGATGCTCATCAATGGTAGAATTTGAGCATAGAAACTGTTGAGCAAGTTCACGTGTCGTTTGACAAGGATCCGGTTCGATTGCAGCCCTCAAAATATCGTTGTCTACCCCTTGAGGTCGACGAGAGTGTTCATCATCATCGAGACTTTCATCACCATTCCGAAAGCATTAGAACCAGGCTCGGCATCGGCTTTCGGTCAATGCATCATTCCCAAATGCTTTGACCAAATCTCGACGAAATTCAACGGCTGTTTTGCCCAGTTTTAAGTCGTAAGACAGGCAAACGCGAACTTGATGTTCGAAATCGGTCATCTAAAGCAAGAAAAAAGATCTTAAAAATAAGAAATTATCCGTTTAAAAAGATTCCAAATATGTGCAAGATAACGTATTTTTAAATATCGAAAGACATGCTTTAAAAGCTTCTCTCACAAGAATAAGTTCAGCAACACTGGTTTATATCCGAACAACCTAATAATTATTATAATTAAAAACTAGAGAAAAATCTTTTATTGTTATTAGGCTGGGAACGGGGAATTCTTGATCAAAAATGTGACGATGATAAAACCTACACTGAATAATTCAAATCCCGATGAAAGCATCCTAGGAGTGAGTTAAAATTTTGGGCGTGGAATTCTTATGTAAGTCTAATTAGATAGGATATGTAATCACCATGAAGCGAGAACCAAGTTTCTACATTTATGTGATAACAATGCCTTGTTTCCTTTTAACATTTCTATCAATTGTGGGCTGTTTTTGGACAACAAATGTGGAAGAAAGGCAATTGGAAAAGGTGAGGGAAGATCATAATGATTGAAAACACAGATTTAGTTGGCCATTGCCCTGACAAGTATGATGTCGATGACAACTTTTGTTGATATGGTTTCTCAACAAATGCCGAAGACCAACCACTTCCCATTATTAGGTATGGTAAAACTACGCTAACACCAACGTGATCCTTTAAACTAATAAACAAGAACATCATCCTTTCAGGCACTTTTGTCCTCATCTGTGTTTTCATCACTTCAGCTGCTTGCGTCGTTGTTGTTAGTATGACAGAAGAATATCCGGTTCTCGAGAAAATGAAAAAATCGTGAGCTTTAACTTTTACTTTTGAACAACATCCTTCAGGTCTCGATTGACAAAAATACGAAGCTTTGTGTTGTCGAAACATTTCCTATTTTTGGCTCTATTTCAAGCAGCGAATCTAATTAATTTGATTGTATTTTTATCGTTTTGGAAATGAATGAATTGTTAAAGAGATCTTTGAGAATACAATCTTAAGAAAGAGAGTACAAAAAGAATACAATCTCAATACCAAATTTGCCAATTTCAGTTATTGTTAGCTCCCAACAAACATTTTTTCGAGATTACAAACCCTACTTGGCGTCCTTTATCAAAACCTTTTTACTTTTCATACAAAAGCTCATACCTCTGATGACAAATTCTGCAGTGCAATTCACTGCAATTCTGCAAAATCTTCCTCATAGTGATTGATTTTGATTGATTGCTATCGATTGATTGATTGCTGTTTATGCAGTCTTTTACAAATGATACAGGTTTGCGATGGGACAATGAATGAAAGAGAATTGCGACGAAGCAAGATTTGCAGACTTGCATTGTAATTGCCATGGATATTTTGCTTTTTTCGGATTTTGCTTGTCAGAAAAGTTGCGAAGTAGGCGAAGTTTCAGTCAAAAGGTTTGGATCGTAAACAAATTCCGATCGTTGCATGCTTTGTGCTGTCACAAAGCATGCAACTTCTATTGAGTACAATTTGTTCAAAAATGATCTCTTGCTGGTTTTTGATTAGTTATCATTGCTTCTCAATTGTTCCCACAACCACAGCTACACTTGCAATTACAATTACAGCCAGAATCGCAAGTCCCGGTGTTGTTTGAAGGGATTCTTGGAGTCGTTGATGACGGGGAAACGGGGCCGGAAGTTAAAGAAATATTCAAAAAAAACACAAAATCTCTTAAACTTACAGCAATAATAGTTAGAATCGACTAATTCACAACCGAGTGCCGTATCCTGGACACACGTTTGAACTCCGGAGACAAGCTGGCAAGCTGGAGACAAGCCAAGTAATTTCTGTAAACTTACAGCTAACAGTGAAGCAATTTGTAAACTTAGGAACCAAATTGTAGGAAGTGAAGCTTTTCCCACATATGTAAAACTTGAAACCTACATCTAAACGAGTTTCACTCACTGTAAAAAGCAGGCAATCCAGTCGAGCATCCCTGAGCAGCTGAGGCTTTCAGACTCTTTTATGTAAACTCTTTTATATGCACAACTCAACTCTGCGTGAACTTTTCCTTGAATCCACCGCATCATTCATTTCACTCACCAGGAAGACTTTTTGATTAAAGTCCCCTAATTCGAAAATTGAACTAAATCTTAATCTAAGATCCAAAGAAGAGCCTGAAGCTTCATATTCTTTATCCTCTTTGAAGCCATTGTTGAAGTCTATTTCGGAATTCCTTTCCTTTTTCCACTCTTTCTCCTCTTAATCACCAGAAGATACGGTATTGTTGAAAGATATCTACCCATTCTCTAATCCCGAAAATAAATTTTTCTCTCTAATCTCGAGCCAAAAGTTTCTTACAATCACTTGATGCTTGACTGCACAGAGATAATTGGAACGCAAAAATAGTTCCGCAGCTTCAAAACACTTTCCTCAACAAATTGGCAAAAGACATTGATATTTCTGCTTGGTTAGGTTGGCTTTTCATTCGTTTACGGTACTCAATTTCAAAAGATCCTACTGTACTTTGGGAACTTTGGAAGAAAAAACAATTTGAATAC